TTTTCAAGCAAACAAGTCCAGTGAGGTTGAACAGAGACTAAACACTGCATGAAGCAGAGTGCTGGCTGTAATTGCGGGCAGGACAGGGGACACTTGTGTGTGTTATGGATTGTAGAGCGTGGCTGCCAGCGCTGGTAGCGCCTCCCAACAGCTTGCAGACGGCTGCTTTGCTGCTCTGCACCCTTCGACTGATTAGCAGATGTACATAAAAACACAACAGGTCATTTTCAGGCGTTTTGTGGCTGTTTTAACAAGGCAACTAAACAATGGACACTGTTTGGATCATCTTGCTCCCCACACACGTTGTCTGGATTGACAGTTAAAGCCACAAGAGGAAACCATAATGCAGAAGGGCGGGTGGACTTTGCCTTGTAAGGAGCCTACGGGATGATTTCTCCGTCTCAAACAATCATATGATTCACTCAGCTGCTATGTTGCTAAGAGCTTGTGTTGAAAACAGTGGACAGTGGCTGTAGCAACAGGACTGCTCAGGACTTCCACCCCTTCATGACAAATCTGTCATCCAGTATGCAATGCCTCAGACTGGCTGCAGCGATCAGCAACACCTCACCACCCTTTCCTCCTTGTACATGGGGAATGTTACAGAGCTGAGGGGAAAGCAAAGCAGATAGGAACATGGTGTGTGTTTATGTGTGCGCGTAACGGAGCGGCAAAGAGTAAAGCATTAGCTGAAACAGGAAGCACAAGCAGGCTTTTACATTGGAGGAATTTCCTGCCTGTAAGATGCGTATCGCAACGTTTTCTATGGTTAAGGGGAAACGGAGAGGTGGATGAGGAAGAGGAAGGAAAGTTTGCTCAGTGTTTGAGAAGGCCTTTCATGGCAGGTTTCAGGCTTACTGTTTAGATCAAGAGCTGGTTTGAATCCAAGCCACAGTAGCCCATTCTTCTCAAAGACTAATACTGTACATGGGAGCTGACACAGTATAGCCCCATGTTCAGAAACCACGTTTTCCATCAGTACCTTCAATTTTCTTTCTCAACAAGACATTTGATCCGAGTGAGTCCCAAATCCAATACATCCGAAAGGAACTGGCTTAAAGGGACAAACACAAGTTAAATGCTCTTTGCCTCATTGTTCTTTCTGTTGACTTGTGCGTGTACAAACTAGTAGCAAGTGGCCTGTTGTGGCCTTTTATTTGCTGTCTGTTCCCGAGTGGTAAAATGATGTTTATTCTGAGACAGTTGACTAACGGCAGCCATCAGGGTGTCTCCCCACCCGGCTCCCGGGGAGCCCATCGGTGTCAGCTCACTGTTTGTGCTACAAAGAGAATTGAGATGGTCGGGGGTTGGTGCCTCGAGGAGTAAAGATAATTTGAAAGTTGCAGATAGATGCAGTTTTGCTGAATTAGAGACACAGACCACACCTTCATTTTGAAGTTTAGAGTTTTAAAGGAAGAGTTTGACATTTTAGGAAATCTAATCACACGTCAGTTAAATAGAGTAAACATTTTTACAAATATACTGTATATCACAATTAAACTTCCCCAGTTGATTGCTTATATTAAGCCAATAATTTCTTTGTACTGCAGGTTTTCTGAAATATTATGTTTAAATATTCGCATGAGGCATTATCTTATTATATATGTGCTAATTTGCATACATTTCTGGAACAGAAATCGGAACATTGAACAAGACGGGTTCAAAATTCTTGTTTCATTTTGTTGACATAAGAGGGAATTTTGGATATCTCTTTTTATCACTGCATACATCAGAAAATACTGTCAACATCTAAAAATATTATTTTCACCATGTTTTTAGAAATAAAATGTTCTATAAATCATGTTATGAATGAAATATGAACGAACCCCTCAGCAAAACCATTCAGAATATAGATAGGAATGAACCTGGAAAGTTTGGTGTATGTCCGTGCTAATGAAGGGAAGATTGCTGGGTCAGAGTACAAACAAAAATTTCACTTTAAAAATTTCAATTTTGAGAAAACAAGATATGGATTATAAAATGTCATGCATTTTGACACTACAGATGAATACAGGGTAAAATGTTTAACTCATAGAAATGTTGGCTTTCTTGCAGAGGGTGAGGTGAGATGAGAAGATCAATACCCCAACGTGTTTTGAATATTAAACTGCAGCCAGGAGGTGGTTAGCGTAGCTTAGCATAAAGACTGAAAGCAGTGTGAAACAGCTGAAGCCTGGATGAAAAGCAGTTGCATGAGCACACTAAACTCACACCTTCATATCATGATATAACTGTGAAGATAAGGGCACTAAGTGGCCTTCTGGTCGTGCTATTAATAATTTGTCGGAAGGCACATGCTGTATGTGTGCATGTGCCTGTACATATATATGCCTGGCTGTGCAGAAGTGCCAGTGTGTCAGGTCTATATTTAAAACAGTTGGCCAGCTGTGTAGAGTCCTGTAAAATGTTCTCTAAGTGTTTTGCTGCACTTCAGATCTGTTGCCATAGCGGCCAAATGATGATGTCAAAGCAGAGGCATTGGGATAAAACCACACCCCCTTTTTCAACGGAAATCAGTCGGCGGGAGATGGAAAATACTGTTCAGTTAGCCAGACCCAATTCCGCTGCACCAAAAAGCAGAACAGGCTTTCTGGCTTCTTCACACACAAAAACATGCTTAACGGAACACACTTGTGTACACTGGCTTGTAGGTTAAGCTGCTACTGGATGACACACATACAGAGAGGGAAGAGAGAGAGAGGGGGCAAAACACTTGAAAGGAATAGCTCTCCTATCTCCAGCTAAATCCTGATCCTTTACGATGTCAAATAGATAAATGTGGGTGGCTAGATAACATTCGAGCTGTGCTGTTCAATCAGGCACTAAAGAAGACAATGACTGAGAGCTGATACCAATATTATCTATGTCCAGTGTTTGCTCGCCCCCTTCAACTAATCTCATACATGAGGTCTGTATGTAAATGACTTTGCAGCTGTGGCTGCAAAATGTGTTGGATCCAAAATGTGTTGGATTTCACATTTGAATGACTTACTCAGGAAAGAGAGCGCATCAAGGACTAGCTACCATTTATCGTATCGTATACATGACCAAACAGAGACTTAACAATGGACAACATCTACAAACATTTTACCCAGAAATCATCATTGCACATCTGTGTATGGCATACCAAAGGTCTGTGTATCTTTGGATCTGTGTATGGAATACCAAAGATAATAAGAAATGATTCAATTTATTCTATAATTGTATATTTTATTCATAGTTTTAATAGTTTAATAGGGCCCCGGTGCTACCACGCTGCCTGCACAAGACATTCCCATCCAAGGCATCAAACTCTGACTTTCCAGTACGGTAGTAAACATGCGTTTAACATTGTGAATTTAAACAAAAACACTTAGCTAGGTTTAGGTTAAACATCATGTTTGGGCAGAATTATCTGAACATAAGTAAACACCACACAAACATCACTAACGTAACTGCAAAATAACTCAATACCACTTGGACACAAACACCGGTGTCCTGTTTGAAAGTCCTGTTTGTTTGATCAGCCTGCCCTGTGTGGTTTTTTTCTAAAGTACGTCATCACACTCCCGGTGAGTTTTTCTTTGAGCGTCTAATAATGACGTAGTTGGGTTTTTGAATTCAAGTTACTTGAAAACCTGGTGCGTCTCATACAGACACTAAAGGGAGCCTTATGCATCGGTATCAGACGTGAAGGGGCGTGACAAATTGTTGGTATTTGGCACCCTGGGAATAAGAACAGGCTGGTCTGCACTGTCTATACATACACCCCTGCTGTGATGACCTCCAATGGCTTCAGAATTTCAGAAGTGTGTTTGTGGCAGATTGCACAAACATCCTCTCATCTCAGAGTTAGCATATGATGGGGAGTCTGAAAACCAAACCGTGACTTCACAGGGAAAGTTTCGACTCTAAATAATGTTGATGGCTATATAATCTTGCTTTCTGTCAACCACGCCTTGAATACTGCATCATCTACAACTCATCTCGAGGACCTAAAAACAGAGTGAGAGACCCCTCAGGGATTAAGGCTTTGAACCATCAAGTGCCCCCAACAGCTGTGAACTGCCCCCCCACAGACACTCTGGATCTCTTCCATCAGTCTACGGTCAGGCTTCGCTCCCTGTGTCGGGCAGCTTCAGACAGGTTATAAATACGAGCAGCACTTGACAGAGAGTTCATGTTGCTTTACTGCCACACAGCCAAATTTGGCCCCTGTATTCAATCCCAGAGGCTTCAAGTGAATCAGCTAAACCAACAGTCACTAATTCCAGCCGGCCGGGATAGGTTTATTAAAGGTCTCATTTCAGTGAGTAGTTGCTCTTTCGCAGCCTAACCACTTTCCTCGATCTCGTGTGACTCAGAGGCAGGAATACGAAATCCATCACATGCACAAATCAGATGAACGCTGCCTGTAATTAGATAGAAATACATGTGGATCACACATTGAGATGCAAGGGTGTGTGAGAAATGTGTAATTAGTATGAAGTTGTGCAAATAAGTCTTTACGAATTGTATATTTGGGAGGTTTATTTGACCTTTGGAGATGTGGCAGTTCATATTCCTAGTTTTGTCACGTTAATGGAATTAATGAAGGATCTGAAAAAAAGTGTTTTTTCTGACTTATCAGTGAAAACCTCAAACGATAAAGATCCAAAAAGAGTACCATGTAATTCACAGCTCGGCATCTAAATAGCAGAACTGTTGGTTGTGAAGTTTCATTGACCTCCTCATCACCTGTCAGCAGCAAACAGTCACAAAAGCTCAAGATAACCGTGAGATAAAATCAAAAGGAGGAGTTTTTTGATCCATTGTTCCTTTTGGTTAATAATCTTGTGTCACCGATAAAAAAAAAAGTCTCTGAACTCAAAAGTGACCACATTTACACCGCATTGGTAAACATGATAGATGAGCCGACGAGAAGTGTCTTTTTTTTCTTTTTAGGGAATCACAGGCTCCTCCTCTTCCAAACTTTGTCACGGGTGTGGGAACTCCCTGCTCCTCCGTGTGTCGTGAGGAGGTGAGCAGAGGAGGCGTGGGCCTGGAGAGAGGAGCGAGGGCGCTGAGAGGAGCTGACGGAGCATTAATGAGACACTGGCCGGTTAGAGCTACAGGGATGCAGTTTTAGCCGTAATCCACAACAATTTTCAGGCTTGATCTGCGGACTCGAAAGCGCCCAAAAACTGGGACAATTTCGACATTTAAAAGCAATTTCAGAGGATTCATTTATTCTCAATAATGGGCTTGGAACGGTTTCGCGTAAAGACGCCGGGGATCGAAGCCCTCCTCGTCCGATCTCTCCTTTGTATCAGCGGGCTATTACTCACTTTTTCTGTCTGCGAGGCGTTTAACTTGGACGTGGAGAACCCAGCTGTTTACAGCGGACCTAACGGGAGCTACTTCGGATATGCTGTTGACTTTTATCTGGCCGATTCTTCCAGGTGAGTTTTTTTAAAAACATAAGTACGACTATTTCTCAATTTTTTATTATCATAAAAAAGTGACAAGAGGCTTCTCAGCAACAAGCTCCAGTGCAGTCTGAAAGTTGTTTATGAATCTTTCTGGGCGCCTCAAGATACCCAGTTGTATACAAATATGTTGCGCGCAGCGTGCAAACTTTCCATGGGGGGACTTGGATGTTTGCCAAGAAATCTAAATTTACAATTCCCCTGTTAAAGTTATTGAAGAAGTTTCCAAAAGGAAACACGGATCTCGTACGTGGGATGTTGTTGTGTCGGCTCTGGCATTAAATCCAGAGACTGTATATCAGAGTTTTGTGTACTGTGTTCTCTGGAAGGACACATGCCCTACGCACAGCGCACACGTCTCAGTGTGCACACAACTTACTGCAATTTAATATACTCAGGAAATTACATTAGTTTTAAAGTAACTACATTATAGCCCAGATAGTGCTATCTGTATTTATCATAAAAGTATGAACCAAAACCTTTTTTTTTTAAATCTCTCTTGAAATCCTAATCTTATTGCCCTACAAAATGACATTTAGTTCTGGCCTTTTAACCTGCCCTCGCCTTTAAACGCCAGGGGGAAAAAAGCCTGTTAACTGCTACCTTTAGCCATCAAGTCTTATTGGTCTGAAATGCTGCTGCTGATTGTGATGCTTTCTGGCTCAGTGTGGATGTGATCCCTGTGACACCCAGCATGCTGTGATCGTCTGGGATTCTTCCTTGTTGGCATCGGCCCTTTTGAGGGACTCATGCATACATGCCTGTGGTCAAGTCTAATAGTAGTATGAGGAGAAAATAATAGTGTGGGACATTCTGGCTGTCCTATAGGAGCATGTAGTGTTCATATCAACAGGGCTGCAGCCAAAAACAAACAAACTAGACATGCTTGACAGATCTGCATTTGTGTTGCTTTACATTCGGTACACTTTGGTGAGCCTTGGACCCAAACCTGTAATTGTCATAATCATTAACAAAAGGTTGTGCGCCCACAGTCAAGGTTTCCCTCAGACAAAATCAGACTTCCTGGCTGAGTCTGTGTCTGCTGAGCAGCACCAGCGGTGTCCCGGCCCACTGTTCAACCAGCCAGACTGCTGGGATTTGAGGAAGGGCTTTGTGCCGAGTGGGCCGCCAGCAGCAGCTCTAGTTTCCCTGTTTCTCCTCCCCACTTCCCTGGACGGTCAGACACTCAGACATGGGGACATCCCCCCTCCCCACCCCCCACCCACCATGCACTGTCTCTTTAAAAGCCTGCTGCTCTTGGTCTTCATCTCTCTGCCTGGGAAGCAGCGACTTCAGGAGAGCGGTATGATTTAGGACGTGAAGCCTGAACGCATGAACCCCTCTTCTCGCTCCAGCCTCCCCCTCCTCACTTCCTCCTATGCTGATGTCATTCTGCAGCATGGCTTTTTAATTCATCCATCCCCCCACTGTCTAGCCGCTCTCCCCATCATCTCTCCTCCACTCATTATGTGTGAGACAGAGTAGACGTCATCCTAATGATGACTTAATCTGAACTTTTCTACAGTTGGGATGCCATGCTCATGGAGGAGGAGATGAGACAATGCTCCTGCAGAACAGGAACAATGTTTAAACTGTAGCCTCCTACAACCCAGTGCCCTGTAATTTTCCTGTGGATGATATGTATTCAGGAGTCCAATGTCAAGCAAAACAAAGTACGCGAGAGCAGAATTAAGATCATGACTCATCACTTTATCTGCAAACCACACGTATCTGCCATTTTTCATTCACAGTTTCTTAGAAGTGGACGCATATCAGGAGATGTCAGGAGAGTCATGAAAGGAGTTTCTGTTATCTCTTGTTATTGCCGTCACATCATCATCGCCCACACTTGGGAGACGTGGGGGAAACGGGGGAGTAGCTGGAATCCAGGGGTCAGTTGAGGGTTGCACAGGGAGTTTCTTCTTGTCAGGATGAGCTGCTGTTAGCCCGGCTCCGATTTTTTATAACTTGTGTTCATCACTGGTTGGATTAGCAAAATGAGATCGATGGCAGATGCAGAGACGAGGAAGGAGGATACTTCGCCCATCCATAAATGCCCCTGACAGGCCTGCGAACACAAAGGCTTACTTTCTCCTAGTTTGACGCTCATCCTTGACAACAAGTTTATATACGCGGCGGGGTCTGTCATGCCCTTCGGCCTGGTGTAATAAAATTAAGTTTGGACACTGGCAGACATCCCACCATGGAAGAACGCCTAAGGATAGTGTCTGTGAACTGTGTATGGAGGCTCTTGTCAGATACACACAGGAAGGGCAAGGGGATATATGGTCAATTTGTATGTTTGTATGTCAGTCCCACGCACACCCTCCTCCTCATCATCATTGGAAGAACTTCTGAGGGCTGACTCTCTCCTCAAATAACTTAATAATCAAACAACAGTAACTGCCTCCTCTTTTACTTTCGCCGGTGCCAGGCAGGGATGAGGGAGTGGATCACACTGCAGATAGGAGTCAAAGGGTCAGGGGCTATATATAATAACAGACCTGGCCTGGAGTGTATGGCAGGACGAGACAGCTTCTGGTGCCTGTTGAATGTTGGACTTTTGAGGAAACATACATTTATAACTACTTGTTTTTGGTCTTGAACTGCTCTAAGTGAGATTATAGTGCCATCAAAAAAATAATGGACAATCAATGATGGATGAACGAATTGTTTGGCCATGACCAACACATGCCGGGGTTAGCCTGCTCATTTAGGTCACTCTCCTAGAGTTTACCCTCTCAAACAGGGTTAGAGTTGAACTAATGTTAACATTGGACTGAGGTCTCTTTTGGCCACTAAAGCTGCAATGTTTTCTCTCACAGAGGTCCCTCTCCATATATGATCTCTCTCATTTGTGTGATTGTTTTCATTGGTGTCCTTTTCTATGGACATGTTTTGAAATGAAACCAGTAAGTGTTAGAGCGGCAGGAGCACAGCTTGTATATTTGTGTTGCCAAGCGTTTCTTCATCCAGGTTCTCGTCGCTGCATGCAGACAATAGGGCCCTTTGTCTGACGGCAGGAATTGTTTTCTGTTTTCTGTTTTCCAGAGTAATTTTCACTGTGACTCATTTCTGTCTTAATTTATTGGTCTTCTGAAAAAGCTGAGTTATTTTTCTGTTGTCAAACTTTGTACACACCTATGATAATCAGGCCAGTAGGTTGAGAGCATTAGTGTCGGCAAAGGTCAGTTGGGGCACACGCTGTCACGTCTGCTACATTGAGTCGGGAATGCCCAGAGGACGTCATGTCTGCTTTGGAATGGAGTTAGTCATTGGTCAGGGTCCTCCTGACTCATACTTTGCCAGATTTAATCTCTGACTGCCAGGGGGCCTGGTTTGTTTTAACCCCAGGTCACTAAATGACACATCTATGGTAACTTGATAAAGACTTTTATATAGCAATAAGCAAATGACGCCATCGTCCGCTTGTGCCGATATAAAATTCCACTGGCTGGAATTCAAATTATTATGTCATTTTTGTAATGGAAACGTGACGTAACCTCTGGCCATTACTGTCTCTGGATGTGCATTTTGTATGTATGCATGTGTGGGTGCGGCTGGGATTGTGGGGGTGCATAGACAAAGTGTTTCAACAGCTGCTTTACCCCCTCACCCCCCTCCCCCATCATCACGTTTAATACAACAGCCTCTCTATCCTGAGGTGAGAGGACTGGACCCCCTGACGAGGGTATTGTGAAGAGGTGTGAACCACCAGCAGTTAAACTCCCCGCAGGAGGATTTTAGAGCGGCTGGACTGTGAAAGGAGAGGGAGGGGTTGCATTTCGGAGTGACGGTGGGAAAACAGTTTGGTATGAGAAAATGCGTTGGCTCGACCACAAGTCATTTTGATGTTTTTTATGAGTGTCAGGATGTTTGAAATTTCTCACTTGCCACTTGTGAAATGCTATTTTTTTTTTTTTGCATGTTTTGCAGTTCAGACAGAGCAGCTGCTGGTTTTCACACATTAACTACAAGCATCCATAAGGATGGTATAATACAGCCACAGAACGATTGCTGCCTGCTGAAAACTCGGAAGTAAAAACAGCAGTCGCTAAATCAGCTTGGTGGGGACTTTGCTGATTCACTTACCAGGCTAGTGACTTCTTCCCAGCTGCAGAGTAGCATAAAATCATTAAGGTCTAAACTATAAAATTGACCTTTTTCCTGTGTGACTATAAAAAAAACCATTATTTGGCTACCTTGGCCTGCAGCACTTTTATGCTTTTGAGGATACCAGGAGAAATGGTTTTGTGGTGATGGCGGAATCAGCTCCTCGACAGACCGGACAGTTCATCTGATCCACAGCGGTCGGTGCGGGTTCAGATCTCAATGGCTCCTTTTCAAGTTCATCCTGGAATGTGGAAATGTCTATAGGACGTAATAAAAGACTTGCTCCAGGCCTGTAAGCAACATACAGATCCTTTATCTGGTTCTTACTCTACCATCTGACCGTTATGACAAGAAATGTGGCTTCAACACAACACAGCACAGTAGACTCTCTGTAGTCAGCACACGCCATCCCAGCAGGCACTGCTACTCTCATCATCTTCAGGCTCCTGGACAGCAGCACTGAGAACATGTGTGTGTGTGTGTGTGTGTGTGTGTGTGTGTGTGTGTAAGAGAGTAGACGCTCATCCATATGGCAGACGTAAGGACTCAAACAGCTTCTGTCTGGCCTTGGTTCTGAGAGGACGTGAGGATATTCGTGTGGCTCCATGTGGTCTAAAATAAGTCATCACACACTGCTTGTCCTTCTCATTTCTGTCATTCAGCTGATCTCACTCTAAGTGCCCACGCGTGCTTTGAAAAGTCAATACTGTTGCAAGATGACATCATGCAATTCGTTAATTTGTTCAGCGTGTCTACTCCCATTGATCCAGGTATCATTAAATGATGTTGGTGAAGTGATTCTTTAGAGACGTTTGTTTTATTTTGCTTCCATTTCTGCGCTGAGGGAGTGAGAGCAGTGAATGTCAAGAGCCGCATCGGAGTTTCTCTGCTGATATGGAGCCACTCCACTGTTTAATCACTTGTTGATAGCTCTGCGGTTCGAAGGCAACAACTCCTTTGTCTGTGCCACGGCATTCGTTGAGCCGTGTTTACGACTGCAGGTGGTGACTGCAGCCGGCACTGGCATGCTCAACATATGCGATTTTTTTTTTTTTTCCTCCCCCTTCTTTCTAGCTTAAAGCAATTATAATAGTGTTCAAGTGACATCAGCTTTTGCAGCTGGGTGGAAGACAATTAAATGTGGAATGAGACTAAAGGGGGGGGGGGGGTAGTAACAGGAATTTGCCCTCTGACAACCTCCTTCTGTAACCTCATCATAAACTGTATTAGCCATGGCAATGCACGATAGTGTCACATCAGCAAGTTCCAGCACTCTGCATCACCCTTAATCTCACAACCCCACATAAAATGGTTACAGTCTGGCAATTGTGGTGTGATTTATTTGTAGAATGTCGTCTGATTGCTTGAGCTTCAACTGAGACAAACCCAGTTCTCAGTCGCAGTGAAGCTGTTGTTTACGCATTCCTTATTTGTGACCCAAATTGCTTACAGTATAGTTTAATTAATGCTTCATTAGTGGCTGCTATGGCAGCTGGTGGGGTAGACTTTGCTAGACATGATGAAGCTGCCAATGCTTTACATCCTCCCACTCCCCCACTAGGGCATTGCTCAAGTCCCTCTCTGGTGAAATAGGTTCGATATTCACCCACAGCAACATGAAAATGACAAATGAGCAAGAGAAGAGTGGTTTAATTCTCCAGTAGACAAAACATTTCAGTGCACTAAAGATTGGTCATGGCTTTTCAGATACATCCTGAGCTTTGCCAGCTGTGATCCCCATCAAACCTGTGATAGTGAACAGCCTTTTGTCTCCCAGCTACCTTTGACCAGTGGGCTGAAGCCCACTGGTGGCACGTAGAGCGCCATCTAGTGGTCTACGTAGCTACTGCCAAATGGTTAGATTTAATTAAGAAAATGTTTTTTTGGTAAATTTCAAAGCAAGTAATTTTTATACCTTAATGTGCTCAATAATTTATGTAAATGAATAACGTCTGATTAAAATGCATAATTTTAATGACCAGTTATGTTTGAATATCACCACAATATTCATGACACGTCATCAGAGAAATTACAACATTTTTACTGTTAGCCAGCCAAATTCCCTGGGATGCAGTGAAATGTATCGGTTTTTGGAACGAAAAAGTGATGTGAGAGACAACCCTGGCCCAGTAAAAACTCCAAAGCGTGTTGAAGTATGACCCTGAATACATTAAACATGGATACATAATGGCCGGCAGTGATGGGTGACGGTAAGCAGAATATTGATTTTGGTCAGTACAGCTGACAGCGGCATAACACAAATTTACAGCCCCGTTTTCTTTTTTTCCCCTTTTTTCGTCATGTTTATTTTTAATTTATCTGGGAAGGGTGTCCTTTTAGAATTTTTTTTAACAATCAGAAGTAGGCCTCAAGTTACAAAAGATTGAGAACACCTCGGTCTAGACTCACTTTAGCCACAGTGGCTTGGACACAAACCGATGAGTCTGTCCTTCAGCAGAACAGCTGAAGATTGCTTGCCCCCCTACCACATGCATATATTTGCATACCCATCCCAAGAGTCGGTCATACACTCCGCCTCCTTTCACAAAGGAATTTGTAATGCAGCACTCAGCCGACTGCATTTACAGCTTCATTAAATGCTAATGATACTAAGCTCTATACCTTTTGAGCACTCAGATAGCGGATAAGGTTGTAGGGCGGAGAAACACTAGTTTAGTTCTGATCCTCAACAGATAAAGACCAATTAAATGCTAATTCCTCCTCATTTAGTGCTTTTAGATCATTATCATTGTGTGTCTGCACATCTGCGTGCATCTGTGTAAGGTTGTGAAAACTCGCTTCAACCTGCCAACTTGCTGATTAAAGCATGATCTGCTTGTTATGTTATTTCCTGTATCCCCCCCCCCCTTTGAAAAGCTGCCACAGCCAACTATGCTGGACTGTGTCCAGATCTGATTCAACAAAAAAGATGCTGTGGCTTCCAGTTTCCTTGGCATCGTTGGTGTATACATGAGTTGTGTTGCTTATTGCATGCATGTGCTTGGGTTCAGATTATTCAGAAAAGTTTTTTGTCATAGAAACATCAGTTGATTTCTGTTCTTCTGTCTGCTCCAAAACGGTTACGGCCGTGTTGTTTAGCACAGGTAATCCTTTATACAGTAAAGTTAGTTTTTTGTCAGTGTGGTCTGCTTGTGTTAAATATGTACTGACTGCTTGCATATCTGTGTGTGAGAGAGAGATCCTCAGCTGTCACAGGTGAAACTCTGGATATTCCTGCGTCTGCCTATGTGGTCAGAAAATGCTTCTTGCTCTCTAACTCGGACTGGTTTGTTTCTATTTCTCTCTTCCAACACAAAACAGGAATTTCTGCTCCACATTTGGAATTGGCATTGCACTGTATGTCTTCTCTTCCGAGGTATTAGGACCACAGTATCGATGCGATATTAAACCCATAAACTCTGCTCTGTGACCTTACCTTTGTTCTACACACAGTAGTGTGCTTCCAAAACCACAGATGATGAAATGATTTGAAAGCTTTCTCCTGACCACCAACTTACTCTGGCTCCCTTCTGCAAGAATTTTTTCCGTAAGCCATCCCATAATTTTCATTCGTTTTGTCATCTGAGGTAATAAATAGGTTCAGTGGGATTAATTATTGTGGATTACAAGGCCTTGGAATATTGCACGGCTCATGCTGACTCCCCCGGCTTTCTCTGAAGCCTGCCGAGTACCCTTCGGGGGAAGAACACTAAGCTTAACCAAAATGTAAACGTTCATGCACTGTTGGAAGATCTGGGGCAGGAAAGGGTGTGCTCTTCCTGTTTTGGAGCCCCCTAGACACCGTCTGGTCTCAGTGGTCCCTTGCCCCCTTTACCCACATCAGTGCCGGCGACTGCATCTGTGTCGGTGATGCTTGTTGGGTCAAGTGGGTCCAGAGTGCGGTAATGGCTAAATCATCCACTTAAGACACATTATCTACATTACTGGAAGATATTGTGTCCAACTTGACTGTGCTCAAACCCATTAACGTACCATCCCTCACGTTTCTTCTTCTCTTTCATCTCTGACGACTCACCTGTCGCCAGTTGAAGTGGTCGGCGGCCCTCCTTGTACAGTGTAGCTCCCAGGACATTGAAGTGTTGTGGCACAGCTGAAGAAACAAGAGCATGACTCCACTTAGCCTGTCTGCTTTTCTGTTTTCCTATTGAACCTGTCCCACAGGGACGCTTGTGTGACCGTGTGAGTGTTTCTCCTCACTGCACAAGTGGAGTGAATGTGTCCGTGAGCATCACATGTGCACATGACATAGCAGCGGTTTCCCCTGGTTGTATGGGGATTATGTAAAACAGTGCTGCAACCTGTTAAAATGTTTTGCTTGTGAGTCAGAATACAGCTTGCTAAGCGGTTAAATGCGTTCATGCATCATGTTTGAAGCTGTTGAGCCCGGAGGTCTGGAATGCAACTTTTAATTAAGGCCAGGCTAAGAGCTACAAACCTTAGCAATGGTTTGGTAAAGAAATGTGGGTTTGTATGGATCCTGTGGTTTGGTAAAATTGTAACATTGGATTTACAGCAAATTGTCTCTCTTTCTGTCATTCTTTTGCAGTGTGAGTGTGGTGATAGGAGCTCCAAAGGCCACCACCAAGCAGGTTAAGGTTACAGAGGGAGGATCTGTCTTCTACTGCCCATGGAGCATCAGCCAAACAGACTGTCACACCATCGAGTTTGATATTGAAGGTAAGCATTAGGATAGAGCTGTTGGGAAGGTCTGACAGCTGTACTATCAGTTGTACTAACAAATGCTGTACTAACAAATGCTGTTGGAATTGTATGATTTTTTTTAATTGTACACAGATTGCATGTGACTACCTGGTTGTTTGAGAAACTGGATATGGTTTATAAATTCTCTTAAAACAGCGGAGGTCTGCTGCTTCTCTGTACACTTTTGAAGCCATCAAAGCCTTTCCTCTCTGCTCCTGTAGTCAGCAAACAGGGCAGGATCAGGCGTCAGCGTTCCACTCCACTGAGCTATTGTCGGCTACTTTGGTTCCTGGACGCAGGGTGAACCTTTTTTTCCTGTTCCTGTCCCCTCTTTGGGGATGAAAAGGATAATGGGGTGTTGAAGAGGTTTTTGAAGGATACTCTTTCCTTCACCCAGGTCGTGTTTGTGTTGCCTTGCCCCAGGAGCTATAAGGGAGATAAGCAACCAATAAACAAATAGGTCTCACAAAGAAATGTCCTGCTTGTATGACAGGTGAAGCAGACACCGCCGGTCCTCACAAAAAGGCTCCAGTTGAGTCAGGATTAGGTAAAGTGGTTTGAGAGAACACAAGGACTTTCAGGAGGTTGTTTAATGAATGGATTCATGTTTCAGTATGTTGAGTTGAGATCAGCCTGTTTTGCACTATAGAGCCATGGCAAGGTGAGGAAATGAACAATCAAAGTAACATGACTGCTAGCTTTTAGAATGAACATACCGTAAAACACACTCTCTCACTCATACACACACACACACACACACAGATAGTGTGTTACCGTGGTGCTTATGGCTTCTTTCCTAAGAAATCAAAGCTTAGCATTGTGGGCCAGCTTAAATTTACTGTCCATAATGCACAATAGGGAGAAATATTCCACTGAGTGTTTCCCAAGCCTGGTTTAACAATATTTTTTATTGGACACACCACTGGGTACCCTTTGCTCCACTATTTTTGCACAGTCTTTCTTGCAATATAAAATGTGGCGTTGGCTGGAGGCCACAGTGTGTGATGTCATGTGCAAGCAGCAAGGCCTCACAGTGAAGGTTAGTCCCCTGGGCTGTCAGAGAGTGTCCTTCATATTTTCTAAGGGCCTTTGAAGGAGCTGATCCGAGTGCCAGAGCCGGTTCCGACATCTGGATCACAGCAGAACCACCATACAGTGGAGGAGCAATCAAAACACAGCCATCTGCATGCAAATGGCAGCTGTTGGATGACATTTACTACAGCAATTCATTTACCGTAGCTGTGACAATTCTGATACTAAATACTAGAGTAATGGATAAATACAGTCCAAAATCTTTTTTTTAAAGTCCCAGTGAAATGGAAGTTGTAGCATCTTAAGCTTCTGTGCTACAGAATATTTTAGTTCACAAGATACAATCACAAGATACATTTAAATCAAATTCTTCGTGTGCGCGGGCTTAGAATGTAGCACCTAAAGAAGCTACAGAGGACAAAAACCTTGTCGCTAAAAGATAGATTGATTGATGGATGTCATGATATTATTGGTGGGCATTTCCTGGTGCTAGGGTACATAAGCACACTTCATATATTTTGCATATATTGTTAAATAGGTGCACGATATTAACCCGGATGTGATCTAAAAGAGTTAAACAAACTATTTTTCATTTCATCTCAATTTTCTCCACTATGAATGCTAGTGTGAAGGAGTGCTATCTTCCACTAGAGTATTTGGTGTCATAGGTCTCACTGTCTCTTGGTGTGTTTGAGCTCCGACCCACAGGCCATAGACCCTCTTAATTAGCCTTACTAATTGGGTCAAAGTGGCCAGAGGCCCCCTCCCATCCACTTCCTCCTCCATTGAGATAAGAGCCCGTCTATGGATCTGGGAGGAGGAAAGGGGAGCGAGGGCAGTAGGGAGGGTGTGAGAAGGGCACATACAGGACGGGAGGGAGGGTAAGAAAGCCAGAGGGGAAGGAGGAAAGAGGGAGAAACCAGAGCCTTGTTCCTCCGCTCTGTCCCCCTCTGCTCTCCTGCTGTCGGTACTCCCACAGGGGCAGCTGATGTGATGAGTGAATTTGGCCATTTGTCTTTAACCCCACTGACACACACAAAAATACACACACTCACACGCTCACACAGAGGCTCTAACTCCACTAATGGTTGTCGTCTCACACACGGTTCAAAGGCGAGAGTGAGTCTATGGATGTACTCCAGACCCCCACACTCCTCTGCTGGTCCCATGAGAGACCGGGCCCGGCACCATGTCCCATCAGCGCACCGCTCTAACCAGCCTCCCAGGGGGACTTCGGTCAGATGGCATGTTGTTGGGGCCCGTCTCTGGCTTTCCCCCTTATCTACACTCTGAATCTCCTCTGACTCTCGCAGAACTTTCCATCACCCATTATGCTGATAGAGAACTAATGCTGCAACTAATGCTGCCATGTGAGAGCTTTAGCTTCTTAAGGCAGTATGTGCTTCCCTCCCTTTTACATGGATAGATCACTGATCACAGTTGCTACTGCTGGTTACCTTGGTAACATGAGTCAAACCAACAGAGTGCCTACTATGCAGTACATACTCAACATGTGTACTGTCTTTCAACCTACTTTTGTGTGAAGTTGGTATCTTTTTAATTGATTTGATTTTGGAGGCAACCACAGCTTACCGTTCCCCGGTGGCTTTGCATTGGCCTTGTCCAAACAAAAAACCCGTAGTTATGAAAATATTAAGAAAGTGTTTTCTTTGAGAAAAAGTACCATGCAGCTAAGGCAGATTAGTTGAAGCAACACGCTTATAAGGAGCCGTTTGAAGTGCTGGTCATTTTAACTGTATGCCTAAAGCACTTCTTCTTTTCCCACATAAACTTCTATGGGGGCAGGGCTCGCTGCTGTAGGCTCTTGATGAGTGATGTTTGCAGGAAACCCTGGTGTTGGAGATTACAGAAATACAGTTGTGTTATTAAAAAACTGTAATCTCTCTGCTTACTGTCGTGGGTGAGGGGGCGCATCACTCCCTAAAAGCAGAGGAGAGAAAAGGCCGTACAGACATGGAGACTAGGGTGAGATAGTGTACGAAAAATGAATAGGAAGATGGGGATAATATTGAAAATGAAAACAAAGAAAGAGGGAGAGACGTGTGTGCCTAAACAGAGATGACTGGGAGGTTGCTATGAGGAAGCCGGGCCAGAATGTGTATGTTATCCTTGGACGCCAGCCCCTTCGCTGTTTCCACAAAGACACAGAGCAGCTCCAGGCTGCCGAGTTGGCTGGGAGAAAGACCGGGGGCCGACAGCCTGCTTTCTTTACATCAACATAGGTCATGATCTCTTGCAGTATCTAGCGTCAGACCCTATTCTGTTCTTTTGCAATACGCCTGTGGTTTGACAAAGTCTTCAGGGGCAATGAGTCCGAGTACTGCAAAGGGTTAAGCGGGAGTGGTTCAGTTGCTTTTGACCTCACATTTGAACTTTCCTTAAAGATGTCAGCTCATACTCTGAAGCCCTCAGTGTGTGGGTTTATGTGGAAATGATGTGACTTCCTTGCCTAATCAATTTGTTTGCATTTCATTCTCCATTGCTGCACAGATGTAACATCTGTCTGCCAATAAAGTTGTGTTTTTAAATCTGACTCCCCGGACCATCTGTCATGTCACCTGCTGCTGTCAAAGTGTTGAAGTGGGAGATCGGCGTCAGTGGCCAGGTGGTCAAACAGAGCGAAGGGTCAGCGAGGTTAAGCTAGTCCAGTCCAAAACCGGCCACGCTAAGAGAACTACCATCTCCTGAACAGTGGCCGAGTAGCAAATGCAATACTTTTAAAGTTCTCACCCCGATTATCTTTGCATGAAAAATAGTGTAACAACTGGTGTTAAGCTTTCTTTCTGCCAATTGGCCAGATGTTTGCAAGGGCCTGGGAGGGGAAGGAAGAATTAAGAAACTCAAGACCCACATGAAGGAATGCATGTTATTTCATAGTGCCATAACTCAGTGTCATTTTCTCATGTTGTTCCCAGGGGATCGCACCGTCTTGCTCAACGACACAGAACATCAGGCTGATTTCAAGTCCCACCAATGGTTTGGCGCCACTGTGCGTTCTCACGGTGACACAATTCTGGTAAGATGACCCTCTCACAGATGACTTTGGGGGTTGGGCTGCACCACAACACTGGTGCTCTCTGCTGTTATGATTATGGCTCTCAGTGAAGCCTGCTCTGGCCACATGGCTGTGAGAAACAGTCTACTTTGAGTGATGTCTCACTCTGACATCGTGTTCTTTGTTAGAAATTTTCTCACATTAAGTTGTTGTCACTGGGGTCCAGTTTTCACCTCCAGTCTCGACACCCCACAAAGAAATGTTTTGTGCCCCCCCCCCTGTGACATCAAAGTTGAGCAGCCTCTTGTTTGGTCTGATAGTATGGGTTGTGACCTGGGTTGAGTTACGGTGGTTACCCTGCTCCAGATGTACCGCTGACCTAAGCCTGAGTCTCCTCCTGAGTTCACCAGTGTGATGTTGCAACTGGAAAAACATCTCCCACCTAAAAACTCACCCCATTCATCACCACATCTCCTCCCTCCCCTTTTCCTCCCCGACAATCCCCATCTCTCTCCACCTCCTCTCTGACCCAGGCTTGTGCCCCTCTCTACTCCTGGCGGACTAAACAGGATGTCCCCCACTCTGACGCTACAGGAACTTGCTACCTCTCAGTCCATAATTTCACCAAATTTGTGGAGTACGCTCCCTGTCGCACAGGTAACTGTCACCTCTCTATGTGGGAGTCATATAAGTGGGAATGTTTTGTTGAGGCAGTAATGCCTTGAAACTAGAAATTCGGGAATATTAAATAATTGTTACGTCAAATAATTCATGATGCACCACCCCATTCCTGCATGTTTCAGAGATCAGTGATGCGGTGGGACAAGGCTACTGTCAGGGAGGATTCAGTGCTGACTTCACAACGGTAATAACTAAGTATCTGTTAGTGAACCACCAGAGGTTTCTGGGATAATCATTTCCTTTTCCATTGTAATAATTCTGAGTTTTATCTTTCAGGATGGCAGAGTGGTATTAGGAGGGCCAGGCAGCTACTTCTGGCAAGGTATGTAGGGCATACCGATCAGACACGTGAAAATCGGAACAACCAAGCCTGGAAATGTTCTTCTTAAAAAGTTTATTTTCATTTTACTTTGGTCTTACTTCAGGTCAGGTGATCACTGCAGCTAAGGAGGACATCATCAAAGCGTACTACCCAGGCTTCTTCATGCAGTCTGTGGAGGGACAGATCCAAACCAGACAGGTGAAGTCTGAGCATGATGACAGTTACCAAGGTAAGGGCAGCTAAGGTGCTTTTATGATGAATGCATATTTACACATATCTTCGTTTGTTTGCCAATGCAAGCTGAAGTTGACGTCTGCCCTCTTGTCTACAGGCTACTCTATTGCTGTCGGGGAATTCAGTGGTGATCAGGTGGAAGGTAAGTCAATAAAATAGGGTATGCACGCACATGGCCAATGGTAGGTGAGGCGTGCAGGATGTAAAACGCATAACAGCAGTCACCTAGCAATGTAAATATTACAGCTGGAGTGAACATAAGCTACAATATTTTACTTGATTATTGAGCTGGAAACATCATCAATACTGGAATTCTCTTACCCTACTGCTGGGCTCGACCTGTAGGTCCCCCCCCCCCCCCCCCCTTAATCTTTGCTTCATGTCTCTGTGCACCTCAGATTTTGTGGCTGGCGTTCCAAAAGGACTCATGCTTTATGGTTCGGTAAGAAATCTTAATCATCGCTCTCATTTTGGCTCTCATTTTGGCTGCCATTTTGGTGCTTTTAGGATGAAAGGCCTGGGCTTTAGATTTGGGACCGATACAGGAAAGCAAAAGAAAGAAAACAACCTTAGTAATGTTGTCACAGTGGGAATTATTTTTGCAGTGAATTCCATAACAGACACTATGCTTATATTAGACTGTATAAAAAAAAATGTTCACCATATGTGGCTGCTGTGTTGCAGGTGTCTATTCTGAACGGTACAGATCTGAAGACCTTGATTAACTACACTGGTGAGCAGGTGAGTCCAACCTCAGCAGAGCAAAAGCTCCTTCATGCTCCACTTCCTCTGTGTTTTCATTGCCCGGCTCTTCACGAGAGCTCTTAATTTGTTGAGACAGTGTAAGCAAAAATAATCTCCTTTACAACGTTCTCTTAACTAGATTTTGGTCTCTTTCGTGGTTTGCTGTAAAGCTCAGTTATTGAGGGGAAAGTGCAGTGGCAATTTGTGCCAATGGTTGTGGGAATAGAAAAGCACTGAGCTCGTTTAAACAGTGATGATTGACTCAGCTGAATAAATAAAATCACAAGTGAATTTGCTTACAGTCTGGTAATTTAGACTGCTCATATAATGTGCTTTTCCGACCCAAAGTTCATGACAGAAAATGCAGGAAATTAAACTGATCTGGAACAGAAACGGCATCAAATTGGGCCTCGCCTGTTAAACCCATCAGGCCTTCATGTTTCCTTCAAGCCGCCCTTTTTTTCTAGTGAAGCAGAGTGCAGTATGATTGTTTTGTATTAGCTAAAAACAAACCAAATCTTGATGTTGTTAATATCTTTTTACAATGAGATTTTTAGTCATGGAAACCCCTTTCTTTACAGATGGGATCATATTTCGGGTATGCAGTGGCAACGACTGACATCAACAGTGATGGGTGGGTAGTTTCCTTGTCCGTTGTCTGTTTTTCTCTTGCTCCCTGCCTTTCTCCGTCTCTTCCTTGCTAGATAATTTGCTGACAAGAGTCTAGATTGGATGCCACCAACAACCCATTGGAGGCGTCAATGTGTCTGAGCTTAAATGAGTTTGTGATTTTCCTTTCTTGTCTCCAGGATGGCTGACCTGCTGGTGGGAGCTCCCATGTTCATGGTTCGGGGCTCCGATGGCCGTCTGGAAGAGATGGGCCGGGTCTATGTTTACCTACAGCGGGGCCCCGTGAAACTGGAGCTCCACCTACCTTACCTGACAGGTACCCAGGTGTACGGGAGATTTGGCAGCACCATTGCACCTTTGGGAGATCTCAACCAGGATGGTTTTAATGGTAAGAATGGTGATTGTAGCAGGGGGATTGATGGAATATTGGAAGTCAAATGAGTTAGCATCATGATTTATTTTAGTTTGTACATCTTAAATAGTATGCAGAGGAGTATGCAGCTTTTTAAAGGGATCAGTGATTAGTAATAAAGTAGTAAACAAAGGAAAAGAATGAAATCTGTACGTGTAAATAAAAAAAAAAGATAAAAGATTTTTTCTATTACATTCTATTGAAAAGCTGAACTATTTACATGTGTGATTCATTTGACAAAGGAAGGTTTGGTAGGTTAACTGTCTAACTCAGTGTTTCCCAAACTTTTTCTTTTGGAGACCAACTTTGAATCAACAAGGACAAACCACCGCTATCCAATTCATAATAGGCCTTTTTCTATAACAGGCCTTTACTTATGGGAAGAGCAAATTAAAATGTCTTCCTGAATTTGCCAAAAGTTCAGTTTATGACCAAATACCAGCAAAACTAATGACATAATTAGACTCAGATGTACTTTGTGTTTACTGCTAATTACCAAACACAGCATTTACAAGTTAAGCCTAAGCATAGCCCCACAGAGCCGCTGGCTTTACACTTTAAGTCTTGTTAATTAAAGGTATCTGTGGCCGTATGATATTAGCAGCTTTCTCTGTTAACTTCTGCACAGGACTACTGTGGCTACAGGCTGATATCTTTCCTCCCTTTTGACCTTTGGCAGATGTGGCTATCAGCTGTCCGTTTGGAGGGGAGGATCGGCAGGGACTGGTATACATCTACAATGGATACTCAGAAGGACTCAGGGAAAAGCCATCTCAGGTGATAACTGGCCAGTGGGCTGCTGGTGCGATTCCTGCCAGCTTTGGATTTGCCCTCAGAGGTGCCAAGGACCTGGACATGAATGGATACCCAGGTGAGTGAGGTTGCAAGTATGCAATGGTCATCAATAGCTTTTCATATATTCAGTATGTTTTCTAATTCTGATCCTCTATTTTCTCAGATCTCATTGTTGGTGCCTTTGGTGTTAATAAGGCAGTTCTCTATAGGTACGTTGTTTTGAATCACATACTGTATGTAGTCATGAAGTCTGTGTGTTTAAAAATCCAATACTCATGTCTACACTAAATAGACTGTTAGTCTAGCCGAGCATAATGACTGGGAAGAGAGGGAAACTGCTAGTCTGTCCAAATCCACCTACCAGGACATCCAAAGCTCACTTTAACTTACACATCTGTCTTGTTTAATCTTTACAAAATCTGTGTAAAAAGCGCAGGTGCTAGTTTTTTTTTTTTTTACCTTTGGACAGGGCTAGCTAGCTGTTTCCCCTAGTTTCTAGTCCTTGTGCTAAGCTAAGCTAACGTCTCGTTTGCGGACGGATATGTGTGGTATTGATCTTCTCATTTAACTCTCAATAAGCATATTTCCCAAAATGTCTAAATGAGCGGGTCTTCTTCACAAAGTCCGGGTCTTCAATCTATTTTCTTTTTGTTACCCACAGATCCCGCCCAATAGTTAACACCAGTGCCTTTCTGACAGTTAACCCCACCATGATCAACCCTGAAGAGAAGAACTGCATGGTCACCAGTGGAAACACCAGCATTCCTGTTTCCTGGTGAGTGTTCAGCAGCTTGTCCAGTACCGACACTCGGCTTCCTGTGACTCTGCTTCAGTACTGCTCTGTTGGTATTAGTTTGACCCAACTGCAAAAAAGATGGGTGCTTCCTCATTTCCCCTACATGCTTAAACACTCCTATCCTGACAGGAAGTTCCGATAAGGAATACCCATAAGCAGTCACGGTATTTACTTGTACCCTTATCTGCTCTTATCTGACCTATTTTCCGAAAATCTTCATATCACACTGTTTCTCTTGAGGAGCAGAGAAATAACTTGCTGAATAGCAGCATTGTTAGCCGTTTTTTGGCCTCAAACAAATGTGCACAGCATTCAGCTCCAGAAAAGGGGGAGAGGAAACAGATGACGGTTGCTCGCTGCCTGACATGGTTGACACCGCGCTCACGTGTCTGCTTTACCCCCCTTTCCAGATCCTGATCCGTAAAGGAAACTCTTGTATACACATGTGTCTTGATTACACTACGTTGCCTGGTGATGAGGAGTTTTTGGTGGGGGTGAAAGGAGAGCACAAGGGATAATGGGATGGGGAGGGGCTGGAAGGCTTTTGCTGTTGCTTTTGAATGAGATATTGTTTGGTGGTGGAACACAGCTGGGAAACATCAGGACACGTAGCCTCCCGTGAGCGTGAGCACACAGTCATGCAGACACAGGAGCTTATACATGAAGTTATTACTCCTCGGAAGAAGTCATAGTACACTCTGTGTCTTTATGTCTCATTTTTCACCTCTCTTCCCTTTCCTGTGTTTTTTTTTTTTTTCAATGCTCTCCCTTTTTCCTTTCTCACTTCTTCCAGAGTTTGCTCTGCCTCTCTTGTGTGGCTTTACTAGTTAAAGGATTGGGGGTTTCGGTTTGCAGACTTTTGGACAGCAGCAGAGTGTTGTGCGGCTGATGTCATGGGAGAGAGCTACAGGCTTATATAGACTGCAATTGACTGGTCAGCACTGAAACCTGAGTCGCCCAATTTCACCCATCTTAACTCTGCTATTCCTTGTGTGTGGTTGCATGTGTGTGGAAACGGAGACAGACCAATCTATCAGCTTGGCTGGCGAAAGCGGTCAGATGCCAGTATGTCAGACATTTGGCATTTTTTCATATTATGCATTGTATTCCTGTTACATCTCGTGCCTTGTAATGTGAACCATGTAAGGAGCTGACACGAGAAAAGTGGGCCATGGGAGAAAGTGAGAGAACAAGAGAGGGTTCTTGTGTGTACAGTGTATTTATACTGAATCTCTGCCATGGATTAATATGCAGCCCTCATCATGTCTTTGTCCCATCTGTCCAAAACAGTGTTAACCTGAGTTTCTGCATATCTGCTGATGGGAAGCACCTACCAGATGTCCTAGGTGAGCCACTTTTTCCACACATGCACTTTATTACAAGTAAGGAAACTGTCAAATAGCCACCAATAGTAATGTTTTGAATCCATAACAGTCTGTAGGTTTGTGTTTTGGCAGGAGATGTGGATTTTGTTATGACAAAAAAAGGAGTGCAGTGTGCAAAATATCCTCTGTGATCCACCTCTTAATGATCAAACCTCTTCTGTGCTCGCTCCTCTTCCCTATTAACCCATAGTTATTGTCTCTAATTGATCCTTCCTTTATATACAAGCGTTGACTGTCCTTCAGAGTATTAATGGAGCTCTTTTTTAAAACTTGTCTTTATGTGACTCAAGAACATTTGTCATGCCATGAATAAGATAAGATAATCCTTTATTAGTCTCACAGTGGGGACATTTACAGAATTACAGCAGCATATAGTGGATAGTGCAAAGAACAAACAAGAGACATAAGTAGAAAAACAAGTATAATACATACGTAATCACACAGTTAAGGTATAATAAATAAGTAAAAAACAATGATATAGTCGGACAGAATGGTTGTTTATATTGCACAGCGGATGTATTGGGTTTACATTGCACATGAATGGATAAATGAATGAAGAAGTATGCTCATTTGTTTGTGTGTTCCAGATTTCCAGGTGGAGGTGCAGCTGGATAGTCATAAGCAGAAGCAGAAAAGTGCAGTGAGGAGGGCTCTGTTCTTGGATTCCCAGCAGCCTTTGCTCCAGAGGAGTGTGAGCGTGCGCCATGGCGAGCGTGTCTGCCACAACACAAAGATCTACCTAAGAGTATGCTCTTTTTCACACTAATAGAAGACATCTATGACTGTGATTATTTGTCCAGTGACTCCTGTGTCTAAGCATATTTTCAAAAAAAACCATTTATAACTCATTTATAAGCTAATTTATGCTACACGGGAACAAACAACACCTGTCACTCACTTCCCAATCTGTACGTCCTGCCCGATCGCTACTGCCCATGTGCACTCTCAACAGAAATGACAAAGTAGCGAGATGTCTTACTTGTCATCTGCCTCCATAATCAGCTGTTGAGAGTTGCACATGTGCTAGTGAAAAGTGTAACTTTAACTGGAACTGGCAAAATGCCAGCAAAACCTGTCAAACTAGAAAATAAAAGAGAGTTTTATGGACTCATTCGATGTATGTATTTGATCATGGTCACCAGACATTACAACAACGATAGCAGTCATATACGTTGTAAGTAGTATACAGCTGTTAAAAAATATTTTTAACAGTTGCATACTGTTAAAAATATTTAGCGGTATAGATATATAATGCACCGGTATTGGAGCGGCACTCGGTTTTGGCCGATTTGATATCGCTACAACGATCTGATATCTCTACAACACATTCTCAACTGCATCTGACAAAAACTCTGGTATGTGTTTCTTTGATTGCAGGATGAGAAAGACTTCAGGGATAAACTCTCCTCCATTTATGTGGCCTTGAACTTCAGCTTGGATCCAAACGCTGCCGCCGACTCCCACGGCCTGCGGCCCATCCTCAACTATCAGACCACCAACGTAATTGAGCAGAAGGTATTTTGACGTGCACTACACTTCTCCAATCTTCTATCCAGCACAGTTAACTAACCCTGGAGTGATCTACGGGCCTTCTAGCATCAATATATGGTCGAGCAGTGTTCCCTAATAGTGTACATGTTGGTCTTCGATTGCTTAGCTTCATTCACTCTGAGCTAATGATAAGAATATCCGCCACGTTGAGTAATCATTCCCTGTATCACCGGCCAGCTACTCACTGACTATCTCCTGGCCCAGATGAAAGAGTGAGTCTGTTCTTTTTAATGTAAATTCAAAACTACTCCGCTGGGAAGATTTCCAGAGTGTCTGGAAAGCGGTCTTCAAAATGAAAATGTGAGGCACATGCACAGTCGAGTGTTTCCCTTTCCCAGCAGGAATTGCTTTCAGCTGGCTTGGCTGCGTAACAGAACATAGGTGACTCGACACAGACGGTTGGTAGATATTTCAGGGAGGGGCACAGCCCTCTGCCCATCTGGTTGAATTCTGTCGGCATTTTGCCAGTTTTCCTCTGGCAGTGAGTAGAGTTGGCTAAACAACACGTAGACACCCTTTCAGCTGTGGCACAGCATGCACCATATGTGAGTTCAGCAACAGCCATCAGTTTTTGGGGGAATGGCAATCAGAGTAGTTTTATCTCTCCCTCTTTCTCCGTTTATCTCTCTCCGTTGGAGTTTGTTTCTATCTTTTTTTGGATCAGGACTGAACCCTGTCATTGATGTCCTTCCTAGATATCAAAGCTGTTGGGCCTGCAGCAGAGGTGGTCTATTGCTGAACTGAGACCTTGAGACAAGCCTGAGCTAAATATCATCCGTAAACCTGAAAAAGCCCCTTTTTCACCCAGAGGAAAAACCTGATCTGTGTTTATGTGTGTAAAAGGGGAGTGAGGTTAGCTTCAGACTTCCAACATATTTCATTAATCTTGCTTTAGACTGTGTTAATGTAACAGTTGGGTGACTTTTATACCGCAGCCTTGGCCTTGATCAGACACATGATGCCCTATTGATTTCCACACATGCTTTGAGAATATATGGCAAGCCCATGTAACATTTCATTGACTCTGCCAAGTTCTTACTCCCTTTGAGCTGGAGTGAGAATGAGAGATGGTTGACGTGTTCGGCACAGTCTCAATCTCTGTCCTCTTAACATATTCCACATGTTTCCATTAGGGGTTAAGACATTATGATGGATCTATTAATTGCGATCCTTCTCAGATCTTGTTCACGGGCATACGTTTCTGCAACACCAGAAAACTGTTGCCTTTTTAGAACTTGGAAATGATTGAAATTGTGCATCAATGGGCTCATTAACCAGCCCATGATCTGTAAGCTACCTATTAGTTAATAGTACAGTTTAGATTGATAAAAACAACTTACACAAAATCTTATGTACCACACTAATTTGCCTCCTGCTGTTTTCTGTTCAGATCATGGTAATTGCGGTTGGTAAAGCCGTATAGCACCGGGTATGCAGCAAATGTCAACACAATGCTTATGACGTTGAGCACTTTTCAGCTCTGAGTTGATTTTTTTCCTACTTGAGGCATTCAGGGCACTCCCGCAAATACGCGAGGCGCATAGAACAGAAAAATGCCAGGCACTCAGCAATGGAAAAGCAGTTTGTTAAATTATTATTATACAGCTAAGATAAGAATACGAAAATGTTCTTGCATGAGTTCCATTGAGGTCACTGTTGTTGTTCTTTAACTACAGCAACAGGCCTACGGACGTCGTTTTCCTTCTTTACACTGACGTACAGACCCGGGGTGCACATGTGGCCAATTTAGCTTGGTGGATACCATGGTGTCCATAATTAGAGCCCCTGGATGGTGTAATGACAAGGGGGGCGTTTGGCTCTCTCTAATCTCCTCCTCTATTTCTATTTATTATCCTCATCGTCATGAGCATCATCACACTGTCACAGGCGCAGCGGGATGCAATTTGGTTATCCGCAGGGCTTTCCCTGCCACACATTCAGCGGTCATCCACTTATCCAGCAGTGTTTCTGTTCCTTTCTTGTGTTTCCCCTCCACTGTAATCTCTGAACCCCCCACGTCTGCTTTTCATGTCAACAGAGATATCCAATGTCTCAGTAAGTTTCTCTAGGATGAAGGCTCCTCCCTCTCCATATGATCATACTATAGGGCTGTGGTTCGCTGGGTGGCGTAGCGTGTGGTGAAAGCGCGGTTTGCCACATAGCGCTGTGATGTGGGACTCTGGTTGGAGCTGGCAGCTTTGTGCTCAAGCTCCACAGGAGTATCTCCTCAGGCACAGCCTCTTTGGGCTGGACTCTTCCTCCGCTCATCATTTCCTTCTCTTGCGCCGCAAACAGAAAGCATGTGTGTGCCGGGACAGCTGGTTCAGGGGAGTGCGTCTGTGCCTGTCGTGACCTCACGGAGTCAGACAGTGTCCCTCCGAGACACTTTTTTTTAAACTGTCTGATGATGCAGTGATGATGTCATGTAGACAAGGGGAACTGCAGGGCAGGTGTGTGTTGGGAGGTGGTCGGGGAGGCTGGGAGGTGGAATGCATTAGTCATACCACATGTCGCATCTTGCTTCGCACATCCTGTCGTCTCCCATAAACAGACACTTGATTTATCATGTGCGCCTAATTCTGTTCACATGTAAAAGTGTGTTTTAGTGATAACCCACTGTGTGATTATCATGGTCTGCGGCCCCTAACCTTTTTTCACCCCAACAATGTGCATCTTATAGGCTCAGATTCTGTTGGACTGTGGAGAGGACAACATCTGTGTTCCTGACTTGAAGCTGGCAGTTAACGGGTGAGTCTGTCTACCAATCCCATAGCGTTTGGATTTTGGGAAATATATTAGAATGTGATGGATAATACACAGTAAACTGTGAACAGGGTCACTGAACTCTTCACCTCCACACGGTGCTCGAATTTGAGTGCTAAAGTGTAAATACAGCTGTTTTTGTTGTTCCGCTGCTTTGTTTAGTTTAGCATACCAGAGAGGGACTGTTAACAGCCCTGGAGTTGCAGTAGAGTAGGGGTACATAGTGCTCTGAAAACAGGAAGCAGCTCTGCTCTACAGGTGCTATGCGGACAGTTCAGGGGAAAAGACAGAAGAGATAAAAAGGAAAGTATGGGAGCTGTGTGGCAGAGTCCCAACCCCGCCTTGCTCTCTGAAGCCGTCAGGAGCACCCTGCCTTCCACACTATGATTCAAGAAATCTGTTAACATTTTTCTCAAAAATAATAACCTCCCCGATACTCCCTTCTCTGCTCTGTCATTTTGATTTTACATTCCTATATTTATATACCATCTGCCTCCATTTCTTTCAATGTATGGCTGATCCATCACATGTGGAACAACCTGCTGCGAGTGCTGCGCTCCGTTCAAGTGCAACTCCAGAAACTGAGCCGCAGAAAGTGTGATTGGTGCGATTTAAAATAATAGCTCAATGTTTTTGTCTGCTCTGTTGTAAATTAAGAACGCCTAATAGTAGTAAGAGGGGTTGACAGGATGGCTGTGATTTAGTGGAATTTCAGATAAAGTATCCGTCGTTCCTGCAATGTTGTTTCTTCTTTTCCACTGCCAAAGCACATAACACTTTCAGCCTCTCAGGGAAAGCTTTAAAGTTTTGTCCTGTTTTCTAATTTTGAGCCTTTGTTTGGTTTAAAAAGGGCAATGCAAGTTTGAGTAAGACTGAAGTTGACTCGTAGGCTGGCAGAGGATCAGTTCTAGAAATCTTCTCTCTCTGGCTCTCCTGCTCTGCTTTACGAGAGCGGGCTGTAATTAAAAGCGTCTGTGTGGCCCTCCAAATGGAATCTCTCATTGTTCTTAGCTGTGGAGAGAAGTAGAGGGAGAGAGAGAAAACAAGGAAGGGGGAGGTGATTTTACAGTCCTTCGCTGTGTTATTAGGCATGTATGACTTTATTACCACATCGGAAATGTTTTCACTTAATGATCGGGCTTCGTGAGTTAAATCGAATGTCTGTTTTTTGGGGGTTTTTTTTGTAGCATGCCTCTTAAAAAAAAAAAAGCCAGTGCATTAGTTTCAGCAAATTTATTGGCTACTCTACTGCCAGCAAACGCAAACAAAGACTCATTGTATTCTCATCAGCGTAACACAGCTTAACATATATTTAGGCTTGGGTAATATGGAATAGATCAAATATCGCAATATTTTTCACTAAATAACTTAATTCTTAAGTTCTCTTACAAAATATTCGCACAATGAGATTTTTGATCAGAATTACTAAATGGATAAAGGCAAATAATGGAAATGCTAGAAATACCAGCCCTACATATATATATATATATATATATTTGTCTAAGGAGTCCTGACACTATTTAACCTAAACATCAACCCTATTAGTGATCCACGTTTTCTCTGTCTGGGTCCTCAGAAACAGGAAGGAAGTCTACCTAGGTGATGACAACTCGCTGACCTTGACTTTCAACGCCAAGAATGAGGGTGAGGGAGGGGCGTACGAGGCAGAGCTCTATGTGGTGCTGCCCCCTGAGGCTGACTACAGCGGTATTGCCCGCAACAATGAGGTGAGTAGGAATGCAAAACACAAATAAAACCCACAACTTCCAGCAACTAATGTACTTCTTGGGATGTGATGACGGCAGCTGGTCTTTTTCTTGATGATTGTCCTCGTGGTCTGACCAATCCTGTGTCCTCTTGTTTCTCAGAGCCTGACCCAGCTTACCTGTAGCTATGAAACGGAGAACCAAACCCGATACCTCAGCTGTGATTTGGGCAACCCGATGAAGTCTGCTACCAGTGTATGTACATCACTGTCTTCTGAGAGTATTTTTTCTCTTGTTTGCTCCATGAACTGATAAGTTTAAGCGTTGAAGGATTGTGGTAAACAGTTGACACTGGGGGTGTCGCGATTTACTGGTATTGACGTCATTGATGTCATGTCAAGAAAGCACATATGATAATATCAGGGGCGACCGTGGCTCACTGGGTTTAGAGGGTTGTCTGGTAACCGCAGGGTCAACAGTTCGATCCTCTTACTACTATTAGGCGACTGGGATGTGTCACGTGTTGTAGTGTCCCTGAGCAAGACACTGAACCCCAGGCTCCCCGGATGCCTATCATTGGCAGCCTACTGCTCCCTATATACAGGGATGGGTCAAATGCAGAAGGCAAATTTCGTGTATATGTAATGACAATAAAAATGGTTTCTGGTTTTTATGGTTTCATTGTGTGAATGATCCAGCACCTCTTAAATCCCTACACTTTGATATTACGCTAGTATTGTTATCGTGAATTATTTTGGCAGAATAATCGTGTAGTGAATATCTGATATTGTGACAGCCCTAGTTGACAAAACATCATCATTTCCTGCTCTTGGTAGGAAAAAGTTGTATCCCCAGGTTGGGTGTGAACAGCACAGGAAAAGTCAGAATGTGTTCGGAAATGTTGTGACAGGAAGCACAGACTCCCATCTGTGCCCTCAGCTCCCTGCTGGGTAGAGTTCCCATTTTTAATGATAGTCACAAGCTGGCATGCTTTTAATAGGTCTGTAGAGGAAGACTGTCAACGAAATGTTAACTGGAAGAGCGAGACAGACGTCTCCATTTTAAAAACAATTTACTGTCGTAAAATATGCTCACTTGTTCTTATGGTAAAGGTCTCCGGGTTGTAGCGTTATTGATCTGATAGATAAAAAGAACATAAAAAAAGTAGCTGCAGAGAGACTTAATGTACCAGTTTGTGTGGAAAACAAATGGATCTGTTATAGATAAAGAGGGCACATTTTGAAACTTCCCATGTGTAATGCATCTGTATGCTGGATAGAACAGCAGTTCACAGACTGAAACACCCAAGAACACCACAAAAATCTATCAGATGGATGAGATGAGTTCAGTAGAGAGGGGAGGAATGGCTGGAAGAGAGTCCTTGAAGGGTAACTTCAGTATTTTTCAACCTGGACAACAGGTTTTTTGTCTCTAAGTGCCGACAACAATTTTTGAAATTGGTCCAGTATTGAGCGACAGCGCCGCAGACGGCAGCCTCTCAACGGGCTGTTTGTTTATTGAACGCTCCTGCTGCTGGTCGGAGCTGGCCAATGCTGCGCTATGATAAGCCAGTCTGTGTTGGAGTTGGACTTAGCAAAGGGGCATTTTCTCACGGTTAATGCATGTCCACGAAGGTGCTTTTTTTTTGCCACTGACAGGCTCAGATTGTTATTAAACATCATGTCTGACATTAGAAATAAAATGTTTTTCTGTACCGTTCGCTTGATTCAACCTGTTTAGCATGTAAAGTGGCTGCAGCATTCTTGTGTTCTCCATTTAAAAAAAAACAAAAAAAAACGTACCGATAAGTTACTTTGACACAAAAACATGAGAAATCTGCTCCAGGTTCAGGGAAATATTACATTTTGTGATCGACTTTTGTTTTTAATGATAATTGATATGTTGGATCTTCGTCTTTGCAGCTGTGGGCAGGTCTGCGCTTCACAGTGCCACGGCTGAAGGACACGCACAAAACTGTTCAGTTTGAGCTGCAGATTCGCAGGTACAAATTGCTGTCAACCTACATCAGAGACACTAACGTGTGGTTCAGCAGTACTGATCTCCACAGCTCTCGAATGACATCAGCTAATCAGAATCTTTTTCCTCTCTCTGTTTCCACAGTAAAAATGAGAATAATTCCCACAGTGAGGTTGTGCCTTACAAGCTGGAGGTGGTTGTTCAGGCTGAAGTCATTCTACAAGGGTGAGTTCAGTGTCAGGATTCCCTCATTTGAACTTTGGGAATTTCATTAAGTCTCTGGGGCCTTCCTACGCATTCTCTCACATCCCTACTTCTCTTTTTAAGTGTGTCTCGACCAGATAAGGTCTACTTCCCACCGGCCAACTGGAAGCTGACCAAAAACTACGAGGTGGAGCAGGATGTTGGGCCTGCAGTGGAACACATCTATGAGGTAATCAGCCATGTTGTTAGCTCTGCAGACTCATCGGGGTTGAGCAGATTGGGTCCGAAAGCAGATAATACTGTTCACAAAGCAACTTCCCAGGGCAGCAATGAAGGAAAACCAAAGAAAACGTACTCCAGATTAAGCAGTGTGATTTATTCTCAGGCGCTGCTTATCCACCTTCGTGAGATTTAACGGTGCTCTACTTTAGGTGACCTATTTGTAGATTAGGAAAATATGTCAAATATGAAAGCTTCAGCATGGGGAAAAAAAAAATCGGATGCAACCTCCCAGCTGCAACTAAAATATGAAACTATCAAGCTGCTTTTGAAGTTTTCTAATATGTTACATACTAAAGTTTTTTTTTTTTCATTTCCTTTGTCCAGCTGGTGAACAACGGGCCCAGCCGGATCAGCCACACCCTGCTTGAGCTGCACTGCCCCCTCAGTGTCTGGGGTCAAACTCTCCTTTACCCTCTTGAGTTCTCCTTAGAAGGCCCCATCAACTGCACCTCTGACAAGAACATGAACCACCTACGCCTCAAAGTGAGTGTCTCTCAGAGTCAAATAGGGCCAAATCAGACAGTAAACATCTCCCACTGGTTCCCACTCAGATGTATGATTAACAGTTGCGCCGTCCCGCTGGTTGGCCCACACCCACTTCCTCCTCCCAGCTTTTTAGCTCCACCCAGGACACTAACCCCACCACCGCTTTGAAGTCCCAGCTCTTCCCTGTGCTTAGAACAGCTTGATGAACCACCTCACCCAGCAACTCACTCATCTTCGACATCCAGCGGTGCGCCCCCTTATACCAAGTTGTAGCTTTGGGATTCGGTGGGCAAAGCATTTCAGCGCTGCTGTTTGTGTTTACATTCAAAGCTTGACACATGTTGAGCAGGGTTGTGAGTGGTCATCTGTCTTAGCTGTGTGATCTAATGTTTTTCCACCCCTGGTGAATTGCTAAGTACGGTGTATTTCCCTGGGAATCCATATGGAGTAGAGCTCACATGCTTCTGATTAATGACAAAAAGCCTTAGGGTCATGCTAACATTAGGTCTTATATTGACAGAAAGGGTGGTGTGCTCTTCTGCCTATAGTGAGGTCAGAGTCTGTGTTGTCCTAATCGGTGGTGTGTGTATGTGTGTTTGTTCTCTCTCCTCCTTTAGCTCCAGCACACGTCCACAGAACCACCTATCCTAGCACTGAAGGCCCATGAGCACCGCGTCGAGAGGAGGGACGTCCACAGACGTCCACAGCTCGCTCATTTGACTAATCTGGTAAGATGCTTAAAGTGTGAATCGCCACGTTCTCATGGATGAACATAGTCAAGCCAAAAGGTTAAGTCTAATGTAATAGGTGACATGCAAGTGAGGAAATGAGGAGCTTGAGTTTACAGTTAAGGGTTTAATGTGTTTATGTGGTTAAAGTTATTTTTGTGTCAGTTGCAGAGCAGGACGTGTCCTTATTGGATAAAACAATATAGTTTGTTGCCTTAAAGCTATGCTGTTAATCTTCTTCAAATCCATTTTTTGTCATATTTGTTGAAATTCTCTTTACATCCCGACAGCAATCAATAAATTGAATGTTCTGTCAAAAAGAAGAGGAGAAGTTTGGTTTGCCTTCGTGTGCGCACTCTGCCCGTTTACTCATTGCTCATCACAGGAGTCTTCCACAAGCTGCTAGCTTAACAGCTGTGAGCTCTAACAATAGCCATGTTACTTGTTTACACTCATGAGACGAATTTTGTGGGAGTGGCTTTGAAGGGAAGCCTGAAGGAACGGGCTGTCAGTGTTGCAGACTTGGTGACTTTCTCGCTAGATTTAGCATTTCTTAGAGCTTGTGATGCTAGCTACTTTCATTGGAGTTGGCAACACTGGGCTGGGATTTTTACAGTTGGATCATTTTTAAAATCTAGCTTACTCGTGCTGGTTTCTTAAGATCACTAACCCTAGCTTTAAGTTTAGCGTGCAGGTCTGGATCTAGTTTGGCGACACTGGCCATGCTCTTACACGAGGCTCCTGGGATTGAGTAATTAGGTTATGATGTCGTTAAAAGGGAGGGGTCAGAGGGCACAGGCTTGTCCCGTTGTGGTGATTAACATTAAAGAGTCTTTAGTAGTGGTGGTGGAGGGGCAGAGAGGCCGAAGGGACGTGGGAGGCTTTTTGTCAGTGATGCACTGGTTACTACACAGACTGCTCTCTAATTCTGGGCTCTGGGTGTTGTGAGGCCCCGAGCCCCCACACACTGGCCCTATTGATCCAACCAGCTGCAGGTAGCTTTTCTCTCTGCCCCCAGTCTGTGGATACCTGCCTCCACCAAAGAGGTCTTTGTCTGCGGCCTATCGCTTCTAACTGTGCTCGTTTATCAACCATGTCCAATGACACCTCCGTATGAAGGACCCCATTCTCCTGTTTCCCGCATGTCTGCACTTTTATTTTCTTTTAGCTCTCAAGAGGAGACATCTTTGTTCAAAGTGTCTCTTAATCAAAGTGTGTTAGTGTTTAGCAATGCTTGGTTAAAGCTGTCAGCCCAGGTCATTGTGTGATCATTAAAAATGACCTGCTTGGTCTTTGAAGAGCTGAGCTATGCATAAAGAACGAATGACTGTCTTCACATGCACTAATAATTGAAAGGCATTTCATGATCACTTGGATTTTTTATTCTGTTGTCGTACATTCATATGTTGTATTGGCTGTTGTGCAAACATAACTGTTAGAGTATGTTTGGCACCACTTTCTATTACGCTGTGCCAAAGGTTTATGTGGTAACTAATGTCTTTATTGATGGTAAATAAATGGTAATAAAGGTAATAAGTAATTAACAGATGGTAATTGATTAGTTATAAAAAATAAAACTACATTGGGGTTGCCAGGTTGTGATACATTTCTTTGACAGGTGTTCACCCTGCGGCAGGACTTTTTAAATTATTCAGTAAAGTCCTCTGATGAACTGCTTCTGGAAAAACCTGCTGAGGATCTGGACCAAAATAAATGTATTAACAATTTATTAACATTTGTAACTGTAGACTTGATGGTTTGTTAGTAAGTGTGCAACCTGCTTTATTTATTAATGATTACTAACATTTATTTCTCTATTATTACCAAATACAGTACCAACAGTGTACGGCAGCTGTGTAGTTATTTCACGAAGCTGTGGGAACAGCCTCCAAGCCCCCAAGCTCCAGATCTTGACCACATATCCCCACCAGGGAGGATATGTGGGTCTTGGGTCTGAGGCATCTTTGGCAATGGTCCATGTTCGGGTCATTTCCACAGCCCTTTGTGGCCCCGGTGCCCTGGAGCTGTGAGGCGGTCTACCAGGAGGAAGTGGACTGAAACGCTCCCTGTCTGTCTGAATACCCTCATTAAGTCTGTCTAAGACTGAGCCTAAAGGAAGCAGGCAGGCCCTCTGTTCTCCTCCTGAGTTTGCCTACTTGATATAATAAGTAAACTAATGCGCTCCCGCTGGAAACCCGCCGAAACCTCTCTATCTGGGGGTGGTCTAGTTGCAGCACCACCTCCAAAACACACTATGTCCATGTTGTGAAATGTTAAAAGTGCCAAGCTGGGTTATGGGGATCTAATTAAGATTCTATATTCTACAGTCTTAAGAAAAATGGGCCGGTTTTATCCATCCATCCATCCATCCATTTTCCTCCGCTTATCCGGGGTCGGGTCGCGGTGGCAACAGGCCAAGCAGGCTGACCCAGACTTCCCTCTCTACGGCAACATGTTCCAGCTCATTCTGGGGGATCCCGAGGCGTTCCCAGGCCAGCTGGGAGATGTAATCCCTCCAGCGTGTTCTGGGTCTTCCCCGGGGTCTCTTCCCAGTTGGACGTGCCTGGAAAACCTCCAGTGGGAGACGTCCAGGAGGCATCCTAATTAGATGCCCGAACCACCTCAGCTGACTCCTTTCGACGCGAAGGAGTAGCGGCTCGACTCCAAGCTCCCTCCTGATGACCGAGCTCCTTACCCTATCTCTAAGGCTGAGCCCGGCCACCCTACGGAGGAAGCTCATTTCGGCCGCTTGTAGCTGCAACCTTGTCCTTTCGGTCACGACCCAGAGTTCGTGACCATAGGTGAGGGTAGGAACGTAGGCCGAGTGGTAAATTGAGAGCTTTGCCTTCCGGCTCAGCTCCCTCTTCACCAAGACGGTCCGGTGCAGCGCCTGCTTTACTGCTGCAGCCGCACCGATCCGCCTGTCGATCTCCCGCTCCATCTTACCCTCACTCGTGAACAAGACCCCGAGATACTTGAACTCCTTTGCTTGAGGTAGGCACTCCGTCCCCACCTGGAGGGAGCAATCCACCGGTTTCCGGCAGAGCACCATGGCCTCAGATTTGGAGGTGCCAACTCTCATCCCCGCCGCTTCACACTCGGCTGCAAACCGCCCCAGTGAATGCTGGAGGTCACGATCCGAGGAGGCTAACAGGACCACATCATCTGCAAACAGCAGAGAGGCGATCTCGAGACCCCTGAACCTGACGTTCTCCACCCCCCCCCTGGCTGCGCCTAGATATCCTGTCCATGAAAGTCACGAACAGGACCGGAGACAAAGGGCAGCCCTGGCGGAGGCCAACACCCACCGGGAACGTGTCTGACTTATTGCCGAGAATGCAGACACAGCTCCTACTGCAGTCATACAGAGACCGGATCGGCCATTGTAATGGGTCCGGCACCCCATACTCCCGCAGCAGTATGGGGTGGGGCCGGTTTTAGCGGTTGGGCAATAATGTGGAGAGTGGTGCATGCTGCATTTTTACAGTCTCATGACATTCCTTCAGTCTAATTTGAAGCAGGCGTGGAATAGTGATCATAACATTGGGCTCTTTGTTATATTTATTTGACCTGCAGCATTAAAATGGCTGTTATTTGTCCTTCGAAATTTGTTCTACTAGTTTTCACTTTTGCCTGTGTGACTTCCACCTGTATTTAATTCCTGTTGGTTAAGATTTGTGGGAATATCTTCATTTAGAGTCTACTTAAGCACAATGATGACTTAAACAAAACGCATTTAGCATTTCATTGACATTATCTTTACTCCTTTGTGTCTGTTTCCGTAGTCCTGCTCTAATACGGAGTGCTGGGCACTCCAGTGCACCGTGGGTTTGCTGGAGAAGGGGACTACTGCTATCCTTAAAGTGCGCTCCCGCATCTGGGCCGAGACCTTCACCGAGGTTCGTCAGAGATGACCCTTGCCTTAAAAACTCACCAGACATGTACTGTACTCAAACACGTGTCCCTACCAGATGACAGGAGGCATAGCAAAGGAAATGGCTGTGCCCTATAGATTAGTCTTTTCCCACCGGTGCCTGTGTATTTTCTCATGTCAGGCTTTGGCAGGAAGTTAGAAGCCATTTTTCCTCAAAGCATCAACAAAAAAAATTAAAAAAGTTGAAACCTCAAAAGTGAAGCTGGCAAAGGTACATAGCTGCAGTAGTCAGTCTCGCATATCTTTTTGTGTTGATTCTGGATCAGATTTTAAGGCTGTCAGTATGCACAGTCCAACATATTTGCCTCAACAAATGGGACAACAGTTTCTAACACAATCAAGATTACAATTTCTACATTTTTCATTTTTTTTCTGTCTGTATGCCATATTGGAGTTACACACCGATTATTAATCACCCCCTGCGTGCTGTAACACTAGGCATCTGCATGAATGTATTGAAAATTCATTATCTGGTATCACAGCTTCTCCTAGGATAGGAATGCTGAAGGGATTTTCTTTGTAAAAAAGCCTACGGTCTCTGTTGCCCTCTAGTGTATAAGTGGTGGATTGCGTTAATTTTGAATCAAATGTTTCAACTTGCGCTTCTTCCTTCAGAGAGTTTACAAGCAATATGTGCTGGAGTGCCTGGCCAGCTACCGCGTGGAAAAGATGCCTTACGCCATCTTACCCAAACATGCTCCCAGTGGACAAAAAGAGGTATTTTAGATTTTTTTCCATTCTTTCCGGTGGCTCTACTTCTAACAGTTGTATTGTCTTAATTTTCTTTGTTGAAAGATGAAACTGACAAAGTGTGTTGTTGTCTTCAGGTGGTGACCCCAGTGGTGTGGAATAAGCCAGATATAGAGAACGCAGTTCCTTTATGGATCATCATCTTGGCCATTCTGGCTGGTTTACTGCTTCTGGCTCTACTCATCTACGTGCTATACAAGGTCAGTGCTGCTGTAAACAAGGATTTGAAAAAAATCTTGTAAACTGATTAGATATGTGCTCATTTCTAATTTTGGCTTTTCTTAAAAAAATGTTTTATTGTAGCTCGGCTTCTTCAAGAGATCTCTACCTTATGGTACCGCCATGGAGAAAGCTCAACTCAAACCACAGGCTGCCTCTGAGGCCTAAACAACAACCATAGCTACCAGAACCACAGCACCTGGCCATATGATTGCAACGGAGAAACACGATGGAACATGCAGACTGAATGAGAAAGCATTTGAAGAGAAAAGTAAAAGAGAGACCACTGGAACTCCACTGTGCTGCACTAGAGGAAGACAACAATCCAAAGATCTCCGAGCCAAATGAATGTTTCTTTTATTTGTTTCTTTTTTAACTTATGTCTTGTTTGTTGGCAGGTTGGGATTTTTACTAAATAGAACTTTTTCTCAATGCCTCAAGGCTAACATCAGACTGAACAATGAGAAAGTGACTGCAAAATACGCGCAGGCCTGCGGATGCAGTTTGATGCCTGTTGGGTTTCCTTGTGCTGATTCGTGTGGTGGAGAGTTCTGTAATATCCCTTTAACTGCCTTATTTTGGTGCTAATGACCTCACAGGATATGGCCACATGTAGCTTATGGTAGCCAGGAGCTGTGAATGACGCTGCCTGTTTAAGGCCTGAAAGTATTCTTCTGGTATCTCCTTATTATCGGTTAACAGGTTTCAGGTGAGAACAAGAACCTGGCTATAGCAACGGCAATATTACAGGCCTAGATGTCAAGAATCCATCTGTTTAATAGCTCTGCTTTTAAGACAACATTTAAAGTTTTACATAAGGTTTGACCTGTTCGAGGTGTTCCCCTGATTCTTGCCTAATGCATGCTGGGATATGCTCCAGCACCTCGCAACCCTGAACCAGATAAACGGGCGTAGAAAACGCATAGATGGATGTTTCTTAACTGATCTCTCTCTGCCTCAGGTTGGTGGACAGCGCTTGGTTGAGTTGTTTTTGCACTCAAAGGAAATCTACTGATATAATTCCACCAAAGACTGACTGACTGACCTTCCTTTGAGTTCTGATTTTGACTCCTACTGATCACTTTGTTTAAATCCTGTCCGTTGATGTTCAGAGTTACCAATGCTAGCATCATCGTCGTCGTGTAGTCGACTGGGATGGGACTGGAACCACCACAGATCTGAGAAACCTCACATTCGGCTTGAACCAGTGTGGTGCTTCTGTCAAACAAAACAAAGTGGCGTTCTCCTGAAGAATATTTTGCTCCTGCTTGGTTTGAATCAAAGCCACATGCAAGCAAATGAAGCCCAGGGGGAAACTGCAGAGTTGATGGCCAATGGCGTGATGATGTCTTGAACCAAAGACGTGACAATCATTAATGTTGTAGCTTTGGCAGAAAGTTTTAGTCTGAGAGCAGGCGGGATCATCGCCCTTTTAGTGGAGGGCTGGGCAATACGGAGAAAATCACATATCAAGATATTTTTTAACGCTTACCTTGGTATCAGTATTGTAAGGTTGACTATTGGAGCTTTTACAAACATTTTACACAATGAGATTTTTGATAAATAATCATCATTGATGTAGATATAATGACTAACAGTCTGATAAGTTCAGAAAATTACATCACTTTACTGTAATGCAGCCTTTAAAACCAGGAAAAGACAACAATTAAGCCATATTACGATATCTAACATCTAAGACGATATCTAATCTCGTATCACTATATCAATATAATATTGATATACTGCCCAGCCCTGTTTGAGTGTGAAGGATCCATTTCCAGCTCAGAGGGTGTGTTACTGTGTTATAATGTATTATACTGTATTTGTGACTGCTTTTAGAGTAAAAGCTGCCAACGTTTAGAAAGAAAAGTGGCGGAAGTCATCCCACTACCAAAAGGCTACAGGGACTAAACATTATAATGCTTCGTGTTGGTTTTCTTTTATTTGTCATGTACATAGATTTCACGTGCCTTAAATGTAAATACTTCATGTCCGTGGGTAAGAGTTAGGGTTGTGTGTGCTTGCATGTGCACGTGTGATTTCATGCATACATGCATTTGTGTGAATGGTATATTTATGAATGTTTGTTTTGTGTATGAATTGGTTATTACCTTTCCCATTGCTTAGGCCTGTTCATCCCAATCTGTAGCTTGAGATTGTTGAGGTTAATCGATTCTGCAATACTATTAGTCGTGATAGCATAACTACAGTCTAGGTAACTTGTTTAACTGCATGGCAGCAGTCAAAACACTGACAACCTCGGTGTAATTCCCAAAACTTTTCTGATTGTGGGTCAAATGTGTAGTTTTCAAAAATCAGTGTGTCTGGAATTCAAACCCCATGGGTCATTAAAAATGTATTCTCTATCAAAATAACTGTGCAACACTACTAAATAATTTAACAGTTGACATGATATAGTTTATTGGTGTCCCCATATATTACAAAAAGTATTTCTTTATCTGCTGTTTTTTAATTTAAATTCATTTCTCAGCCAAGAGGTTACAGAGAGACAGAGATAATCTTACTAAATTTAGTTGACATCTAGTGTAAAACTAGGATGTGCAATGTACATAGTGAAATGTATTAGGAACGGTTGTTGACAGCAGTTGGACTGTGGGCTGTGGTTTGGCCACCCCAAACCTGCAGGATGTCTTGTACCTCTAACACAGGGATAACAACTAGGCACTGGGAACTAAATGTTTAGAAGTGCAATATTTATATTCACCCTTTTAAAAAAAAAAAAGAAGATATTACAGTGCTTTCTTTTGTTTTATTTGTGACTGAGTTGTGATAAACCAGGACTTTTTGTTTCAAAGTATGTAATGGACACATACGCTAAATCCTTTGTAAGGTTCTGGCTTTTCACTTTCACTTGTTTTCTCACTAATCATACTTCAAAGTGTGAAACTTTTTTTTCCACTTCTGACGTATACTCACCACTTCTACGCTGGACCACTTTTTCTAAAGGTACTGTTTTTTTTAATACCGCAGACTGACACAAAAATGCAACAACCGGAACATATCTGAGCTGAACTTGACATAGTTTCATAATTTATGTGCTCTGCTGTTGCACCTGACCAAACACCGACATTATACGAACCATATGTTTTACATGTGTTTGACTCATCATCGCACTCTTTTCATGCCTCCTCTTATTAGCTAGTGATTTACAATTTGTCAAATGGTCCACAAAATCCCCATATGGTAGTAAAACATCTTTAAAACATCTATACCTTTGTCTGTTCTCCACTGAAGATGTCGACCCATTATTTATAATGACAGGGGATCGTTGTACTACTTTGTCTATGGCTACATCAGGGGAAGGCACTGGGTTTTCCTTTCTTTTTCTTTTACGTGTCTCAGCCCATTTTCACTCTCCAGGACTTCCAAAAAGAAGTTGTACATATTTATGACAAGGAGAGTATTTTTTAAATCAACAGTTAACTGATTTGTTGTGAACTTCTCTCACCCCATATTGGGGAGAACACTCTTGTCAGCGGAAAGAATGGGGGACGGGAGTCTTTGGAGGTCACTTTTTACCTGTTATGGTTTGTACTTTTTAATAAAATATTTCCCTTTTTACAAACTCTTGTGCTTTCATTGACACGTGTAATTGAGAAAATAATTTATTTAGAAAACATTGTATGAAAGTATATGCATGTCAGTTAGTGGCATCATTGCCCTAAAAAAAACAAAAACGATCTGATACAATATATTAGTTTTAATGTGAAAATACTCGTGCACAAAAAAACTAACCTAAAGTGATAAACTATGGCAAAGATCTGTTGTGTGTGTGTTCTTATGGCCTTTTTGTAGATCCTCACAAGGGATCCTTCCACAGACGGCAGTATGGACCTTTTCATTGCCACTCTGTTGCTAGGGCAACAGCTCTGCTCCAAGTTTACTTCCTGTCAGCTACTGCATTAACAAAACATTACAACAGAATATACAAAGAACATTGAGAATGTTAATGTTGTCAAGTTTGAAAAGGTCTATACAAAATGTCACATCAATGATTTTTTTTTACACCAAAGACAGGCATACTTTGCTTAACTGTACATGTTGTAACACTGCCTTTGTGAGGGGGTCAGTTTCCACTGTGGCACACGCTCTGCTGTAAGGCTTTTTGGATAAAAAAAAAAGCGTCCCACAAGTCCTTTTGGACATAGAATTGGATTCTCTGGTTCATCATTAGAGGTTATAACTGTGCAGACAGCACTTTTTTTGCTCTTGATGCTGTCTAAGCTCCTTGAATCAAAGTGAATCCACCGCACTGGACACCTCCAGACATCCATCTTATTTAGGCGAGTGTGGATGTTTTTGTTCATCCAGCTGTAGTCCGTTCTCTGGTTCACATTTTGCGCTACAGATTTACAGTCTTTGTACATTTGCGGGTTGATGCCCTAGCATTCTATTGTTCTTGATAGCTGTGTTAGCTTGCGCTGGTTGTCAATCACTTTCAGGTTCTGAATGTAGTGTCGGATGTTGCTGGGACTCCGCAGAGGAAGGGCGAGGTCGGAGTCTGGAGGAGAAGGAGACATCGCTTTTGACTCGGCACACATTTAAAGTGTTTGTAGTAGCAAATCTTCCTTTTCATTTTTTTAGCCAGTAAAATTTAAAAGCACTAATGCGAGAACAAGGGTAAAAGTAAAACAGTAACAAGGTTGTGGAGCTACACCATAAGCTACAGGCACTGTGTTTAAAAAAAGTAAGGCAAAACCAAGCTATAACTGTGTTAATGATATGGTAGATGTTGCTTACATGTAGATATGCGAGTCGTAGGCCCTTCCAGAAACATCCGATCTGCCAGGCCCCTCTGTGGAGACGATGGCACTGCAGTAGAGAAAGAGAAGTTTACCTACTTCATGCATCATTCAGCCAAATCATCCATTGACTTCAACCTGCATGTGCAACTGTTTAACCTTTTGACCTAAACCCATGCCAGTGCTATAACTCTGCTAGTTGACAAGCTCAACTGGATGCCTTACCATAAGGCTGGCTTCTGCATCCTCGTACAATTTTCACTGTCTTGGCAATCATGCGCTGTCAGAGTGGAAGGATGAGGAAACATTTCAAGTTGCATGCAATGCCATGATTTGTGAGGAGAATATAATAGAGCTGTGAAATGTTAGAATAAAAACATTTTTTCTGTCTTACCACTTTCTCAAAATTGACCAATTTGTCTACATAGCTGGGATTTCCCTCATTGATGAATGTCATGTCTGGACATAGGAACAGAAAACATGTCAGCGGTTAGTGAAGTTGTTTACATGACATTCTAATGCTGTGTAGGCGACACTGCTGGTATTTATCACCTTTGAGCAGCAGAGGCATGAAGGGGATGTAAGGAGGACTGAGTTTGGCCACAGCCAGTCTGTAGGCCCTGTGGTTGCGTGAGGGATCCTATAAGGAACAGAGAATAAACAGAGCACCTTTATTATTATGTTAGTGCACAGAATGAATGTACTAAACAGTAAATTTTGGAGTATTTATAAAATCTACTGAATGGGAGCATCTGGTGTAACTTACCATCAACCTCTCATAAGCACAGTAAATTCTTTTTGTCTTGCTTGGTATTCTCTGGAACAGACAATAACACTTTTTGTTATTTAGTGAATGATGATACTTTGTTGTATCATCATGACGGTTTCATTCAGGGGTTTCTCACCTCCCAGGTCTTGTAAAGCCTGTGTACTGCACTGTTGCTCAAACCGAACATCACAGCGAAGAATGAATTGAGATTCTTCTGCTCCTTTAATCTGTGACAGAGAGGACACATAGCTACAAACCAGCGTTTTTACCAAACTTATTGTAGGCCTATTGTAAATTGGATCGTTCATTTGTAAATAGACACACTGCCGTAGTCAGCATGGATGTTTGAACCAAATTTAGGGGCAATCCATGTTGTGACATTCCTCTCAAAAAACACACACATGTCGACATCATCGTGGCGCTAGAAGAAAAATCAAGGGGCCCACTAAAGTCAGTATGCCTAATCCTCTGAGGACCATGAATATTTGTACAAAATAATACATACATTTCAGTGTGGACCAAAATGGTGGACTGACCTACATTTCCATCAAAACATGGCAACGGTTTTAATGCAACTAACCCTAACTTACACTGCGGCAATCTTTATGAACTTCTTGAGCAGGATGGCTCGTTTCATCAGATCTTCACAGAGGCACAGCTCGGTCACCACCCAGTACTGCACCTCATTGAAGCGACGCACAAACCGCTCCAGGTTAGCTGTGATGGCACCAGGGAATTTATGACGGCCGAATATGTAGTAGACAAGCTCCACCTGCAAAGATAAAAACAATTATTCACATTAGTTTTTATAGGTGACTTAATGAATATGATTTGTTTCAGAAACATGTGAAGCATGCAGGACGTGTTGTACTGGAGTACCAGATGATCTCATGGCAAAGTGCCAACGGGTGTGACTCAGATACATTCATCAAAGAGATTCCCTCTCCTTTGTTGTAATGTGGAAGTTGTTATTCTATACATAAGGAAGTACTTTATATGCTGTCGTGAGATATCTGCTGGAGTTACCTCATGCATGGCAGTGAACAGTTCCCAGTCATAGTTGGTGAGTTCATTGGCGATATCTTTAGAGCCCATCTGTTCGAGGATGTCAGTTGTTCCTCGCTCTGGACCTTGCTGCTCCTTCAGGGGCATCTGGGAGAAAGAGGCCGAGAGGGACAGGAAATGAGAGGATAACAGATCGTGGTGGGTGTGCACCTTTGATGGTAAACTGCTTTGAATTATTAAACCACCATGTCAAACTGAACTGTACGTACCATCCATCACATATTTAAAAAAATAAATAGTATGGCGGGCATCTATTCCTCACCAGTTGCTCCACTTGGCTGCTTGTGCAGACGAACAGTCTCTCGTTGAGTCCCAGAGCCGTGTAGACTGCAGTCGCATCCAGCTTCAACTGAGCTCTTTCTGTGTGCATTTAATGAATCAAATACTCATTTTCAGCATAATGAACTGACAAAAAACAGTAGAAAATCACATTAATATCAGCTCTGAGTGCTTTTTAAAATTTTGCAGAAACTGACAATTTAAATAAAAAACATCTATGCACATTTGAAAAAAAGAGAAAGATGTCATTAATCTAGTCCCACCTCCCGTGGAGTTCATTTTGACCAGGATGTGATCTCCGCCAGGTTTGACTATAGCTGACATCACATCCTTTACAGATGTGTTCACTGGGAGCATCAGAGTGAGATGTTTGTTGTCTGGCCCGTAGATCTGATACAGCACTGCAGCGAGAGAGAGAGACAAAATGTCAAGACATGCTGATTTGGTCATTGATGACGTGAGTAATGATGTGTTATCATGAACAACAGATACAATGTGAGGTAAATCTACATGTATTGCAACATGTTGTCGTGATACATAGATAAAAACAAGTTAAGTTAATGGATCACGTCACTGATTTGATTTGTTTTAGAGTCTTACTCGCCTTTATCTTGAGCTCTGATTGGTTGTAACCTCCCCACTGGCTCCTCGCAGTTTGAAAACCAATCAAATTGCTGATTCTGTCGAGAGCATCAGAGTGACTCAGCAATTCAGTGACATTAAACTGACAAATGACAGCAGCATGACATTTAGTTTTCTCATTAAAATGTATCCCTGGTGTTAACATCCTGCAGCCAGCTGTCATGTGCAAAAAGACTAGACGCTTACCCTGCTCAGTGACTGATATCCATTCTCCAAGCTGTAAAATAAAAGATGAAAAACAGTTTTGGATCTCATGCTCAATATATCTCAATATTTAGGATTCGAGAAATGTCTCATAAATAGATGTTATGAGAGTTATGAGAGAATATAGACAATTTACACTTTTGTTCTCCTCCTTTCCCTGAATTGTTCTTTCAGCATGCTGAACAGACGGAAATCTCCTGCCACCTCCTTCTTCAACACCTGTTTAAGCCCAAACAAAACAAACAGAAACATCATTATAATATACATAATCTATATTCTTAAAATGTGATGCAATTATTAAACAAAAGGATAAATGCAATCCCAACCTCCAGAGAGTCCAAAGCAATAGGGTCTTCTTTCAGCAGAAGGCCATACAGCGCCACCCACTGGCCAATCAGCTTCACTACCTTCTGCTTGGTGGTGAGAATGTAGGAAGCCTTCTCCTGATCTGAACCATCAGAGAGCTCGGCCTGATAGGTGCAACGACGGTTAAGGGGCATATCATGAAAAGCTTTACAGACAAAAAATCTGAAACAATTATGAGAGACTGTATTTAAGCAGAACATATTAAATGTATACTTGATATTTACTTATGGTATCTAAATACTCTGTTTGTTTAATCTGCTGGCATCATAATCATAATCATAATAAGCTGCAGCAGCAGTGGCAGTACACATTATATTCTTGTCATCATCAGCATCACCATCACTGCGTATTAGTTTTGACAATCACAGGATATTGGTGCTGTAGTGCGGTACACAGCTGGCTGGTGGGCATGAAGACTTTGTGAGTGACCAGAAAGTCGCTCACACAGGGATCTGGAGGGAGACAAATATCACAACAACACAAGTTTAAAGGGAGACACCACGGTTGAATAGGGTGAAAAGATTCCATAATGCAAAAATTGTATGATTAAATTTGCACACACATATTATTTTAACAAATATGTGCTAATTTGCACAGGATGAAGCCAGGTTAAAAATGATTGTATAATTTCGTTGACATATTAGAGTCAAAGGATTTTAAAGAGGGAATTTTGGATATCTCTTGGAAATTGGCAATCAGAAAATACTGTCAACAGACCATAATAATAAAAATCTCCCCAGTGGATTACTTAAATTAAGACAGTTTTCTAAAATTAAATCTAATGCCAACTTTCCAACAGAAACAAATATACAAAGTAATACAATGAACACCTAAATGTGTATTTTCTTTCCACTTGTCTGAAAGAAGACAAGTTATGGAAGCTAAATTACCCCAAATCTCCAAACTGACCAGTGCTTGGAAAACAATGTTTTTGCTTTAACTAAGTTGCTGACCACGTCACTCAAGAAAACAGGGAAAAAGGCAAGAAGGTGCTTGCAGGGTCCCACCTATTGAGTCGTTTCCATTGGAGTCCAACCTTACTGTTTCCAGTAAGTGTTCTAGGATTTTCTCAGGTGTTCCTGACATAACTGTGTACCTGCACAAAGCATGACAGAAGGGAGAAAGAGTATTTTTTTAAATGTTAATATTTTCTTGGCATTGCTCTGCATTCTACTTCTTAGTTGTGTTTGTTGTGTAATTAGTGCCTGATAATGTTAATAACCCCCCCCCCCCAAAAAAAAAGAAGAACCAGAAAAACGCATATGATTGCATATGTTTTGTTGTTGAACAGAAAAGGCATTGCCTTCCAGCACATACTTTATCTACATCATAATTAAGTTTGAGGACTTCTTGCCTAATGGCATCAGGTCCAAAAAATGTAGGGCTCCTCAGATCATACATCTTGGTTGTTTGGTGGCGAACTAGAGCATGCGATAGTAGTGGGGTATTAGGATCCAGGATATCTAGGTGATTAGGGATGACAGATGGGGAAGTAGGAACAGGTGTGTCAGTGGGAGGTGCTCAGGTAAAAAGTGTGGTAGGCCTCTTTGTCTTTCACCTCTTGTTTGAAGCACATACTGAAATCTAGGGTTAGAGACACTCAGCGATTTTAAAGTGCCATATAAGTTTGATAGTAAATTTATATTTCTGTAGGAAAGCTGATTTAGTCCCCCCTCCCCACTCAAATATACAGTTGTGGTAATTCCAAGTACCGTAGGTAAGTCATGGCTTTATACTAAAGTCAGTCTGCCAACATGTCTTATTGACTATAATATTGGGTGTTGTTTTAAAATACTAATCTGCTCTGATCGGGACTTGCATTAGAGTGGTGTGTGGTGGTAGTTTGGGTGTGGTCTCCTTAGGTTGGATGAGTGATGTATTTGGTTGCAGTGATTATTCTTTTACCGTCTGTCTTTGGTGCCACCCTGTGCTGCCCTCTCTCACGGTCTGTTCAGGCTTTCCTTTAGTAGGACCAGCAGATAGTAGTTTTAGTAATTCAAATGAAACTGTTTGAAACCGTGCTTAAAATGGTTATTTTGACTGCTGTCTTTCTTTCAGAACTAGATTAAGCTTTAATCATTGTCAAGTTGTGTTGCCATACTACAGGCTACAAGAAGATAGTTCAAGGTGTGCAAGTAGCGGAGGTCAACATCATGCTAATTCACTTTTTTATGTTTGCTAAAACACTTTCAAGACTGATAACAAGTCATTACACATTGCAGGGTTGAAGTCCATTTTTTTTTCCCCCGGGCTTTTCAGATAACAGCCGTTTAATGAGACCTTAACTGCGTTTGACAAAAATATCTGTATGCTTGTTATGATGACAAATGGCAGCAATTGTGTTATTGGCGTGATACAGTATCTGCCCACGCCCAGGTAGACTGTCTTAATGATCGTAAACCTGTAGAGTGTGTGTGTGAGAGTTTCTCACTTGCTGTTTCCTGCCCCTCCCTGCTCAGCCCAGTCGGTTCTCTTCTCCAACACCAGTACAGTTTTCCCATGCTCTTCAAGTCTCACTGTATTAGCTTCCACATCCTGACGAACAAGAGACATGGATGAAAGCACCATCAAATACTCATTTTATATATCTGTGGATCTGAATTTGTGGTGGACACGGAACAACTTTTTGACGTTGTTTAAGCATAGTAATTAGTTACTCGGACACACCTTAAGGATGCGTATGAAGTCCTGTTTATCAACACGGAGGAAATGGCAGTTGTCTTCTCTCAAGATGATGGTGGCAGCACGAGGGGCATCATTCAGCAACGCTAGCTGCCCAAAGTCCTCACCCTCGTGTAGCGTAGTTACCAGGCCCTGCATGCACACAGCACTTTCAACATTACATTACACTAACAGACAATTCCAAGGCAAACCGTCATTTCATGAATGCCAATTCAGATATTTCTTATTATGGCAGTAAGTGTAAATGGATTTACCTTCCCATGTGTGATTACATTTACAGAGCCTTTCCAGATGATGTACCAAGAAGTGCCTTTGTCCCCCTGACTGAACACTGCATCACAAAAAGACAGTCAGTACTAACGTTGGTCCTTTACACACGTTGTTTACGATGGGCTTTATTATCTATGCATGACTAGAAGGCCATAGTGAGAGACGAGAAGAGCAAAAAAGACTCATGATGACCTGATTGTCTCCACTGAAGTAATGAATCAATTGTGACAGGAGGCTGTTTAAATATTATACAGATAACATATCTGAAAGGTATCTTGTACAGAAGTGACTGCTAAGAGGCCATTTGTGCACATGTGAACATAAGTGCACTGTAGTGTGATTCAATACATGATGAAATTGTGTCTGCGTGTGCATGTAGCAAGGCTGTAGCCGGAGCACTCACAGACTGTTCCGGCCTTGGCATGTGATTCAAAGACCAGCACCGCTGCCAGCTCCTTACGCACCTACAAGCACAACAGGCTAAGAGATTAGACTGAACTGTGTGGATTACTCCTAATGGTTCCTTGGTCAAAGCAGTTTAGGACTCAGAAGACCACTGGATGTGTGGCAACTTCTATTATCGTAAATGAACAAACAAGGTAGAAACATTATGGGGCAAACTGTTTCTTTTGCATTTTCTTACAATGGCAAGTGTTTTATGGTTGATTTTGTTTATGCAAGAATTCTAGCCTTAAGGTTGTATGAAATTAAATGACCATCAAAGTAAAGCCTCCAGTGTAATTGGCCCTTTGCTAAGTTATGGCCCTCAAACACAGACTGGCCGATCATAGCGTAGCATCGGCCAGCTCCAACCAGGGTCCGACAGTTATGACAGGGGGTGGCGGGGCTTAGTGAAGGGTCACTTTTTTTTTATGCAGAAAAACTGCATACAGTGGCTTTAATCATACGGACACGGATGTCAAGAGCAGGCAGTAAAAGTGACTCACAGAGGTGGAGAGATGAGCTGCAGCCTTGACATGGAGCAGCTCCTCATAGATGACCTCCAGGTCCTCAGCACTCCTCTGACTGGGGCTAAACACAGACGTCAGGTGTAATCAACCACAGATGCACTTACAAACTTTGTTGAAAGATGCAAGATGGACTGTTGTATATGATCACTATGAAAGGGACTTCATCATTAGTTCACTTTCTAATCATTATCATTATTAGTTGTGTAAAGCCTCAACATGCTGACCATTTGCGTAGAATCATAGTGAGCAGAGCATCGGGACCCAGCTGAGACAACAGCGACAGACTCTCCTGCAGCTCGTCCTCTGAGTCCTTCTCATTTGTTATGTGGTTCAGGCCAAACTCCGAGTCCTGGAAGCGGTAGAACTGGGTGTCCTTGTCATGGAAGTTCAACTCGTGTTTCACTTGATTGAGGCAGATCACAGAGGAGGGAAAACATCAATAATGTAACGAGACCTTTTTGAAAAATGGTGATCACATGAAAATGAGATTTAGAAAAGGAAATAATTAATACATTTTGAACTTCAGGAGAAAAAGTTGTGGTGCAGTGACTTTACAAAAGTCCTGAATGACAAGATACATGAAAATAAGATTCATTTATTCAGAGTGATCCCCTTCATTTGATGATGAAGCCTTTACATCCTGATTGGAGTGGTCTCTTCCAGGAAGACAGTGCCTCGTCCAAAGAGCAAAAGCGTTTGACTGAGTGGGAACACATTGTAAAACATATGCCGTGGCAGGCTCAGTGAACAGATTTCAAGCTACTCAAGCACTTCTGGGGAATTCTTAAGTGCAGCCTGAGACTTGACCGTCTGAAAAATACATACTTCTAAAGGCATGAGCTCGCCCAACACAAATGGTAATTTCTCCTAATTGTGGTTGCCGGTCATTGGTTGGTAGTATTTCTGTCTGTTGTGAAGCACATCCAAGCAAAGATGGATTTATAATTATTCTTGAGACACAATTCTGCAAACTTCAGCTCTTTAGTTACCATGAACAAGGATTCCTTCATCCACCAAGACCTGCCACATTCCAACTGCTTGACTTCTTGATTGCAGGCATTCATTTTGTTTCATCAGCCAATCAACAAGTTCCTTTCCAGAACAACATTGCCTGTGAGAGAAATTTAATATTTGAATCAGCATATATATTTTGCATATATATATATTTTTTTTTAACAGGGAAGAAAATGTGGGTACCTGTATGTTTTGAGGTGATACTTTCTGTCTCTGATCAGACCTGGGTTCCCCTCCATCATGACACTATACACCGCTCTCGCTGCCTTTACCACACGATCTGAAAGAAACTTAACAAACATGACATAAAAAAAGCAGTTAAACTCTTGTCTTTCTGGCATAAATATTTATGTGAGTTGTGTTGCCTTTTATATCATGTGATGAAACAGAGTGCGAAAGAGCGGGGGGGGGGGGGGCCCTGTACATAAAGAAGGATGATAACACAAGCGGTTTTGTTTACTGAAACAGTCGGCCGGAGTGCTGGCAGCAGACAGAAGTTGGCAAAAAAAAAATTACGTTTGCATGTATAAGTGAAAGAGACAAGTGTTTCTGCATTTCCCCTCAGTGTGAAGATCTTGTGATGGGAACCACGTCATCAATGTGGAGATTTATGTGGGCGTTGTAGTGTAATGTGGTGCGTTTGTGGGTTGCAGGGAGGCGAGAATGTATTAAAAATGGCTATGTTAAACTCTCCCACTCACTGAGCTCCCTCCCTGCCTCGACAACTCACTCTCTGGGTGGCACACAGCGACAACAAACTTTCACTTTCTGACCACCGTCAGTCTATTTCCTTTCAACCTCTCAAATCTTTCCGCTCCCCTTACTCACACCCCCTGACACACATACAGACAACTCACTAAACCCCCCCACCCACACAAAAAAACTGCAGACATTGGTGCAAAACCTGTCAGCCACTGATGCAGAAGCAAGGCTTATGTAACAAGAATGGGCTTTGTTTTTGCCTGTAATGCAACTGTCCCATTTCAGGCCTTTTAACGCTTTACACGATACACTCTGCTTCCATTTCAAAAACAAATTGGATCTAACAAACCCCTTAATATTTATTGTCTTTATGAATGACTGGAGTATACATCTTTATTGTGATCCTCCCTATTAAACTTACTCTCTCACATACCCTGCACGAAGTCTTGTGACTCCAAGAGTGACTGAGATGGCTGCTTGTTTGTTCTTTGGATTTTCCTCAAGGCACTGCTATTTATTCAGGGTGGTGGTCTAGATATGCACACAGAACCCCACAATGACCATTTCCTCTATTAGTGTACTCTCTTTTAAGTGGAGTAGCGATGTAAGGAAGCAATTGTCACCTGCACCCTTTGCCTTTTCTAGTGTTCTGCAACTCCTTCAGGATATAAAAATGCCTGCTGACCTTTGACCAGTCTACTGACCCCTTGTATTGATGACGCCAACACAATCTTTGCACTTTGGGGGCTTGTTAGATCGTCGTTCATGCAGGATTGCTTATTATAATGTACAACTATAACAGACTACTGTGGGTAACACTGTACAGCACAAACTGCAACCTATCAACTCCACATTGGGCTGTTCCCAGACCTGACATCAACAGAGTAGCCCAAATGTGCCCCCAAAGTGTCTGCTGTGCCCCTCTGGAGTTGTGTTGTCTAGAGGTCACCACTTTTCCCAGGGGCCCATTTTCCCCTGGGACTCACATTCTCAGGCATGTCAGCTCCAAAAGTCATTTTCTTGATGAGGCCATTTTCCATGACCTAATCCAGTCCCTATAAAAACAATATCAAAAGCCATATTTCACTAAGGGGAGCCTAGATCCCACTGCTAGATCTGACCATCATGAAAACAGGCAGAAACATTTTCTATTACTGTGATTCATTCCAGTTATGGCTGTCTGCGTTGAACAGTGTGTTGTTTATTGGCTGAATGTAGGCCAGCTAATCATGTTATCTAGGAACCATAGCCAGTAGGTCACTGTTCCAAGTGAGTCGAATTACAGAGCAAACACCTTTCCCAGGTACAATACACACTGTGTGTGTAGCAGTGTGCAGTGACCAACACTGACGTATGGGCCATTTGTAAGGTTTGGACAGGCAATTACTACCCATTTTATGACTCGGGTTGATTGTGCTGTTGAGGCCATTTTACAGTCAGGAGCCTGCATTTAAAAAGTAACTTCTGTTTTACTTGGACTTTAAGGCAGAGTGTCTTTAGCATCTGTACAGCGAGTATTTCCCAGTGAAACGGAATATTTTAGTTATAATAGGGAGTTAAATGAAATCCTTTGCATTTGATTGGATCGTTAAAGGTGGGCATGCTTAGAGTTTTCACCGTACAGAGCTAGACTGTGCTCCACAAACACCTCACTTGTTACTAGAAGTTGCAGATTGATTGATAGTTGGATGTCATGACATTATTGGTTGAAATTGGTTGGCACTAGATTGCAATGTGTCATATTTTGTTACATAGGTAAAATAGATGATTGGATTTTGATATAAAAATACGCAGAAATAGATTTTTTATTTTTTTTTGCATATAAAAATAGGTGCACAATATCACCGGGTATGTGACCTAAAAGGGTTCAAAATTTTGTGAACGCAATCATTTGGATGCAAGAAAGTAGTAGTATCCCAGCACAATCACATGATCTATTCTGTGTATTTTCTTTAATTTCATTCTGGTCCTGGCTGAAAGTGTTAGTCGTAGTCTTTTGAAGTCTGTAGTACGTGATTTGGTTTCATGCATGCATCTTGTGGGGTGGAATGATGAGTACAGTTCTCCACTGTCTCTCCTCTGTAGGCGAGACATTTCTCTGTTTCTTACTCTCAGTGACCTTGGTGGGCTGTGTTGTGTGAGAAGCAGCTACAGATGAACACTGTGTGATTTGACAAAGAGCTTTGTCGACTGTACCTGACTTTTCCTTTCTCTCTGAGTGAGAAAAATACAAAACTACACTTCAAGAGGCAACGTTTCTATCCTGCAATACATGTATATATGGGTTCTTCCTGACCTTTAATTTAGGTCGTTCAGCATCAGATCTTTCAAGTTGTAGCTGTAGCTTATGTGAACTTACACCTCTGACCTACACTAGATGAGTATGGGAAAGTTGCCTGAAGAAGTCAAACACATTATATAACTTTGCGAAATCCAAGCTACAAAGTCCTGCACCTTCAGAACAGTACCACCTCAGTCAAAGGCAAGTAAAAGCAATGTGAAAAGTTTTTGCTGAGAAAAATTCAACTGGAACTTTTGTTACACATGTGAAAAATGTGTGTCTGCCATTAAGCTAATCATCACATTTGGTGGATTCCACCTCAGTGAGTTCAAACACAGGTTATTAAAAACAATCCGTCTTGTATGTTGAGTTATCAGAATGTATGATTCTCATTAGTGACTTAGAATCTGGAGCCAACATTTGCTAAGCAACCGAACAAAGTTACAAAAGGTTAGCAACACCTGCCTCCTGCAGACACGATGACTCTATTTTCTCTATTGTCTCTCTCTAGCACAAAACAAAATGCACAGGGATTGATTCTTTTGGGGTTGGAAGTCTCTCTCTCTCTCTCTCTCTCTCTCTCTCTCTCTCTTCCCCCTCTCTCTCTCTCTCTCCCCTCCCCCTTCATCTGTCTGGTGGAACCCAAACAGGATTCACTTCATTTCAAACCCTGTATGAGTGTTTTTACAAGTTCTCTCCTTGGCATATTGTTGAAGAACCCGAGATAAGGCAGTGTGAGGGGCCTGGGCTGGGTAGGGCTCAGTTAGCTGTGGGCCCTGGAGTGCCCTTTAGACTCCTTGTGGAATGTGTTTTTTAAGACTCGCTTGAGTAGTAATGCAGGATATTATAACAAAAGAACGGGTTCAGCAGTTTGAGAGGATGCAAGCACTGCAACTCTGGATGATAGCCGAGGTCAGTAGAGCCACGAGGAGAGAGGGACTTCCAGGCTGGTGATTAGAGTCACATTTAAGGGCTGTACCAGCCAGTGTCAAATATGGTGATCAGCTAATTTTCAGAGTGGCAAATGGAGAGCCTGATGTGTGCTTACAAACCTCATCATGAAATTGTTATGGATTGAATAAAAACTTGCAATGGACATCACATGACAATAAAATGCGAGATAATAATTAATCCTGATGACCAAAGCTCAAGGACAATCCACTTTGCAAAAGTCATATTCAATAAAATGGTCTATTTTCAGCTATGTTGCAGGAGGCAATACATGCTTGTTTAAGTGCTGAAATTTAAAATCACGCTTCATGCATACCTTCACATCTTCAGCATGAGTTTAAAAACATCAGTGAGAACATTGATTTATTTCTGCTGTGGGGAGGTAGTGTACCAAAGCTCTCCATCTCTGGCATACACACCTGCTTCATAGTGTCCTTTGAATTCATGGCCTCCGGCAGCGGAGTCTAAGAGAAACAGGAAGAGAGAGACGTTATCACCTCTTAGCTATTTCTTCATATCCAAAGCCTCTGAAATAAAGCAGATAACTTGCTTTGGAACGGCATTCCACAGGAACTAGCTGGACTGGCCGTTGATGATAATCTTGTTGTGGTTTCACCAAATAAACAGATTAACCAAGCTGGACTGGCCAGATAGAAAGAATAATTATTTTCTTTTCATTGGGATGAAGGTCAACACAAATACATTATCACAAACCTGCGCTTTGTTACCATCGTCTCCAACGTGGTGTGGGTGGGTGTCAAGTGTGTGCGATGAAGTGGGAGGTAAGAGTACATAGACATCAGCAAAGGAAAGTACAAAGCCTGTTGCCACGCGTTTTGTTAAGTGAAAAGGTTGCTTTTAATATGGACTGTCCTTTTTTTTTTTTTTTTTTCTAAAAGGCTTTTGAATATCCCAACCATTAGAGATAATGCGCGGCAGTGGCTGAAACATATAAACAAATGTAATCATTTCTTATTTTTGGAGACCTTACTCTGCACAAAAGCCAGGTCAGCCCTAATTTTAGCGACAGAAATATATAGTGCAGGCAGTGGGGTTGCACTACAGGGCCTGAGGGTTTGGAAGTCCATAGAGGGAACAAGCCCTTGCGAGTGATTCAGATTGCCAACTTGGAGATACACCTGCGTTCAAAATAGAACTCACCATAATGTAAAAAGGGTGCCATTTGCTATGTATGCCTTCAAAAAGCAAACCCATCTCGGTAGCAACTAAATGTAAGCTTATCCTATATAAACTATAAAAGACCAAAACAGACCACTACGGGTGGATAGCCCAGATAACCCCTTGACTGCAATGTCAAGTGCCCCCAGTGTGGGAAAACCACTGTGCATGCCCAAAGTCGTTGGCAACTAAAGCAGATGTCAGAAATTTGGTCCCAGGTGTAGCTGATTGCCTGTTGCCCCGCTGCAATTTGATTGGCTGTTTGCCAAGTCCTGCTGTCGTCATCTGCTAGTAGTCTGCAGAAGTAACATGAACAATTTGGATTATCTTCTAGAGCACAATTTAAAAAGTCTGCTTATTAAAGATAAAGTTATGATTTAACACCTCGGTGACCACTAGCCACGGGATATTGTTATAAACCGAACCGCTGTTAAAAATAATCGCATATAACGTGGAGTGGTTCTCCAGGAAAAAATGGCTAATTTAACTGCTAACGTGAACTGTTGGCTTGTCAGACAAAACGCCTTTTTCAAGATCTAACGCATCTTTCTGAGAGGATTAACAAAAATGAAAGCGGCAGGACAACGTGGTAAACTTGGACTAACGTCAGTTACCCAAATTGACAGCGCATACAAACCTGACACATTTTACATTTTGCAAGCTGAACATACAATGCAATCAATACAGCACATAGAAAGAAATTCACGTATTACAGAGGTACCCATCCTATTAACTAAATATTTGTCCTTGCAACATGATGCAACCCAATGATGAGACAAAAGTGAAATGTAGTGCCTATAAAATCAGTTTCCCTTAATTTTGTGAGGGTCCACACATGACACTAAATACCCACGAGCTACCAGATCTGGATAAGAATATTCAATCTTAATGGTTTGTAAAAGTTCTTCATAAGTCTCTGACTTAAATTCATTGAAAGCAATTGCCTTTGGAATACAGGTAGAAGTTGGCTAGAAAAGGATCATAAAAAAAATTAAAAAAGCAAGCCACAAAGAGGAAATAACTTTACAACTTAGGCCGAAGTAACATCGCACACATGGCAACAACTACTGCAAAACTAGAAAATCACACAATTTAAAAATTTGCCAGGTATAATCGCTTGACATAGCAGTCAATTAAAGTATATTTGACTGAATGTGACTCCATAAACCATAGCATATTTGTAACAGTTATGACCCAACAATAAGGACACGTGCCCCCTCCTGACTAGACAAAAACGTGTGAAAAACTGTGTTCTTCCAGGTCCGCAGACAGGCATACGCCATTAACAGCTTTTATGAATGTGAGGTATTTTGTTCTTCTTTGCCTCCATGTCTTAGCCCTGGTATGAAAGAGTAATGAGGACAGGGAGACGATGCCCTGGCATCTCTTAATGATGACAGCAAATAGAACTCAGTTATGCCTCTGAAGGAATTTTTCTGCATTAGCTCGGATAAAAAATTGGCAAATGCATCAGTGCAAGTTAAATAGTGCTTATTATTGATATCATGCCTAAATGAACAGAGGAACTAGTCACCATTTTGGGAAAAATATTACTCCCTGCAGCTTTAATTAATATCAAGCCTAATATGTAACATGCAATTGTAAAATAATGTTGTTATTGAGGTAGATGCCACTACTTTTGTGCCAGTATAGTACAAACATTGTTCCCAGAGAATAGATCATGTGTATAATATCAAGTCAGTGCATTCAATTATTTTGTAATTAGGGTGTTTGTCAGTTTGCTGTCAACTTAAACGTTGCACTTTTGTGTGAATCTTGTTATTGGCCTGGCGAGGACATCTTTGTGGAAGTACTTATGTGTAAGATAACCTGAGTAAACACAAACTCACTTGGTGCAAGTTGAACATGTGAGAATATGTGTAGCTTTTTACTTTGAGGGATTATTAAAATCAGGTTGTCAAACTGGCATGCCAGATCCATGTGTCAGTTATTTATAATATAATTGTAAAGTCTAATTGTAGTTTAACCTTTTGAGATGCTTTATAAAAAATGTTACATTGATATTTGGCTGGTCAGCAGGAAGTTCAGAGTGCAGTCTTTTGAGATTTACAATCGCCTTTGACGTATTGTTGGTTAAAAGTCAAGTAAATTTAGAGCCTCACTGTTCTGTGTCTTCCTGTGACCTGGAGACAACCTCCCCTTTGTGCATTCTTACTCTGTAAATGTAGAGGGGATGTTGAGGTGAAGGTGAACAATAAACAATACTCTATTTATAACCTGAGTTTAATAAAAGAAAAGAAAATAAAGACTTTGTGCTGCTTTGTTGCCTTGCTGAATTCCACCACCCAATCTGCTAAAACAATAGAGAGATCTGCTTCAGTTAACTAAGCATTCTTGAAATATCTGCCAGCTGCTATTTTGGGGACCCTGGTGAGAGGAAGTGAGGTTGAATAAACCCCATTTTCACAAACGACTTTCCCCTGCTCTCTAACAATCTCTTTCTCCACATCTCATGCAACTCTCACTTTGAGTTTCAGCACAACATGTATGGATGCAATATACGCCAATTTGTACCACAAATGATGAGCTTTTTAGAATCTGCTTCTCCAGCAGTGACTACTTCCAGACATTTACAGAGTAATCAACAGACATGATGAGGAAGATGATCAAAATAGTGGTGGACTATTATCACCACTCTCTAATCTCCTGGGCATCTTTCTGTGCCACTTTTCAGTAAACTAATGCTCGTCTGTCATCCATGAACTACTCCGCAGTTATTTCTCTAAAGTAAACATGAAAGCAGCATACCCAGCTGATGCCTCGTATGGTCGGTGTGTCCACTGAGGAGCGGTCCGGGAATACTTGGTAATTGTGACTCCGAAACAGATGCATCTTGTCTCAGATCCAAACAACCGACAAATAACTTCCCCAGTCAGAAGATCTGCACACGGACTTGGCACCAGACATTATTCACAGCAAAGTAGATCGACCCGTCTTCCGCTCATTACTGTACACCGACAACACAACGCAGCGACAGTGTCGGCTCAGGACTCCGCATTTCGTCCTACACAAATCCGGGCAGGATTCTGGACGTCGTCCCTGCATCCAAAAAACCCAGACCCGGCTACTTCAATAGACGTGTCTGCCTCAGTGGGGACGGAGTGTGAAGTCTTCTTCAGCCATCCCACGCAGCACAGGCGCACTGCTGAGTTGCGTGTGTGCGCGCTCTTTGGCTTTGGCAAGGAACTAATACGGAGTCATCAGAGAGACGGCCTCCTCTGGTATTTCTTACCGCTTAATTAATAGCGTTTGATTTATTTAACTTGACATCGATGCACTCCGTGTCCATGTGGGCTGGTGCGCACTGTACAATTTGTCCGGTATTTTAAAACGTGCCAGGAATTGTAAGGTCTGTTTCACCAGGCTCATACTGCAGTATACATAATTCATATTTCAGGTGCATTGTTAAAAGGTGACAACCTGTACGGTAAGTTTATTTATACTGCTCGTTTCAGCAACAAGGCAATTCAAAGTGCTTTGTATAGAACATGAAAAGCATTGAGACAAACACATTATAAAAGGACATTCAAATACAATTTAAAAGAAGTCACCAAAAAGCTAAAATAGAATAAGACTGGTATAAAGTACAAGAATAAAAGTGCAGGGTCAAAAAAATATTTCATAAAAAGCAGCAGCAAACAGAACAGGCTTCTGCTTTGATTTAAAAGAAGTGAGAGTTGCAGCTGACCTGCAGTTTTCCTGGAGTTTGTCCCAGATATGTGGTGCATAAAAAGTGAACGCTGCTCTCCATGTTTTGACTCTGGGGACAGTGAGCAGACCTGCCCCAGATGACCTGAGAGGTCTGGATGGTTCATAATGTAGCAGACGATCATAACTAAATCATTCAGTGCCTTTATATAAACCAACAGCAGTATCTTTAAATCAATTCTCTGACTGACAGGAAGCCAGGGTAGAGACCTCAGAACTGGAGTAACGATAAAGTGATGAACAAACTCTCTATAAAGACACTAATAGCTAAAAAAAAAAGAAGCTAATTTTCATTTTCTTTAAAATGCCTCATCACTATGTAACACAGCACTATACGTAGTACATCCCTGTGACGTAATGAAACCACCCATTCAGCAGTTCACCTGCACTGTAAATTCACAAGACCGGGTCAAGGTTATTAAAGGAGTCATAATGTTCAGGCACTATGTTGTAGTTTGATCAGTGCAGTAGTTCAGAGCTGCACACTTGAGCTGCAGAACTCTGCACACACACTTATCTGGCTGTCCAGCTGTCTGGCTGAAGCGGGTCTGTAAGCACATGGACTTGCAGATAAACTGTTTCAAGGGCAGAAACCCGTTTAGTTTGTGGAGCAGCACTTGATGTCTCTCATTCAGTTCTAGTTGTCAGTTTGATGACAGGTGTCTGCCCTTTGCACAGGTGTTAAACTGTTACATACCCATTACTGTTTTTATAGATTCATAAAACTCATAATGCATATTGTCGCAACAGGTGTATCGTTCAGCTGTGAATGCATCTTGCCATGTTGCTGTATCATCACCTCTCTCTGTGTTTATGGCTCAGACCTGACACATGTGGTTCCATCATATTTTATTGACTTTATTTGTGTTGTGGTATGTAAGCAGATGACTTACTTCCACCGGTGTACATCGTCTTGGTGTGGAACAGATGGATTCGACCAAGTTCTCCATAGAGGAGATGGCTTGTACAGTATCTCTGTAGGAAATCAACAAGAAGCAGGGTGGTAATTATTTTCTTTAAGAAACGAGAAAGAAACATGGGAATGTATCTGTCGTGCCTATTTGTCGATAATTGGTCAAAGCAAAGCAAATGTCTGTACATTTGCAGACTGTCAAACAAGGACAAGGGGACCCTCTATTTTGTGATGACCCGTGCACCTCCATTTGTAACCGTGTCCTGCAGCCTGGCAATGTTATGTAAGACTTGTTTAAATCCCTGCTATTGTTCCAGTGCAGGGCCGCCCTTCCTGTACTGACCTCAATGAGTCAGTCTGCCATGGCTTTCCACAAGACACACACACACACACAGAGGAGAACACTAATTCTGTCCTGCTTCCCGTGCTTTGGTTTGGGTTGTTCCTCCAGCTGGAAAGGAGGGCAATTTTAGGAACTCTCTTCTTTGCGCAATATTATTTAAAGTCCAGCACCTGTTGCTCCTGCAGTCAGTTCTGTTTGGCATTACTGTTCCTTTCTTGGAGTTCTACATGATTAACACGTGTGTTGAGTGAATGCCAGAAGCCTTGAGAGATCAATTCACTTTGAATCACAAACCCCCTTTATATCAGTTTCATAACAGAAGCTCCATCGATTGCCTGCTCTATGCTTTGAAGCTACTGCGAGACACATTTACTACAATCCCTCAGAAAGAAAACAGTAACTTCTTACCAAGTTTAGACCCCCGTGACCTCTGTGATGGATCATGGGGATGCTCCAGTCACTGCTGTCCCAAAAGCCAGTGTTGAAAATAAGCGAGCCATTAAACCAAATAGAACATACTGTTTCAAGTGCGGCTGATATGTTTCCTGTGTTCCGGCTAAACTTGTATGACAGTTCAAAATGAAGGAATCCAGTTTTCCTTCTTATGACCTCCTGAGAGAATGTTAACACGATGGTTTAGGTGATAAGGACGAGCACATTGCTGTGTGATAGTATCTGACAAAGTGACTGCGTTGTGTTTACAGCTAGACGTCACTGAGACAAATGTGACTGGGATTCATGGTAGTTTTGAACCAAAAATAAAAGGCTTCAGCCTCACTACGGGAGCAAACTGCCTCTTTTATAGAGGGCTAATCTATGCTGGATGGGAATATTGGTAATCAAAAAGCTCCATCTCACAGGAGAGATTAAATGTAAACTACTGACACCTTAAACTCTTCTGCCACTCTGGTCCCAAGTCACTTTGCATTGCTCAAAGCTTCACCTCACATGCATTTGAAAAACAAATGCTGCCCTCTATTGAGAACACAGATGCTCTGCAATCTACATCACTCCACTAAGTGGAGAGGAAGTTCATGTAAACCTCAGGTCAATTTACACACATAAAATTATTAGATTAGACTAAAGTCAATCGACTTTGTTTATAGGAACCACCAAATGAAATTCTATTTTAAAAAACTACATACGTGTATGTTTTAATGATGGATGTTTATGCCCTTATATTTTATTACACAAGTACACCAATAATATTTTGTGTGTTGTCAGTGGTTCTGTCTCTCTCTTTTTTTTGTATTTATTTATGTGTTTCTATTTAGATCCTCTGGGAATGGGAGTGGGATTTCCTGCAACATCTACGCCCAAGGAATGTTCACTTTGCCAACTGTCTTTGTTGTGCTTGTCTGGTGGTACACACACACACACACACACACACACACACTCACAAGCCTTTTCCTTCCTCTCCCTTGTCCAATTATTAGCAGTGACAGGGAGTGAAATATTTTATTTGTTTGACCCCAAGGTCAAATAAGGACTGAGGCAGAAAGTGAAGCAGACATGAGCGAAAACATTAAAACAGACAAAAACACTTAGTCAGCATCGTTCTAAAAGATCTACCTCATGCTGCGCAGTCACATGTTGATGCGTACCAAATTAATTCAGTCATAGACGCTAACAAGCAACAAATAACATATTATTCAGAGCATGAATGACTTGCTTTGTCTGGAAATTTGAAGCAATTAGTAGTAAAATTATCTCTATATATCAAATTTGCTCATAAAATCTTGTCAGACATTTAGTAATACTTTGTCAGACACGCTTACATTTGCATGGCGTACCATCTAATGTCCATTCTCCATCTGATGAAATAAAATGTCATAAACTAACCCATATGTCAGTCCGTTACATCGTTTGGATAAGTGTTCAGATACTCACCACTGGCACGCTCTTATAAGGTTCTTCAGCTTCCACACTTTTTGTGTTTTCTGCTTTCTCTTGCAGCCTTTGCTCTTTTCAAATGTCTGAGGATGATTTTTCTGTCATTGCTGTTTATATGAGTTGCGGGGATTGTTGCTGGACTTAGCTTCCTGTATCTTTCTGATTGGCCATGAAGAGAGTGCCCCAGGGCTTGGGCTGAATACAGTCTGTGTGTGTGAATGTGAAGACATAATCAGTATATAAGCAACCTGACAGTCTTTGGCCTAATTTGCATTCATTTTCACAGCTATATTTAAATTATATCAAGAACACTGCATATTTTAGATGTATTTACTGTTTTTGTTTTTCAAACTGTGTATCTTGTTTAATATTTAGTGGTTAAATGTAACAGGACATTTACTGAAGTTCTGTTTGACGTACTTGTATGTTGCTTAAATATTTTCATTTTATGCTACACTATACTTCGACTGCATTACGACTCAAATGCAAATACTGTACCTTTTACTACATTTATCTGACAGCTTTGGTCACTAGTTACTATGCAGACCAAGATTGTTTAATGTATAAACATATGAACTTTATATAACACGATAATAAATTCATCATGGGTTTTGTACGTAAAATATATTTAACTACCCAACAGTATATAAAATAGTTCAAATCAGCTCCACCTCGACCAACTTCCACAGAAAAATATGAATTATACATAAGTGCACCAGTAATAATAATACAATAGAAACACGCTCACAGGGGTCATTTTTCAGCATTTTAAATATACTTTTACTTTTGACACTTAAGTACAATTTCTAATACAGGACTTCAGCATGAAGGAGTGTTTTCAGAGTCTGGTGTTGCTACTTTTAGAGGATCAGACTACATCTTCCACCCCTCTTTGTGAACTATTGTCTTTCTAGCTGACATTAAGGATCAACACAGTGCTTTTATTTATTTTCCTGACTGTATAAACGTATGCAACATGTTTGTGTATAGATTTGTAATGCATCAAACAAAAATTGCCTTCTCAGTGAGCTGCCAGTTGCCCACTGTACATCTCAAAATACCATGTCACCAAATGATCATAACAATTTGGCATCAGAGGTCTAAAAATGCAGTTCTTCTTTGCTCCACTAGGGGCGGTGTGTTAGAGCTGGGTGTTTCCTCAGTGCAAAGATATTTTAATGTTGAAGTGATAGATGACTTCTCGGCAAATTGTTGAAAAGGCACCGAAACAAACTCGTTTTTTCCGCATAGAAACAACAACTATTCTGTATTTCAAGTGTTGTTTAACAATGAAGTATACGTACAGACCAGTTAAACCGATGAAATTGAGTCTTTATCGATATAATTGCGGCGTCAGCTGAAGACGAGGATCCACGGTGAGCGTGTTTTCTCAGTCACAGCTTTGCATCTTTGCTATGTACCTCACATAAACACTTTTGTTGCTACTTTTCTTCCCTGCCTCTTAGCTTGAAAGCTTGTCTCATCGGGAGTTTGTGTCGTGCTAGCCACACGAACCGACTATTATTTAGCTTTTTCTAAAGCTAGCTAGCTAACACTGATAGGCGTCGTTCTCGCTGGTCGCTCAGCCCAGGGGAATCTGATGTTGTCGTTAGTATCAATGCTATTACATAATGTGGCCGTAAGCTGTTGATGTAGCTTAAAACCAGTCTATTTAGATAAAATACGCCTTTAACTCGCACACCTGTTACAAAGATTTGGGTGGCAGTTGTTGGATTTTTACAATGGGAGTCAGCAGAATTTACATTAGCATCGGATATTCTATCTTTGGTACCCTGGTTGGACTTTCGGCTTTCTTGGTCTGGAATATAGCATACAAACAGCCATGGACGGCGGCCATGGGAGGCCTGTCAGGTATGTTTACACACCTAACTTTTAGCCTTAATTGTAAAGGTAAATGTCTCCGTGATCGTGTTATTCACATACCATTGGAGCATTTAACTCAGGCTGCCTAATCCTTTTTGCAAGGCCTGCACGGTCACACATCACCATAATCATAATGTAAGAAAGTGTTGGTTGTATTTACTCTGGTCCCTGACACGGTAACACATTATTTGCTGTCAGTATTTGTTTAAATTGTTTTTGTGTGTGTTAGCTAGCTCATATGTCACACTTGTGCATATGACCAGATTTGTAGCTCATCCTCTGCATCAATACTCTGACCGATATTGACTTTTTGAGGCTATTGACAATTTCAATTTTTTTTTCCACGTGATGGGGATTTGTCAATATTTTCTAAAAGTGTGTGTGTTTCAACTTGTCTTTCAACAGGAGTGTTGGCGCTCTGGTCTCTTGTCACACACATCATGTACCTGCAGGACTTCTGGCGCACTTGGCTCAAAGGCCTCAAGTTCTTCATCGCTGTTGGTGTGCTCTTCTCATCCTTGGCAGTGGCCGCCTTCATCACCTTCCTAACGCTTGCCATCATACACATGCAATGTAATGCTCTCTCTACTGTTCCTAGTTTATAATGAGTAACTTGTATGTGATAAGTATTATAGGATTGATTTCCTTATGCAAGTATTCATCACATGGCTTTTTCTGTCCCACAGCTCCTACTGACCCAAGGAGCCTTTATCTCTCCTGTGTGTGGAGCTTCCTGACTCTCAAATGGTCCTTCCTCTTGGCCTTATACTCCTACAGATATCGCCAGGAGTTTGCAGACATCAGCATCCTCAGCGACTTCTAGTCGGTACTGATTTTATGGACCGCGATGGACTTTGAGAGGTTATAGGCAGCCAGCAGGAGCTGGTCAAAGAGCTTTTGTAACAAAGAGGAGGAAGCGCATACATGGCTAGATTTAAGAAGTCACCTGACTTTTACCATAAGGAGTTGCACTTGTTTTACTTGCTTAACAAGCTCTGTATTTGTATCTTCATCTGTTGTCCTACTTTTAATGATCCAAATATTATATTCCTGTTAATAGTCTGACCTTCTGAAGACTGGAGCTGCTTTTGAGTTCATTGCTTGCGGCTCTGTATGGAGAGACATGCTGTGTTTTTAAGATTTTATCTTTGTGTTGTTGAATCTTAAAACCGCTAATACATATAAGGAAATCCCCATCGTGACAGGCTTTTAATCTAATGAATAACTGTGAAAATACTCCTAAAGCTAAAATCCTCAGAACCAAAACTAAAACCTCCTACCTGAAGCCACTCTGCTAATTGCTAGGTTGACCGTGTTTGCTGGAGTGCTTGAATGTTTGTACTCAAATGAGCTTTTTCATAGTTGTCTTTGAACAACAGAATACTCCCATCACTACACAGTCACTGTCTTGGTGTCTGCAAAGGCAGTCTCTTAGCTCCCTTTATCGTCAATGTCCCAATTTGTGAAACCTTTTTTCATTCAATCACTGATATGAATAGTTACTATTATTTAAAGCGTTTTAATGAGGGTAGTTGATGTACTTTATTTCTCACTTCTTATTCCACATTTACTTTTAGGAGAACTAAAGAAAAGGCTTTCCTGTGGAATTAGTTGTTTTCATCTTTTGTTCCACCATGGGGAGACTTGCTTTTCTTTTTTTATCAAGAGTCCACTGGAGAATGATGACATTCCTCTTAAGAGAAAACCCAAATTAGTTTGATAAATATTGCACTTTAGTCTTTGATATCGATGCCATTGTTTTGCACACAGATCCTGATGCAATGGAAGTAATTATGTTTTACACAGTCATCTCTGTCTCACCATTTTAAATGTTTAAATACATAATTAGTGTGTAATAATTTTACAGTTGGCATGTTTTGTACAACTAGGCTTTGTAAGTGTGTTGCTCATGTCTACCATAAAACCATATTAAATGTATTTTTGTTGATGAATGTGAGGATGCTACATGTAAATAGAATCTCAACCCATTAAAGGTGCATTTATTGTTAATTACATTATGTTGTCTCCTTGCTTTATACCACACAGATACAGCAGCACCTAACAAATCCACAATTTAAGGTGTTGCATTTCCTGAAGTTTTTCATTCTCTAAGCTCCACCCAGGAGGTATGCAGGGTCTTAAGCGTAGCTTGATAAGGTATCAAACAACTGGGCAATACACAGATCTGAACCAAATGCCTGCAGACGTAGTGCTTCAACAATAAGGTACAGTGCTGTCTTCTTTTCAGACCTCTAACTTAATACAGAGCGATCAGCTCATGTGCTACTGTCATTTTGATTCCTTTATCAGTGACCTCATAAGAGGCTGCACATCTTTAAAAGAGGACCTCAGAGATTCAGCAGAACAACCTTTTACCAAATATATTTGATGATTGAGTAATTGAAGCTCATGTGCAATGGATGCTCAACAGGTGTCTTTTTTTTTGTTAAATGGTGAGGAATCTCATTGCAATTCTTGTCTTTAGTCAGTTATTTCTACTTGAGCTTTAACCCTCATCTCTAAACTTTTCTTTACAACGTAACAAGCACGTTTGAACAGAAAGCATAATTCATTTAAGGCAAAGTTATAGTTTTTGACCAAAATGGTAAAATGCTTGAATGTTAAGTGCAGATATCATTTTTTATTTGTAGTTTTTCTCAAGCTATGGAATGCAGTAGAGTTATCCATTATTTTTTTCTACAGCAGGCAGACTGCAAGACTCATAGAGCGATCTTGTGCGTGTGCTATTATTGACCTAGTGTTGAGCTAATATTTTAGCAGTCCACCTACCTGTGGCCTAGTCCTTCACCCTTCAAGGTTAGATTAAGGCCTTGGACTTGAAATGTGCTTCCCAAATGTAAAACCGCAGAAGTGCAATCCTAAAGATGCCCTTGTGTCCACAACTGTATAAATATAAACCTCATACTTTGTTTTTGTTTACGTGTGAAAATTCAACTGTGTAAAGCATGTGCTGTTAAAGACAATATTGATGATGTTGCTACTTTGATTGATTAATGACTAATTTTAGTGAAGTATAATTCCTAATGTAATTCCTTAAATTGCACCTTGAGAACATGGTATAAGACAGAGTTTTCCAAGGTCTTAATACATTTCGATATGCTATAGCCATGCAACGGGACCGCCCACGTTACGTGATTGACCGGCCGGCATATAACCTCCCAGACTTTGACGGAGAGTTTGACAAGAAGAGTCGACAATTCCCTGTTGGAGAGAAAGTGAGGAAACTCTTCAGGTACAGAACTGCAATCTCTCCGCACACACAGTCAACATGAACTGCAGGTCTTCCCGTCACACAAACTCTACCTCTGACAAGCTTTGTGTTTGTGATCAAACAGTGGAGAGCCGTGTAGCTATGATTCAATATAAAGTTTAGACATGTGTTGTGGACTTTCTCAAAGTAACTATCTGAAAACGTGAGCTCTTCAAAGAGTTTCCCTTGTTTGTTTCTGTCAGATGCTCTGTGCTGAGACTGAAGGGCTTGTTGTTCAGACATCTGCCTGTACTGAGCTGGCTTCCCAAGTACAAAGTGAAAGAAAACCTGCTGTGTGATGTCATCAGCGGGGTCAGCGCTGGCACCATTCAGGTTCCCCAAGGTCAGTCGATGCTCTCCTCACTCTGATGCCTCTGTACTCTATAATACCCACCGACTGAAGCTAGTTCCAGCATCGTTGGCTCCGGTATATAACATATCATTTGTATTTTTTTATATGTTGTCATGATTTATGTGTTATAAAACAGTTTCTGTTCTTTCCAGGCATGGCATTTGCCCTCCTGGCCAACCTCCCTCCTGTCAACGGTCTCTATTCCTCTTTCTTTCCCCTCATCCCGTATTTCTTCATGGGCACTGCTCACCAGATGGTCCCAGGTAAACCAGAGTGATTTATCTCCAGTGATTTCCTATAAGGACAGTGATAAGTTACCAAGGGCTGCACCACACTGTGCAGATCAGCTGTGCTCAGCCTGACTTTCCAGTTTGCAGTACAGCAAAGAAAATAGATGTGACGCACTACTTTCCATAGGTACGTTTGCTGTCCTCAGCATTATGGTGGGGATCGTGTGTCTAAGGCTGGCCCCAGAGTCGGACTTCAATCATTTCAATGCCACTCTTAATGCTACAATAGTGGACACAGACCTGATGAATGAGGTTCGCCTGGGAATATCTGGAACCCTGGCCTGTCTCACTGCAGTCATACAGGTACTCGGCACTAAAATCGGTCTTTCAACGTGAAGCTTGAAAGACATGTGAAGTACAGTTTAATCTAAAAGTTACACATTGGAAACTACTTGTGTCTGTGCAGATTGGCCTTGGCTTCATGCAGTTTGGATTTGTAGCCATCTATCTGTCCGAATCCTTCGTCAGAGGCTTCATGACTGCTGCTGGTCTGCAGATCCTCATCTCAGTCCTCAAGTACATCTTTGGCATCCAAGTGCCAGCTTATAGTGGTCCGCTGGCTGTTATATATGTCAGTGAGCCCCCATATTTTGGCCAAAGAACATCAGAAGACTTTAGTAGTTTGATTGTAATTAAAATATGTCATTTTATTCATTTCTCATAGTCTCTCGTAGATATTGTACGTGGCCTTCGAGATACCAACATCGCATCGCTAGTATTTGCTCTGGTCAGCAGCATAGTTCTTATTGTGGTGAAGGAGCTGAGTGCACGCTACCGCCACAAGCTGCCCTTCCCTATCCCTATGGAGATCATAATTGTAAGTTTATAGTTTGTCATTTCTCTGAGGACACAAAAGTGCACTTCTTTATTTTTTGTTTAATTTCATGAAGCTGCTATTTCTAGATGTTTGACAAATATACTATGTAAGGACGATAGTGGTGATTGATCCCTGTCCCTGTGCTACACAGGTTGTGGTAGCCACAGCCATCTCAGGCCCTCTGCACCTTCCTGAGATCTATCACATGGACATAGTGGGAGAAATTCCTTTGGGGTAAAGCACACATCAGCATACCTAGAATCAATGGTTGCTTCATTAATTAAAATGACTCGTTTTTTTACTGTTCAATTTAGATTTATATCTTGTCTCTATGTTCTAGTTTCCCAGCACCAAGCCTGCCAACAGTGAGTCAGTGGGAAGACATGTTGAGCACAGCTTTCTCCCTGGCAATCGTGGGGTATGTAATCAACCTGGCCATGGGCAGGACATTGGCAGCCAAGCATGGCTACGACGTGGATCCCAACCAGGTACAAAAACTGCATATTTTTTACTAGATCAAAATGTGCATTTTATTAGATTTTTATTAACACATACATATTCTTGTGCAGGAAATGTTGGCTCTAGGCTGCAGCAATTTCCTGGGGTCCTTCTTTAAGATCCATGTGATCTGCTGTGCCCTGTCTGTAACCCTGGCTGTGGACAATGCTGGTGGAACATCACAGGTGAGTGTTGCGTTACCACTTCTGTAGCTGCAGAGGTGGAAGAAGTGCTCTGATCTTTTAAGTAAAAGCAGTAACACCACAGTGGAGAAATACTCTTTACATGAAAAAGTCTTGCATTCAAAATAAAACTACAAAAGTACGAGCATCAAGTACTCATCATACAGAACGGTCCATTTCAGAATATTATATATTATATTATTGGATTTTAATTATTGATGCATTAATATTCACACTAATTTAGTTTTGAAGCTGGTAAATATGGGGCTTATTTTTACTATGTGTTCAGCTGGGTAGCAGCCAGGTCTTATCTTTATCCATAATCATAAATCAACGTATTTGTTAATCATATTTTGTATTATTAGTCTAAAGTTGTCAAAAAAATGTAATAATATTCACCTCCAAAATGTAGTGCAGTGGAAGTATAAAGTACCATATCAAAGTACACGCACTTCAAAATTGTACTTAAGTACAGTTCTTGAGTAAATGTACTTAGTTACTTTCCGCCACGGTTTTACTGTAATTATTGGCAGGTAATAATAGTATGGACTACAAGAAAATAATATCTCAAACTGCTAACTTCTGCACCTCTGTTGCTGCCCTCTCATAGTTCGCCAGTCTTTGTGTGATGCTGGTCGTAATGGTTACCATGCTTGCATTGGGGGCCTTCCTGAAACCACTACCAAAAGTAGGTGGACATAGGATTATGATACTTGAACAATTAGACAAAACATTTAAGTAGAAGTAAGAAAAAAATCCATTAGTGACCTATGCAACCTTGGTTTCGCCAGTCTGTGCTTGGAGCCTTGATTGCAGTGAACCTGAAGAACACTCTGCTACAGCTCTCTGATCCCTACTACTTATGGAAGAAGAGCAAACTGGACTGCGTAAGTCAAAGCCTTGGATGCAATATTGCAGCACAATGTGATGTCTTTTTTTCCCCTCCATATTTTCTCTTGATGTTGTTCTTTCTCTTCCAGTGTGTGTGGGTTGTGTCATTCTTGGCCACATTCTTTCTCAGCTTGCCTTATGGAGTTGCTATCGGAGTGGGCTTTTCCATTCTGGTAGTGATATTCAAGACACAGTTGTGAGTAAATGCTCTGTTTTCTTTTTAACCAGAATTACAAAAAAAGACAATGGAGCAGAGCGTGTTTATTAATGCTCATTTTAATCATGTGTTCCCCGTAGTCGTAATGGTTCGGCAATGGTTCAGATTATGGATACGGATATCTACAAAAACCCGAAGGTGTACAGTAAGGTATGAAAACTAAATATTTGTGTGTATTTATTGTTGTTACACATAATAAATGAATAATGGTGTCTAATCTTTTTGCAATAACTCCACAGGTCATTTCAATAACCGGTGTGAAAATAGTGAACTATTGCTCACCTCTCTATTTTGCAAATGCTGAAATATTTCGCCAGAGGGTCATCAAAAAGGTACAGTTGAAAACACGACCTCTTTTGCTGTCACGCAAGGCTAGGCAGGCTTGAATGAATGTGTTAATGTGGCTTAATAGGTGTTTACACAGGCATGTTTGTGTCTAGACCGGGCTGGACCCTGGCAAACTTATCCTGGCCAGGCGGAAGTTCTTAGAGAAAGAGCAGAAGGAGAAAGCGAAAGAAGAGAAGAAGGACAATGAGACACAAAGGAGGAAACCCAGCTCTTTGGTTGACATGAAGGCTCAGGTGGGATCAAGTATATATCATACATGACACACACGTGTTTGACCTAGCAGCTCGTATTTTCATGACCTCTTCTGTACACCTTTCTCTATGTATTTCCTCTCAATCTAGACCGTATCTCAGTTTGAACTGCAAAATGACTTTGATATGAACGATGGCACTGCCAACATACCTGAGCCTCCCACCAGCTATGTCAACTTCCGCGGTAGTGACATTGAGCCGGGCGAGCAGGCGCCTGAAGAGCCACCCAGTCCCACACTGGAGTCCCAGCCCATGCCCTTCCACACCCTCATCCTCGACTTGGCAGGGGTCTGCTTCATAGACCTAATGGGCATCAAAGTATTGATAAAGGTTATATGCTTGTTTGCAATACCAAATTCACTTAAAACAATTGGTTCTATATTGAAACTTTTGAGTAATATTTTTGTACATTCAGTGTACAGTATGGCACTGCTAAAGGGTTCAATATAATGCATTTTACAGGGTTCATAAAAGAATAATTAAAATACCTTTAATGGTTATTTACAACCATGAAAAGGTTCTTTTAGATGAAAGAATAGTTTCCACTGCAGTATACCTTGACACAGTGCTGTTGTTCTCCTCTCCAAGTCTCTCTGCAAGTCAAAGAACCCCTGAAACATGAAAGCTTATATTTTCTCTACAAATCTAATATTGAACCTTTTTGTCACAGAAAGTTCTTTGATTTGTGAGATTGAACCCTGCCGTCCCTTACTGAACCTTTTTATGAGAGAATGTTTAGGTATGGGTGTATACAATAGTATATTCCATTATGCCTCTTAACAGTCTTCTTTTCTCTATTTGCCACACAGATGAACTCGAGCTACGCGATGCTGGGCATTAAACTCTACCTGGCTAATGTTCAAGGTAAAATCTCTGATGACTTCTGTGCATTTCACACCCGCTGGCATGGAAACAGAACCCTAGCCTTGTGTGATGTTTGTTGTCTTGCCGCCTGCAGCCCAGGTGTATGAAGAACTGGAGGTCGGAGGAGCTTTTGATGCCGGCAATATTGGCCGCAGTAATCTCTTCCTCTCTGTCCACGATGCTGTTGTGTTTGCTCAGCAGACCTCTGGAGAGAGGCAAGTCTCCCCAAAGGTAGGCCCCCACTGTATAAAATAACCTTATCATACAAATCCTTTTCATAACATCACATACAAACACCTGCTGGTCAAAGGTTTTAAGGTTAGGGATATAGGGAGGGATTAAGAAGAGTAGAAAAGCAAGATTTATTTTCTTAGTACCAAATCGTCTTTTTAGCACAACTTTTGTTACCTTATCTGGTTCAACAAGGGTAAACAGAAATATCACACAGGTTTCTGTGACACAGCCGCAGCAAACAAAGTTGTAAATTACGCCAAGGTCATGCTGCATATTGTATATTGCATATTGATTGTCTGCTCTTACTGCCTGATGTGCATAGGCAACGTTTTTAGCATCTGACTGGACATACTGTCATACAGCCAGTCTCAACTTACTCAGATACTCAGAATGACTTAAATGCGAACGAGTATAGTTCAATACAAACAGTAGTGTAACCTTCTCCTATGTAATAACTTTAATGGTGCTTAATTCGTAATTCAAAGCATATTAATTATTGAGGGATTGCCTCCACACGGCTCTCGACATGGTGACTTCTGAGCAACAACGACAACCGTGCTGACAGAGCTAACAGTATGAACCTGGGGGGAACTGGATTGTGCGCTCCACTTACGCGACGCCGCTGTAGGTCGGGACGGCGTTATCAGCGGTTTCGCCACATGAGCACAGTGCAGATTGCCGATTAGCAAGCCAGATGGGCACACACAGGGACTCACATGCACTAACATTCACTAACATGCACACGCGGCCGGACAGCAACTTAAACAAAGCACAGAGAAACTCAGACTACACACAGTGGGAGCGTGACTTCATTCTCTGCTCACTATCTTTACATAGCAAATAGTTGTTTGCTGCTATATTAATGCTCTGAATTTGGAATTCATCACTTTATAACTTTACAGTTACTTTAGCCAATGCATCGGGAGCAAAGCAATTTTAGTGTTTCCATTCATGCCTGTTTGACTTTAAATATGTGCATTTACTTTGTTTTCTGCAGGCAGAGAGAGCGAGACAGCACCTTGCCTTTAACATCAATGAGGAGAAGGATCTGGAGCAGGTATGCACTACTTTGCTCATAATAGCTAAAAAATTACAGTTTAGCCAACCTACTTTTATTTCCCATCAAGCCATTACTGTAAATCTAAGAGTAGTTTTACTTCTACAGGAACTGTTTTGAGCACTGGTTGCTGCAGTGAAGACGAGGAGAAGAAACATGCGGAAGATACTATCAGTTAAATTTGTTGTTGCCAAAAATACTTCCTGTGCTTTGTCTTTTATCTCTTTGCAGACTATCAATTATCTTAATACAATGTTTTACTCTGTGGTTGGGCACAGTCCAGTCAGTACTTGACGCCACTGACAGGGGGTGGTACATACCAGCACAAGAGACGTGAATAACAAAGTAAACACTGAGCAGATAATGAAGCTCAGCGCCCCCCCCCCAAAAATAACTGTGGAGTGAACCTGCTGACTGTGCAGTCATACAGAAGTGGTCCTGTAATTAACTGAAAGTGTGCATGGCCACAGCTGTGTTGTATAGCCAGCTGAGCAGTCTGGCTAAGTCCCCGTAGAGGCAAGACACTTAGAAAGGCTAAACACAAATGAAAGGAGGAATGCATCAGCAGTTTCATGACTTAGTTGTCCATCACTTACCATCAGGCAGAGTAAAGCCCCCACAAACAAAAACTCTCCTAATTGTTGCCAGTTGCATTAGTAGAGTGACTCTAACAAAGAGAAATATGTGGGCCAACTGCCTTGTGTTTGTGTAGCAGGTGCTTAAAGGCATGTGGTGTCTCGCCTCGCAGCGGGCTGACAGCACTGTTGGTGTGCTTGTGATGCATGAATGGATTTATGAAGCTGTTAAGAAATCATCCTAAGGTATTCTGGCACACATCTGCTCCTCTGCTCTCCTTCTTCTCTGCAGCAAATTGGCACCACAAGTGATTACAAGGTTTCTATGGCCATCAGCTTTAATTTGGAGCTCTGGGGAAGTCTCTCATCACTTAATGTGTGTGTGTGTGTGTGTGTGTGTGTGTGTGTGTGTGTTTAATTTCATCAACTGCAGCGTCTCCTTTTCCTTCTTTTCTCCCTCATTGTTTTGAGACCGGCTGTCGAAGCCCTTTGCTGCTTGGGCCTGATTTAATTAATTAGAATTAGGGAAATATTCAGATTGAAACAGTTCGACCATGGTTTCTCACATGGTTATGAGCCATTATGCCACTCTGCCCTCTTTAAATGTTTGACTGTATAAGAAAAGAGAACTTGACTCTCACATACCATGTCTCAGTTATACATAAACATATGTGAATTCAATATTTCATACTAATTCTAACAGGTGTGTTCAAACTGGAAAAAAAATGTCAAAAACAATTATTCAAAACTGTCAATGCATTCTAAAAATAGATTTTTGAGTGTATTGTACACTATGTATAGTCCCACAATGCAATGCACAGAAGAAATAGAGGAGTTGCCCACAGCTGCAGAAGGTGGTTGTAGGACAGCTACAGAATAATATTGGAAAAATAAGTATTACATGTTTGGAAAAACATTTAGATTTGTCTTTCCAAAATTGCAGTATTGCATATAAATTAAGGCACGCGTATTGTATGCCGTTATGCATTTCCTTGTAAACTAACTGCAAAAGTATACCAAGACGTGTAGTATATACAGTACATAGTGTACACAATGAGGAGGCCTGTGTAGTATGGAAGTGGGACACTGCCTCTGTCCTATTCTTTCAGAGATTACAGTGCTGGATCAGTCAGGATAAAGCCCCTTTGCAGTTATGGGGTTGCAGTGCCTTGCTCAAGGGGCACTGTTTTTATTTACCACCCTTTAGGTCAGCTGCAGAGATGATGCATTTTAGTAGGCCAACCCAGAAGTTAGCATCGACCTGGTTTCCTCGACAAAAAGCCAATGGGATTCATCCATTGGATTTTGGATTATTGCAGAAAATATGCTCTGTGGCAAACATTTACATATGTTTATGATACATATGTTTATGATAAGTTTTGTTCAGCAAAATTATCTTCACATAAACAGCTAGCGTATAAATATACTTCAACACGGTCACATTACTTCATCGTCATCACCACTAAGCTTAAGGTGCAGGAGTGATAACTGTGATGAAGTTTAGTCTCAGTTAGCCACTTTTTAGCAACCGCCTTTTTTAAGATGTTAATGCTTTAAATGACACAGAGGGGTATGATAAAATCTCTGGTTAACCACAGACCTTATTTCGGTCATCTAACCAAAAGCCCAATAAAAATAACCATTGACTTCAAGACAAAGGAACGGGAATGCTCACTCATTTTCGGGTTTTAAGAATCATTCATTCAGCGCTCTGTTACCAGAGGATTGACGGTCAACCCTTCTTTACTGCTATTTTTTCACTCTCTGCCATCACATTTAAAGTTGTGGTGTATCGCTTTTATAATCTGTTTCTTTTATCTAAATGTAGGCAACTATAGGCCTTTTAATTTGACCTTCCTGATATTGTGCCATGTAATTACCCCTTATCGGTGAAGCTATAGCCAAAAAAACAACAAACTCCCCTTTCTGGAGGTCAAATGATGATTACACTGAATTATGAAATGCTTCTAGCTAAAACATTTTTCAAATGAGATGCTATTATAATGGACTAGCTTCTCAATGACTGTAATTGCAAGTTCACATAAAAATTAATTTTACACCTCTTGCACATTCATTGACCATGATGGTTTAATTAACAAGGTCCCTTTTTAGAAATTTGAGTTGTAGAGATACATTTGTTTACACGCCCAGTGGTTTCATACTATTCAGACTAATTGCATGGTGTCAGAGGGTATCTGCTCGTTGAGTCATGGGACCTTGTCATTTAGAGCTTGCCTGATTTTATGAAGAGCTGTCCCTGAGAAGAATATTCAGCTCTGACCTTTCACAATCAAGATTTCATTTTAATAAAGAGCCAGGAAGCAATTGTTATCAAAAGATTGTTGCATGAATGGACTGTGGGCTTGTATGGGAGAGAAAATGAGAATGACAGAGCAACCAAAACCGTTTCTGGTGATTGAAATAGAGTCTGTTTGACATTGATCAAGCGATAGCAGTTGGTGCTTTGCATATGCATTTTCTAGACTTATGTTTGGGGATCTATTTTGCTTAATTAACAAGCCAGTTTGCAGCCAGGGAATCATAAATCTTGATTGTGCAATATCAGCAAATTGTGTTTGGACAGGGGTTGTTTACGAAGTTGCTGAGGGCAAATCTGACCACTGATAGCTGGTATTAATTAATGTATGCATTGTCTCATTCCAGTAGTTCAACAGCAATTAAATACACCAACAATCTCTGGTGATTAATTAAGGCATACAATGATTGAGTCTGCGTCTCTGACTCTATGCATAATTATTTATAGTTAAATCAAGCCACAACCCCATGTCTGATGGAAAATGCTGCAACCTGCTTGGCCAATTTTTGTTTTTCTCTTTTTTGCAACCTCTAGATGTAATGAGTTATTTCATTTCATGGTAATATCAAAATGAAGTCACTGTGTTGATCATTTCTAAAGATACTGACCTTTATGGAATGATAAAAACTACAAACAAAATGTGAAATTGCTGCTGCCGCAAAACCCCAAGATGTACTTCTATATGTTTAGTATGTTTGTTTTGTGGGAAGGGAAGAAAGGAATTAATTTGAATTCCATTAACAGTATCATGAAAACCAAAGCTGGCATTAGAAGATAACGCTTTAGAAAGATAAACAAATTTGACTTTCCTTCAGAACATGCCATCAAGACAAAGAGAGATTTGCAGCTATGGTGTTGGACAGATAGTGTCATCAGTGAGGTGTTTTGTCATCCCATCAACTCATTAAACCGAGCGGCAGGTACTGTTTGCTCTCCTGTCTTCTTATTAGATGAAAACTGCAGCGTGATGACTGCAGATACTAGCTCCTTACTGAGCCGTTCAGTATCAGCGGGGAAATTAGACAAGACAACGCAAAAACAACGCAGTGTGGTGCAACGCTGAGGGAACTCATTAGAACACTGCAGCATAAGAGGAAGCCGCATGATGCTTTGCAACTTGTCATCAGGGGTGTTGTGAGTGTTATTACACAATCATGATTTGATAGCTTGTGCACAATTACTTCATTAATTTTAAGAATGTTGCCTGATAAACTCGGGAGCCAAGAAGGACATTAAAGAGGGCAAGCTTTGATGCAATACGGTGAACCAGAGCTCATGATCTGCTGTCGTATATTCGTGTATAGAACGATCTGTCTTTAAATTATTTAACAAGATCTTCATCGACATTGACAGGATGCCAATGTAGCTGTGAATGTATGGTTATAACCACAGCAACCCTGTATTTTAACATGTTTTTGTAGGAGACAGGGTTGTTTGAAGAGATGATTGGACACATGCACAGTGAGGGTAAAGGGCTGCTTTGAAAGTCTACAAGAACCATCAGTTTACTGCTTGACATACTATAAAAGTCAGGTTTGAAGAATTGAACTGTCAGGAGTGTGGCTCAGGTGATACTTGAGACTTCAGAGACAAAGTCCGGCTGTGTCCAAGTGTCAACAAATATCTGTCAGGCAAAGCAGGCTGAGGCCATTAACCACGCAAGCATTAGTAAAATTGCCCCGTGCTTCAACTATATCAGGATCATTAACACAAACATTTGCAAATTAGCTTTCCAGCGAGCTCTACATGGAAACTCTCCACACGGTTCTCCAAATGATACTCATTAATTTCAAAACACAAAGCTTACAAACGGAAAATACATTGGATACCTCTTACAGTGATCACTTCTGGTTCTGGGGATGATCATTATAACCATTTTTCTTCTTCTTTTTCTTTATTTCTAATGCTGATAACCATCTCATTGACGTTATATATATTTTATTACATGCATACAAAACGCTATTTACTGAATATTATTAATACAATACAGTTGTTTCAAACAGAGCTTCAAATTACCGTACAAATTCAATTCCTGTACTCTGTATAATTCAAATAATAGGGTACAGTATATCAAGTATATAAAATACATGCATTTCCATACAGTGCATTTGTATAATTTCAACAGGGCTGAAAATAAACTGTAGGCCATCAATGCCTAATATAAAAATAAAATGTATCCCACATAGCCATTTCCACTGTCAGGGAGAAAGAGAAAGAAGAAATGGTGGGTTTGAATTGCAGTGTTTCTCACTAAAAGTGTGGTTCAGACCAGTTTGATTTGCTCTCTCATTGTCTCGTGTCCCATGGGTACTTCTGTCTGCAGAGCACCTGTCTGAAGCTCAGAGGAGTAACCTCTGCTTTTATCTCAATAAACAGGCAAGCCAGGCAGCCATTATCCAAAGCCCTTCACTGCTTTTGTTTACCTCTCTATCATGACTTCACTTTCAGCAGACAAATTCAACCCTGATGGTGATTTATTAACTATTAAATTGGAGCTAAATCAAACTCAATTATATGCATGAAGATTGACACGAAGAATATTGCCTGCACTTTAAACGGTGTGTGATGATATTACAAAACATGAATATATTTCAGTCTTTAAATGCTTAAAACTTCAACACAATGTGCTTTATGCCATGCAGCAGAAACCGACAACTTTTTTTGCGTTGGAAGAGGGAAATTTGCAATTCAAATGTCTTTTGGTTGCACATCTACATGCACACAAGTACCGAAGACATTCTGCTCACAGCTTTGGCCTTTAAACATGTTTAGGCTGATGAAGCATTTTCCCGTTACTGTGACAGCAGCACTGCTTGGTGATTCATTGTGCCTTGCTCTTTTTCAGCAGCTGTCTAACTGCACCACGTTATGACCATCTACTCACCTCTCTCTTGCATTTAACATCCACAAATCCTCATGCTGTAACCGTCCACAGCTGCTCTTATAGGTAAAGCAATAAAAAAACAATATCCATTATATGTCAGTTTGGAAAATATGTTTGTGTTCGAGTAAAAAATGTTACTCACTGAATATATTCCAGCAGTTGGGCTTTTACAGCAGAAATTATCTTCTCATATATAACGCTCTGAAGTGGGGCTACATTTTGTGGAGGGAAAAATCAGCATGATTATATTCACAGGGGGCCCGAAACCTCTAACCTCAAGATATGTGAATGAAAATGTGTTCTATACCTACGATGCCTATGAAGTCTGGGGCAAACACATTTTTGCATGCAGTATAAATTTGTTACTTCTCTTGTGGAGCCAATCAGCCCAATTGTATTCACGAGTGATGATCAAAGTCTCCATAGTAGCCATTTCACATATTCAGACCATGTTTTTTTAAAGTCAATGTCATTGTATAAAATTACCCTGTTCTGACTTTTAGGATAATCATAGCCACGTGCAACTTTACAACCACAAATAGAAACCTAGGGTTCCCAAGTTCTCGCCATCCAATCGTCGAAAAATGCAATTCTTGTAGAAATCTTTAAATGCCAAAAGTTTTTGATATTAAAATCACAGTATGACTTTTCTTTTGGTGTTCCTCAATGTCTTTGTGACTAAATTTGGTATTTTGGAGGGATTTTTTAAATCAATTTTCTCGTGTTCAAAAATGGTTAAATATTGCACTGAATCTGTGTAACAAATGGTATCATACGTTTGTGCAGCAACAACTTATGAGACGTAAATGAGCATGGGAATGGCCATCAAATACCTATTTGTATAATGTTCTAAGCCCTTATACTTTCAATATTTGAATAGACACCTGAGCAAAGCAGTGTTTATTAGAGATGCAAAACTAGAAATGTTTTTACACACAGTGCTAAACTGCTTCTCAAATTATGCTTCAGGTTCCCAGATGATGTATACCACTTCATATACTGTTGACCAGCTATTACCCCATAAAGAGCCCCTGCTCCCCCTAAAAAAGACAAAAATGTGTCTATGTTAAAGAAGAGTGAAGTAGAAGAGGTAAAAACTGCTCATAAGTAGAGTTACAATATATTCATGACTAATTTCACAAATTCTGTTGATTGTCTGCCGTAATGACCCGTTATGACCACAGGATGGCACTGTGGCTTTATCTGTAAACCCACAGAGCTGCTCTCCTCTGATCAGCAGTGAAAACTTTGAAGAAGACTCAGATTCCCCCCAAGGTAACCATGAAAGACAAAGTTGTGAGAGCTGGAGCTGAGGCGATTTAAAAAAAAAAAAAAAAAAAGTATTACTGTAAAAGAGCTGGTGTTGTGATCTTGTTTCCTGTGATCCATATATATTGAACAAAAGGGAGAGTGATGGCTGAGCGGGGACTGCAGCACCTCAGTGGCCCTGCAGATGAATGAAGATGCAAATGGTGGGAGGGGGAACTTAAAGCCTTCAGTGACACTAAGCACACCCCAGAGGCCCCGGTGCAGAACGCTCAGCCTCAGCACATCAAGGACACAGCCTCTCTGTCTGAGCGTCCTCTTTGCATGCATCGCATCCGTCCATCTACGTTTTCATCCAGACAAACACTTGACTCCTTATGCTGAGCTGAGCCAACGACAAGAGACAGATGTGCCCTCCTCAGACAATCCAATGTGATAAGCGGCTGTGCTGCTCCACAAAAAACTCAAAAGAAACCATCTGACGAAAAAAAAAACCTATTTTACATGAGAATGGATATGCCTGGAAACCGTACCCTCACACGTTGCCGTCGCCTTGGCTGTAAATGTCATTTTCATGTCAGATTCTTTCTCTATTCATCCATGACGCCAGTGATTGCTTCATCCCTTTGCATGAGAATGGCTTGAAATGAACGTCGGCCTATTCTGGTGCTCATTTTCAGTGCCCTGTGAATGAAATGCATCGTAAAGGGCCGGGAAGCAGACAATCACATGATCAGGCTCCACTCTATAGAAAATGAAATTGTGCACTGTACTGAATGTTTCTAAAGTTATTCAGTGTGCCTCAACAGGCTCGAGGTGTTTTATAGTTTTCTTTATCCACTAAGAGCAGCTCCCTGGTGGGACCTTGGCTATGCTAAGGAGTGCCACAACCATGATGTAGGCCCCAAGTGGCATGTTGTTTCTGTGAGTCATTCAGGCATACGGTACTCTGGCTTTCCTCTCCACTGGTTACAGAAATACAGGTGAGCCCACAGCAGGTGAACCTGTCATAGTCAGCACCTGCAGGATCCTAACAGCCAGCAGGGGAAAACTGAAGGACAGAGGAAGTTTTGTTGTGAAGAGTTCTGCTGTGCCACCTGGGAAGCTTAGTAATGAAGGTGAAACACAATGTTGTCCTAAAGCAGGCGTGGCCAAACATTTTTGATTGTGGATCATGTACAAGTGTCTGTCATTATATATACCCAACAAGACATAACAGTTTACCGTTTGACATTACAGTAGTTTTTTGTGTGCCTACATATGCCAAGAGCTGCTCTTAAATTTAATTTAAATCAATTCAATGCTTTTAAACTCTAATGCAGTGCAAGGCCTAAGTGTTCACCTGTGTTGTTATGGGGCCAATTCATTATAAATGTATTTAAATATATTATAAATATGTAATAAAGCTTTATCCTACCTTATTTCTAACAATTCATTATTTTCGTAGTTAGACTACCCAAGACCTAAAGATATACAGTTATATAAAGAAACTGTCACAGAATGTCATCACTATATCTTACTGGTTTTGCTTTACATGCCAATACAAATACATGGGTTTATGCATTTGATTATTAATAAAGAAGAGCAATGTGAATATTGAAGAAGAACATGCATTATTTTATAGGTCATTATGGTAATGAGTCAAAACTAAAATCCATGATGTCTTTTTGGCCTTTCAAAGCGTTGCTCATACAGTTCTGCTTGGCACTATAATTTGTTTAAATGTTGATTTATGAACTAATTGTCTGTAATTGCTGCTTAGTGCCACTGTTAATCCAAGCTGTCTGCCTCCTGAAGCACATTAGGCCAGATTTGTATAATGAAGTAATTAGTTTAATTACGAAGAAGAAAGTAGGGATAGCGTAAGAAACTGGGAACAAGAAGCCAGAAAGTACCCCAGTGCCATGAGCGTGTTTTCTGTCTTGCTATTATGAAACATACTCAGCAGAGTATATGAAAATGTGAGCAAATCACTTTCTTAATTAAAGCCCACACATGTTAACAAAGTTAATTTGATACGGGCATTTTTATTTAGTTTCTTGTCCGAGGCCAGTTTCTGGACCTACTTCTCACATATTGAGTTATTTCAGCTTGCTAACAACCCTTGCTTCTTCACACGTTCAAAAATATATAGCTCTGTGTTTTCTATTTGGCTTCTGTCACCCGCCAGAAGCTGCCATCACAACCAAGACTGCTCCATTGTCTGCTAGCATTGTCATTGTTATTAGTCTTTTGGATTGCCTGTGGAGGTATCGGCAGGCTCCGGGGGAAGCAGGCACCAGGCTGGATAATTAGTTGCTCCTCGATGCCAGACGGGCACATTGCCGTCACTTGGAGGGGAAATGGAAAGTGGCATCACTATCACAGTAACACCGGAACAACCTTTGGTGTGAGGGCTGGGTTCCAGCGCATCTGTCACACCACTAGTCATCTACCCACTGGCAAGACAACAATACTTACCAGCGTAGCGATACACAGCATGGATAATTACTTTATCTGAAATGACATTATTCTTGTCATGTTTGTCATAATTAGTTGTGGTGTGGTGGAATCGATATTGAGTGTCTGTGTTGGCTCGATTATTGTGGACAAAGAGGTTGGAAGATTTTGGCATTTTCATTTTTCCATAGAAGAGACATCTGAAGAACAAATAGAAAGTCTTTTTTGCCTTTATTTATGTATGCATACCAGCTGTACATGTACTAGGGCATAATGCTGACTACTTTTGAACTCAAATCCATAAGCTGCTTATATTGCAGCTCCTGACTTCCAATGACCTGCATTTCCAAACACGAGCTTGCTTCTGGAGACCCTGGGGTGACGGCTCTGCTGGTTTCTACGGGAGATGTGTATGATGACAAAAATGATAGCGACGCCTACAAGCAAGGTCCCTCCGAAGCCCAGCAGGATGCCATACAAGAGGGGCAGAGCTACATCCAAAGGCCCCTTCTGGTACAGAGCGACAGGAGCCCGCTCCACGATCAGATCCAGGTCACGCCATGTCAGATCCCTTACTAACACACACACAGCACAAACAGGAAAGGAACCGTAAAGCAATTTTACAATCATTAAAAACACACAGAAAATGAGAAAAAAAGTAAAAGCTCCTGGACATCTTGTATTGCCCTGGAATTTTTTTTCACCCAGAAGTCACATCTCATGGTAGCTCGTGCATGTTGGATGACATAACGGTACTTGCTTCCCAACTTCTTTTAAATGGTTTGATACCGTTAAATTGGTTAGCGTGTTTGGTTCGGTTGCTAAAGTTGAAGTGCTAGCTGGCTTGTTTTGCCTGCAATTCAAGGTTTGTGATTCAGGAGCAATTTTGTGTGTTGGGCATTGTTGAGAGAGATAATAATGATTCGGAAGCCGGGGTCTAAACAGTTAATGGGAGCCCAGAACACTGACTAAATGCTGGTAAATGGTACTTTTTAAAAACGTTGATAGCATTTCGCAATGGACCATAACATGACATGGATTTTTGTAGCGGTAGCTCACAGTGGGTGTGATTGGCTTTGTGAAAGACTCTCCTTAATATCACTAAATAGGCTAAAGTAAGGTGTGATAGACTGATACGAGTCAGCCGCAGGTAATAATCCTAGCAAACTCGACAAAAACTTTGAATCAATTTGTCATAATTTCTAAGCATGTAGGGATTGATTTCATTGATGAGTTACAGCCATAGACTGCGCGTCATTTAAATCAGACTTCCACAGGGAGGGACATATTAGTGAACGGCTGTCATACCAGCTAGATCATAACTGGAAAATTCCTGGAAAATGATCTTTAGAAAAAAGTGGGAACCCCATATAACCATCTCAAAGGACTGTGGGAGCATTTTTGTCAAGTTTTAACTTGAATGGAGAACCCGGGAGAATACAAAAAAAATGGACAGGTGATAATTACATTTTTGAATTTTTAGGTATCCTGGGAAATACTCCTCATATAGTGAGAGTGTTGATGTTGAGAAGTAATGAGTTGGAAGCATGCCTACGGCCACCAAATCTAATCTGGCATCTCATCTAAACACTTAATAGAATCAGGGTTCAGTGGAATATTATATCATTTGTCATTCAGACAGTCTCCAGAGGGATAACCCAAAAATCTCCTCTTGACATCAATAGCCGAAGATATTTGGGCTTAGAAATGTTAAGAATCGGTTCACCATCACTCATTTAATAGTGTGCCAAACTAATGTGACTCTTTCAAGCTTTAGGATACATTACCTCTTCTTTTTCTGACCCTCTGGGCTTTATGCTCTTGGTCTTTTGAGTCCGATTGTTCCGGTGGGAAGTTTAAAGAGTTGACAAATTTGTGGTAGTCTTCAACGTAGAGTTTAAGCCCCAAGATTTTGTCCTGGTTGATGTTCTTCCCCACTTCTGTAAAAACACAAGCACATTGCCGATCTAAAAGCATATCTCTGTCACTTCAAATGCTAAACTTGTATTTCATTAAGAAAAGACTGAACATTTGAATCTAATTGTAGTTTTCTCGCACTAAACACAATCAGTTCTGGCATGAGAGCACCTGCCGTTCAGAATAAAACAGAACGAGTCCTTCAAGTTTCTACGTATGAGTAGATCTCTTCAGAACTGCACTCAAGTGTACGTTAATTGCTGCATTCTGCATCTACACAGTCAAAGCCACCACTGCCCCCCTCATGTCTTATAACTCATCTCTTCCCATCCTCTCCTTGTCTTTTTTTTACTCCAAAGTTGCTGATGAAAGGAGCAGATGGTTGGTTCTGTGGCTGGTGTCAGCTCCACTGAGTCCTCTGTCAGATCATTTACACCTCCTTCTATCAAACGCCACTCGGCTATGGCGTTGTGTGCACACTGGACTGAAACGCATGCCAGAAACTGGCAGTGTGCAAAATATGCCACTTTTGAAGTTCCAATTAAAAGAAATCTCAAAGTAATGAAGCAATTACGCACTGTTGTTAGAGTCCTGAGGAGGCCTTCTTGACCGAAATAAACCAATTTTGAAAATACACCGATGTGTGTACCCAAATAAGCCTTTGTTCCAATTTCTTTTTGTCAAGGGACACGCTGAGACGACACTGTGCTGTACATAAAAAGTGAATCATTTTAATTTGAAACCCATTATCTTAGTGGCACCACACAGAATTATTGGATTTCAAAAGACATTATCCAGAAGGCAGATGTGTTCTTTCCCCATTTGTTTCTCACCAATGGCAATGTCGGTTCTGCCGATGTGCTGCAAGGCGCGAGAAAGCCTGTCGTAGTAGGTCTGCTTGCCGTACTTCAGCATCCAGTCTGTCAGGGCCGTCCGGCACTGAGCCTCACTATCTAGTAAACACAAAACATATGGCCCTCAGACATGCAGGTCTCTGACAGTCAGCTTGCTGCCAGGAACTCCCCAAGCTGAGCTGGATGTGTGAGAAACAGACACTGGGTGGACTTCATTTCTACCTTATTACAGCCAATGGCATATGACTCCGAAAGGATAAATTCACATTTTGCCAAGTCTATTTTAAAACACTATTCACATGTACTTACGTACGCTACAATCGTTGTAATAATTCGTCTGGCTATTGGCCGTGAAGAAGCAATTTCAATGTAAGTGATGGGGGACAAAATGCACAGTCCTCTTCCTGTGCACAAAATGCTTGCCAGAGTTCAGCTGAAGCAAATATAAGGCTTCAGTCATCCGTGTTACGTTCTGGCACTGTGTCCAGAGGCTTTTAGTTTGAACTGAACTTTTAAGAGAATCTTAGTTATAAGACTATCTTTATTTTTTTTTATTTTTTGTTGCATGTAATTAGCCTTCGGGTTCACTTCTCATGTTTCATGTTATGCTTTACTTCCTGCCTTTGGTTTTTGCCTCCTTTGTGATTGTCTGCCTCGCCCTGATCTGTCCCACCTGTGTCCAATCACCTAGCTGTCCCTGTGCATTTAGTCTGTGTGCTATCCATCGTTCAGTGTCAGGTCGTCTGTGTTCCTTGTTCTCAGTTAGTTTTTGTATATTTTTTCCCCCTCGTCTTAGATTTATTCAGCCTGCACTCTCAGTTTTATACTCTGGAACGAACTTTGGAACATTAAAGCATGCCTTTTGTTCAATTCAACCTTTTACGTTTTTAAGTACATGGCTACAGTTTAGGCATCGGTTCAAAAATAAAAAGGTCACATCTATGTTAGTCACTGAGTTTATGCACCACTTAGCATGCTCAGTGACCCAGATCAAACTTACCTACAATGTTGGGTGAACAACAGGTTCATGATGGATCTAGATGAAATAGTAAATGCTAATATGTGCCTTTGACTTTTTCTTTAGAACTTCTCCCCTCACTGAGGTGCGTGAGGCCTTTCTGCTATTCGTGACAGTCACTGCTGTGTCGCAGAGCCTCATTCAGCTCAAAACCTTTGTGAATTTGAGGAGCAGAGAGGCTGAAGTGAACTGCTTACACTTTGTATTGGGAGTGAAGAGCTAAGAGGCTGAACCTAAAGCAAATTGTGAAGGACTTTGCAGTCACAAAAGTCAGACTGATGAGTAAGACAACAAATGCATTGATCTGTTTTTGCTTTAATTTATGTGTTTGTGGGCTGTTGAGTTTGTGTAAACATCTGTGTTTGCTGCTTTGGCAATGTTTTATTCTTTCATTAGAGAAGCAGGATAATCGATTTATGTAGCAAAATAATGCTTGTTGCATCCGCCGTGGTGTACGTAGCTCTTTTTGTGTTTAGTTGCACAAAAATAATCATCAATAGAGTTTTGTCTTCTTTTCTGGCTAATTCTCTTATGGTTTTACTGAGGAAAGTGGTTGTTTATTTGTAATTGATGCGCAGACTGCAAATGTTTGTCTATAGAAAACGAATTTATTGTTGCTTGGACATAAGAGCTCTTTAATGCGGTTCACACCTGGGGACGGCGTAATGTTGTTCCACTAGTGTGTAGTTGACATGACAATGCTCTTTATTTTGCAGCCTTTATATTTTATATGAATAATCCGATTTCACAATAATTGTTTAATCTGAACTTAATTCTATTCTATCATATATAACTTAATCATCATCATGTACCAACATACGCAAGTAATTTTACTTTTACTTGAGTAAAAAGTAGGGATACATTGATACCGATATCGGGCCGATACTGACTCAAATATCTCGATCAAGTATTGGTGACAATGGGGCCGAGCTATTCAATTTAATTCTATGTTTGTACGCGATATAATGTATATTATTTGAACTTTTATTAAGTTTTGACCAATTTGCTGAAAATGTAAAGTTGAATTGTAATTCCTGTTCATTTTAAATATTTTCTATGAAGTTGCTGGTGTGCAATGTGTTTTAATTATGAACAACAATTCAGGTAATTTGATTTATGTATTTAGTTCTGCATTTTTGTTCGAGAAAGTTAAGAAAGCAAAGTTTAAGTAAAGCCTGATGTTGCATCCCTCGTAAGAAGTCTCTAGTAACAGTACTTTTACTTGAGAAAAGTAAAATGCACACATTGGAGGTCAATCATTTCTGTTATGATCTAAAGTGCCAAAGGTGTGTTTCAGATGATGATGAGTATACTGACCTGCAGCAGGAGAGACGTCTCTCTTGACTCGAGGCTTAGGATCTAGTTGATTGTTTCCGTGTGAGAGACGCTCAATGTGCTGGAAGATGTTCTCCTCTGGGTGAGAGAGGGCGAACAGAAGGTCCTCGCACTCCTTAGACGTCAGCAACTCCACTAAACGCTCCAACTGATGGACACCAATGTCCTCTGCAACTAAACAGCCACAAAACACACTAATTACAATAAGTGCTAAAATAACTCCTAGAAGAACACCAGTTTAGCCAACAGGACCAAGGCTTGTACTCAACCGTCACATGACAGCATGACCATACAGTACAATGAGAATTCCAGTTAATGAAGCAGAATGCTGACACCTAACAACTTTTCTGAAGCATGCTTGTGCTTTCAATTAGCAAGTGCTGCTTGTGTGGTGTGAAACTGTCATAATACCCTCATCTGCTTAGAATAGAAACTGAATAATCAACATTTTACAAAAAGAGAACCAAGTTGTCAGCTATTTCAGTCTCACTGCCAGTTTCTTCAGCTGAATTCTTATAACATGCTGGCTGCTGATGTAACGGTACCTGCTGTGGAAACATTTGCTCTCACCCGTGTCCCCTCCGAGGGTCGAACTCAGAAGTAGAAAGAAGAAGAAGAGACAGAAATTCATGTCAGCTGAAGTAGTGTAGACTCAATACAGGTGCTGCTAACAGTATATGAAGTTTATTTTCAAAACTTGTTTTAGAATGTGTTGAATGGTGTGGAATGGCTTTTTTTGAAACAGTCAATCACCATGCAAGATATATAAATGCTGTTATGGATGCATTATTTTGCCCACACAATTTGTAAATGATAGAAATTCTGGAAAATTTACACGAGGGCTGTAATACTTCTTACGGATGAATCAACCATTTTTGATTAAAGTAATTATTTCTCTATAAAATTTCCAAAAATCATAACAGAATGCCATTAAAAATGTGAAACTGCTGATTTAGTCTATATTCAATTTACAATTATATGAAATGGTGAAAAGCAACATTTTAAATCACATTACAAGTTTTAGCAACGTGATCTTGTCAATGAATATAGAATACACATATAGATGAATGTAAATATGAGGTGATGTGTATTGCAAATAATTATTATACATGTGTGACAGTTGTTTTAAGTAATACAGCTGTTCATGGTGTGACGTTCACATCTGTTAACCAGACCACACAACATATAAAGGTCAACTTCTTACTATCACAACCTGCACATTGTCTCTACTCCTCACTTTGTTTTGTTTCAAATTCCATTGAACTCGGAGGCTTTATCCAGACCAGGTCTGGTTGTCAGCATTACAATAACTACGCAGCCTAGTCAGCCTTGTATCACTTGCATAGCAAGAGTGTAATGCACATATTGTGGAGTATACGATGGATCACTGAGGGATGGAAAAGTAAACCAGCACTATTTCCCTTTGATGTGCACCGCTGTATAGGGACGGGTGCTGGGAGTTCTTGAGATGCAGCTCACTAGCAGGGAGAAACCTGTTAAATGGCATTATTGTGTGGGCTACAGTGCGGGCATGTTTCACATTGTTAATAAGCTTCATTTGCCAAACATTAAAGGTTGTTTGCGTGGGCTGAGTCTGAAATCCTACGTCTTGGCTAATGAAGAAAAAAAAAAAAAATCACGCTCTGAGGCTGACAGCCACAGAAAGTTGGGTGTGGGTGGTGTAACGGCTCCGTAATGATTTAAGATGTTGAAAGAAAGACAAACTGGACAAAAGGTCAAGATATTTATTCATATAAGTGAGTTGCTCAGTACAGTATCTTATTGATGAAAATATATGCAAAACATATCTTATACGATATAGCAGTGGAAATACATTCAAATATATAGTACCATATATCACAACAGTAGGCTCTTGTAGAAAAACATTCAAAATTCAGTCAAAATGGAACAAATTGATTTACTACTTTGACTTTTGAATTGGATGCCTTCCAGTTTTTGAGTGTTAGCTTGTGAAGCAGTATCCCCATGTCTCTTACACTTCACACCACTGAAATCTGGTTTACTACAGACACAGACTCCGGTGGAATGAAGGATAGAACACATGGGATATTCTTGCAGAAAGTGTCTGAAATATAAGACACAAAAAATACATAACACAGCCTTGTTCATTTCCAATCTGAATTTCATTGTGATTCTGACTCATTACAGTTTTCCCTGAGTGAGGATTTTTAATGTTAAGCTGGAGGCCGGATGGAGGCCGACCCTGGCACCTGGTGCAGAGCAGGCGATTGGGACTGTATGATTTATGAGGGAGCCTCCGAGGTGGAGGAGGTGGCAATGAGTGCAGCAGGGATTGAATGTTGGCCTCTCCCTTTTCTTGAGTTAAAGTTTGAGCCTGAGCGAGACCAGGCCTGCCCTGCTCTGAGGCTCCAGGGTTTCAGGCTGCTGTTGAAATCCTGAGCTCTGGCACGTTATCACAGGTCTGAGCTGAATGACTCTTCAGTCATCAGTGATGCAACCCCCCCCCACCACCACAGCCCTCCTCGAGCACACCACTGCCACCGGACACCACGGCCAGCCCCGCTATCTGTCCGCCTCAGAGTCCCTGCTCCTGGGGAAAGACGACACCACGCTCACTCCCCACACCTGAAGCTTTCCGATAGTCATACTTCTCCCTCTTTTATGTACACCTCTTCACACAACTGCTCCCCTCCCACACCCAAAAATCTTTGTCGGTCCTGCTAACAAGCTGCTTCCGAGCTTGTGATTCCTCCAGGTGATCTTATCCTTTTAAATAATTCGACACAGGTACTTTTCTAACTGGGTATAAGTTATAGTTGTAGCTATAGACAAATCTACTGTCTGAAGTAGTTGCAAGATTAGACTTTTAGCTTTTTCTGTGCATAGACAAATGCCTTACCTCGTTTAATATGCATTACTCACCTTAGATGCTCCTTTAGTTCCCCAGTGACTCTGTGAATGCAATGCGAATCAAACAACAAAATAGCTCGAAGCTTTCTTCACGAGGGACTGAAGCTACAGCTGACAACATGCTATCTGTCTTCTCTCTGTCTTGTCTTTCTACCTGATTCAGGTATTGGTGTTTTAGAGGCTTGCGTCGACCAATAAGACACAAGCACCTGAGCAGGGCCACCCATTTTTCTTGCATAAAAAGCTGCCACACCCTGCCATGTGGCGTGGTTTTATTGCCAAGGATTAAGAACAAAAGAGCTAATAATCACAGAAACTGAGATCAAAATACAGATAGTATTCCCAAAAGGTCTGTGACCATGCAACAGTTTTTAGTAAAATTGTCATTCAGAAGAAGACATTATTAACACAACAAACGCATCTTATCCACTTCAAAGTCTTGGAAAGAAGACTCCAATGAAGGCATAAACCTACAAATGAAGATGGAGTTTTGTGTAATATTCATCTAATAAGGGCCTCGTGTTCATTGTTTGAGGCTTTTTGCAGTAATTTGCTCTTTTTTGTGTCTCTCTCTACAGAGTAAACCCCATTGTTCCTGAGACCAGAGCATCTCTGAAGCATTTCAGAAGCCCTTCCAACCAATTTTTAATTAGAAAATATTTATATAATAATTTGCAACTGTGGCGAGAAAACAAAACTTGCCTCTGCAGTTAGTTAAATAGCCGTCTTTTCTAGCTCCTGAACATCATTCAGCCCCAAAATGACTTTAATCCACATTGATATCAAAATAAGTAAATAACAGTGCAGTGAACTGAGCTGCGTTAGGTAGTGCACTTTGTTTTCAGGCACATACATAAATACATTTTAAAAAGACACTTTGCAGCTCTCTTCTCCTCCTTTCAGCCTTTAATGAAAAATGGGGTGACACACGACATCCCTCAATGTGAAAGGACAGACTTCTTGAAAAGCATTCCTTCCCCTCACAATGGCAGGGTGTGTGTGTGTGTGTGTGTGTGGGGGGGGGGGGGGGGTGGTGGTGGGGGGGGGGGGGGACAGCACCCACACATTCCTGAGGTAGCGAGCTGCACCGAGCCTCACCTGACAAGATATTTCTTTGGTGAGCACATTAATTTGAGCCCAATCTCTTTTATATGTGATTTTACTGACAAGGACACCAATATCTTTGAGTTATGAGCTGTTGTTCCCAGGAGACAGACAGTGCTTTACCTCTGTGTTCTGTGTGGGCCAGATAGCTCTGGACAGTGTGACTTGTTCGAGGCAATCTTTTGGACCTCTGGAAGGTGACAACTGAAAAACGAGCCTCTAAAAACACTCTGCTCGCAGGCAGCTCTGCGTCTGGCTGACTAACCACACTGAGAAAATTCTAGCCATGTTGCTTTTCAATGCGGACTGTCTGAAACAATACTGTTGCTCAATTTAAAACGTATATGCAAATAAATACATCAAATAATTCTCTTTTCGCAGCCAGACATTACCATAGCGGCACATATCAAATGCATCAACTGATGTCTCCTTGAAGGTGTGTGCTGTTACTGGGGAGCTGACTCAGATGAGGTTAAAAGCCCTATAGTGTTAAACAGCAACGTAGCAACATTTTGGATTAATATTTCTACAACAATATTGCAAAACTTTGAACATCAAGCATTGAATGACAACAAACGGTCAACAACGTTTGTTTGCCGGTTTAACAAGCTCTGCTGAGTATAAGTTTAATTACTGACTTTGCTTCAGATCAGATCTGGTCTTACATAACTGCAGTTTTATACAAGCTATATCCCCCAGGGTTTGCTAATTAATCTCTTTTGTGTCTCTCTGTTTGCTTAATGTTTTAAGGATAGCTAGCCTAGAGTGCTCTATCGCTCAAAATATAACTTTAATTTGTTCTTAGAGCTTAAACGTGTATTTTTGTCCCAGCAGGAGATGTACCTCAAAGTTGACAGATTGGACAACGGTGCATTCAGTCCTTAGGTCTTTTAAATTTATAAATATTGAAATATATTAACCAAGTCGGATTACTGGTTAAGACACAGTCATTCGGAGGTGTTTGGGTGTGAGCGTTGACCCTTAGACAGAGAGATGTGTTGAAAGAAGAGGTGCAGTATTTCAGCTCTACACTTCCTGGAGGCAACGCACACGGAGTGAAGGCTCCGTTGAAACACGTCACAAATGTGAGGAATGTGAGCTTCAACGCACATTTGTAGATTCAAAAGCATTTTGTTGGCGCTAAAACGTGTCGTTAGTGTGATCCTCCACAGTTGGCTGAAACCCTGCATTATTATATTGATTTGATCATAGATCTGTGATCAGTAGATTATATAGAAATAGAAACATTACAGATGGGGAAACTGTTGTATTTGACATAATGCATGACATTAACATGACTGTTTTGTATTAAATGCATGCCTGAACAACAACCACTAAAATCAGCTCTGTGGATAAGAAGGCCCCAAGTTCAATTTCAAAATGAAAATAATTTTGGGTTATTCTGCTAACTCTGGTAGCCTCTACTACTTTGCACTTGTGCCATTCAGTAAATGCATAAAAAAGTAACTTTTACAAACAAACCAGATAATATTGAATGAAAATGTAATCTCTAAAATGTCTGACAAAATAGCTGTATGATGTAGGATTGTACCATCACTGCAGACATTTGCATCTATCTGCATCTCCAGGAAATTGCAGATTACAGTATGTTGGGCTATAACGCTATTTCAGAAATGTGTTCACTAATGACAAACGTATCACAGCTGGTATGCTCATTGTTTATTCATGTGTGTAGCATGAAACATGCTGCATCATGAGCACACATTATTGCTTGAGCTGTAGTTGCTTTCTGCATCTTGTTCTCCCACGCATCAGTGTAATGAAGATGTACCTCAAAACAAACGCATATAATAATCTCTCCTTTGAATGATGAAACAAAAGCGCATTTTTATTTTTAAATGATGCTTCAGAGGCTTTTGACGTTTTTTGCAATTTGAATGTTTTTGAGTGAGGTTCCTGGGTGTCGGCCTAGTCTGCAGGCTCCACAGCCCCAGGCCGCCCAGAGGTTGTCTTTCTACCTTGATCCTCATCTCTTTCTCTCTGTCTCTCTGTCTGACACTTCATTGGCTGATTCTGTTCTGACTTGCCTGGGCAGGAATGCACCTCCCTTCTAATGCACTTTTATGTTCAAGCAAATTGACGATGAGGAGTGCCATCATTTTGCAGCATAAATATTTCATTCTCCATTTGGATGCAGATTTGAGATGTCACACCCAGAATACAAATATGCTGCCTCTTCCACGGATAATAACGGAGACCCTGTGTGAATATGATTTGTGAGCTCAAGACAAATATGGTACAACGAGATTAGTTCTTACCACTGTCCCTGTAAAAGGAAAAAAAGATAAATAATACAGTCTGAATCATAATCAAATTTCAACTATTTTGCAGCATCTGGGAGATACAATTACCCAAATTCTAACAGTTCTGGAAGCTGTATTGCAGTTATTCTTTTCACTTCAGTCTTCATCACAATTGATCAGACAGCACTGAATAAAGAGAGCTTGAAAGTTTTAGGCAGTTTCAGTAAACACTTTAGTAAGAATTGTCCATGTATACAGTGGATATTTAAAGCTTCTCCGCTGAAAACAGCTGTCTGCTACTGCCAAAAACGATGCTATGAGAGTGGTGAAAGTGAACCAAACCAGTTAAGCAATATAACAAACTGAAGGAAGCGATAAAGCTCTGTATAGCTGACAGGGACTACAGAGCTGTAAATGACTTACACACAGTCATTTGATCCATTGCCATTATAAAACTATTGATTATAGTCACTATAATTAAAAGGTGTCGTGGGAAACTAGTTTTAGGATAGCGGCCAGGTGCTCTTCAGTGCCATCTAGTGGCAACTTCTGAGTGTCGACACATCGTAAATGCTTAGAAATTCTTTAAAACTGTAGTTCTTTAATGGAGCAACATGTATTTATGTGTAACATGTAAAAAGAGGTGTCCCTCAATGAATGTGGTGGGGCAAGGGGGGAGCTGGATAATTCTTTCATTCATGCGTGAGACAGGGGGTCTGTCAGTACCCTGTGTTTATGCACTTCTCTCACTGACATGGAGTAATGGAACGTGCAGTAATAACAGTGGAGGGATGGCATCGCAGCGGGAATCATTAAAAATGCTTCGTTTTGCTGCAACGTTGTGCCCTATTTGATTATTACTGGAGCGTGAATGGCTAGTCGGTGCCATCACTGCAGAGCACGACACAACACACCAGATCAGTTCTCTTTTTTTGTCCAAACCATCAAGAAAACCCATCACTCCCCACTGTTGCCATGGGGATCAAACACTTTACGATGTAATAAGAGGCCTTGTTTCATTATGTTTGGCTGCAGATTTTGCAGAATTTGCAACACTTTCTCTGCCAAGACTGTACTCTTTTAGTGAGACTACAAAATACAAAATCTCCCAAAACACTCCCATGTCTTTTATAATGGTGCCTGCAGCCTCATCAGTGAATGAGTCCGGGCATGTTTTCTATTCAGAATACCTGTCTGGTTTTTCACAAAACATATACTTCCATAGAAACTGGGGACATTCCAGCTGAGTAGAGGTGCTGATTAGACTTGGTTTGTTTTGAATGAGACTGTAGAGGGCTTCTATGTCTGTGTTGTGGGAGGGGACCGGGGGCAGGCATAGTTGAGAGGTCAACACTTGTCTATTGACAAAGGCGAGATGACCATGACCAACACCCTTTGATTAGCTTGTCCATTAGTTAACCTGGTCACACAACAAAAACAGACATGGAGCATTTGGGTCAAATATCGCTCTTCCAAAAGGTCTGATGGTTGATTAGGGTGAGGATTCAGGCTTTTATGTGTTTGCGAGTGTGCATGTCTGCGTGTGTGTGTGCCGTCCGCACAGCTGCAACTCGAGACCTGAATTTCCAACTCGTACAATAAAGCAAAGGTTATTCAAGGTGCACTTCCTGAATCATTGTTTTCAAAATACACAGATTCACAGATGGATTGATTTTTATTTTACTGCTAACCTTAGAGCACAGGGTTTGGGTACCTTGACGCACAAGTCAATATATCGTCGAAGGGGACTGAA